GATGCTATGGAGGATCACTTATCCCGCCCTATCCATCCGTGTAGGAGATTGTAGGTGTCAAAACTGATGTGTAGAATTCGTATGAGAGGGTTATTTCGACCTGCGAGGATGACTAACGGAATCATGTTAAGCACGGCGAGAACTCCACATCTGCCCCTCAGTTCTGCAATCAACGCAGCCCTTTCATTGACATTATAGTCGAGGATGGTGATATATGCTACTTGGCTCAAGAAATATGAGGTGAGGAGAATCGTATGCAAGCGCGACGGTAGGGTCCCCACGTTCACAGCTTCTGAAAGCTTAAATTCTCGATTGTGCCGCTTCCTCCCCAAGGGAGCATATAATAGGTGTCTCTTGATATCCGCCCAGAGTGCCGACTCCGCGGTAGCCCAGTACCGTTGTTGTCTGGGGGATGCATGGGCCGAAGTAATTCGACGCATGTAGGCGTTCCACATCTGGCCAAATCTCGCTGCTAACACAACGACACATGCTGCTCCCAGAGTCCCGCATAGTATTTGTGTGAGGAGGTTGTCCAGTTTGATATTGACTCCTAGTAATCCCCGTGTGTACTGCACGACATAGCTCGTATTTCCAGAATGGGGATAATCATACCCCTCCGTGATCGCCATCGAAAAGGAACGAGAGTGTATTTAGAGAATTGAATGGGCCACGCTGTGGAATAAGTATGTGAAAAGGTCCTTTGTCACGCAGCTATCCGGAGCATGCGGTCCAGAGACCGGGAAAAAAAGGAATAAAAGGAGAGAAAAATCTTTCAAGAGTTTTGCTAGCTCTATCGGAAAGTTATATGAAACGCGAATTATGGCGACAGGTGTCACAAAGTGAAAACTCGACCACAGGACCAGGTTTATTGCACAGCGGCTTGGATATGTCGCCGTTGGTTATCTGTTCTAAAAATGGCCCTTGTTGAGGGAGAAAAGGGGGAGTCGAAACTGTCGGGTAGGATCAAGGCGAAAAAATTGGGCTCCAGGCGCTTCTTCAAAGCAAAGGTAAACCAAAAGAGATAGGTTGTGAGACACTACTACTAGAGTGTTTGCGCTTCTATCTTCAAGATAGCTTCCGTCTCAGCGAACGGTCTCTTTGGGGATAATGGCGTAATCGACCTCGATTGGCAATTCTATGAGGATAAAACAGTTCCATGAAGCAGCCAGTCAACAAAATCTGTAGAATGCAAAAGAATGGATCCTTTGTTATAGAATCTTGCTATCTGTGTTATTGCAGAAGAAGAATTGTTAGCCATTTACTAGAATAAATCACTGCCAGTGCGGGCAAGGAGGAGGCATGGAAATGTGAATTCACTGACCAGGATGCAGAGTGAACATAATATTTCTACCAGCGAGATGAACAGGGAAGAAAAGACACCGGCAAATGAGTTGTGTAATGAGTGCAAGTGAGGCTCAAACCAGTTAAAGAGAAGCAAATAGAAAAAGGAAGAGCTGATAAAGCTGAGGTGTGCAGTGAAGATTCTCAAGATAGAATCCTCCAGCGAGAGGAAATGACCTTGGCAGATCAAAGTCAATCTTCGCACAACATCGTGGGAAATCAGCAGCTAATTAATTCTTGTGGGGAACATACCGTCCACACGAAAGATAAGAAAAAGAAGGAGAGAAAGCAACTGTTGCAGAGAGAAGAGCAAGATGACCTGAGAGATGTCACTCCAGCTGGGGATTTGTCTCGAGTTACATGGCTGAACCACCCCTGAATGCCAGCCCATGGATTTGATGCTAGCAGGGCATCTCCGTTAGTCGAGCCAGTTTCTGCAGGCGCTGCTGCTGCTCAGAAGGCGACTCTCAAGTCGCCTTCTGAAGAAGCTGAGTAAAAATAAAAAGCACCCTGTAACCTAGCGGCGGTGACCTTCAGCGCGCGACGACCCACCAGGGAAACAAGCCCATGTTGTTCCAGGATTGAATCCAGCTTATGAGAAACCAGGAAACGGATCCCACCACCCTGATCGGAAACAGCCGACGACTCCCCTGGGCGCTTCTTTGGCTGTTTAGCTGCTTGGCGGCCGGGATGCCCTCCAGTCAAAGGACTTGCCGCAAGCGGATGCCGCCGTGGCGGGACGGAGGCACCAGTCGATTGCCATGTTCCCTGCGAGGATGACACGATTCGCAGCCAGGGGTAGTTACAGCGGGGGCGCTGCCGTGTGCGACTCTTGACTGGACAGCGTTTTGTTCCCAGCGCCCGGAATGTGCCCAAAGCTTGGAGCAGAGGGGGCAACGTTCGCCATTCTCAGAAACTTGTTTGGAACACAACTCCTTTCGCGGCTTCTACTGGATAACGATCAGGGTTTGTTGTTTTTCTTCTTCGCTTGACAGTTCTTTGGTGTTTCAGGTGTTTCAACTCGAAAACGTGTGGCTGTTGTGGATTTGCCATGCAGTCTTTTGAGTGTGTGTGGCGGACGACCTTACACGCATATTATTATTTCATCAAATTGAATTCTATTCACCGTTAATCGTGAGGTACGGGTCATCAAAGTAAGATACCAATATAAGTTAAATATGATGAAATTATCTAGATACTAATTTTATACTAATCTTACATAGTAATCAATTTGATCGGCAATATATAATCTGTGCATGGAATGTTCTCAGGTAATTACTTATCGTGGTACTGACATCCGCAACAAGGATTGCTGGATCCGGCAATGAGTCTATGTGAGGAATAGACAAGTTAACTCAAGGAAATTTCTCATGGATAACGGAGTCCATCCACAGAACCCCCGCCCAAAAAACTCAATCATCTACATACACTTAAGCTCCACTTGACCAGCTAATCCTCACTGTGGCCCCAAAAAACAAACTTTGAAAGGGATCTGGAGCGCTCCTCCTCTCCGCCAGTTATCCCATCTTGCTCATCTCAGCTAAATTGCCCGCGGTGTCGACATTCGCGGCCTTCTGTAAAATGCGGTATTTAAGAGGCCTAGACATAGTTTTGTATTTATTTTTTATTTATTTATTTTTATTTTATTTTATTTTTATCTTTGCGCAGCAATGAGACTTGAAAAGTTCCGCCGGACCGGAGAGATGATAGCGTCGGCCCCCAATTCTTATCGTCATTTTAGTTGAACCCCGCTTGCGAAAATTTCAACAGTGTCGACTTCTTCTGATGCAACGAACTTAAAACCACCAGAGATGAACTGTTCGCTGTCTGGCAAAGGGCTATCACTTTTCCTCCCTAGCTCAAAAATGATGCCGCGACAGTCCCTATCGTCCCATCCACCCCCCATCGACACAGATGATTTCCCCAGATACGTAACTGCTGGCTTCGCTGGCCAAAAACACCACCACACCCTTGAAATCATCAGGAATGCCCCACCTTCCCGCAGGAATCCGAGCAAGGATGGCACTGTTCCTCTCTGGATTATCCATCAATTCAGTGTTCATATCCGTATTGATATATCCAGGTGCAATGGCGTTGACTGAAATGCCCTTGGACATCCATTCGTTCGACAGGGCCTTGGTTAGCTGGGCTACCCCACCCTTTGATGCTGCGTATGCTGGTACCGTGATGCCACCTTGGAACGAGAGAAGGGATGCCACATTGATGATGGTCCCTCTCCGCCCAGACTGGAAACTGGCAGCATCACGAGACAGAAGATACGCACCAAATTCTCGACATAACGTAAAAACAGACGTTAAGTTAACTTGGAGAACCTAGAAACAAAATTTTAGCCTCAGATCTTGGGAACAAAAGTATCCTAACAGAAAAAGACGTGACAGTAGTAGACGATGGCAGGGTATTTTGTAACGTCCGATGCGGGAATCGTGCGATGGTAGGCTATTTTGCAACATATGATACGATGTCCACAAAATTCAGATACTTCATCAGATTACCATCCCGGAGTAAATATACCCGGGCAAGAGATAAGGACATCTTGACAACGTGAAATGACAAATAGAGCAGAAGCAATCGGGTCCAGAGAAATGACATTGAACTCACCTCATCCCAATCGTCATCAGGAAAGCTCTCACTCGGATGCCGTCTCTGCACCCCAGCACAGTTCAACAGAATATCCATCCCTCTACCTGCCCTGGCGATCGTGGGAATTATTCTCTTCACAGACTCCTGGTTGGCAAGGTCGGCAACATGGATTGTTGCCGTTCTTCCTGTCTGACTAATTATCTCATCACGAGTGCTGGTGTTTTTCTCATCTCTCTAAAATGGTGAGATAAGGTTGTCGATGTAAGTTAGCGGGAGCTTTAACTCTAGATTTTTACTCGCTGTATTCTCTTGAACAATAGCTAAGTAAGTGGCACGAGAGAGGAGAGGGGGCGCGTGGGGCAAGGTGCAGCTGCAGCTACTCAATGAACTTTTTCAGTTGGTGGGTTCTCTTCTCTCTGTCTTCCTCTGATATGAAAACACAATCTTCCAAGAGCCCATGCTAGTCTTGGAAGAGAACATGACGTGGGAAAAAAATGAGGGATAAGAAGAAAGGACAAAATCGCAACGAGCATTTTGGTGTCCTTTTTTTCTTCCCGTAGTATTCTTTTTTATGTGTCTTTCCTTCCTCTTTTTTTCCTGGCAAGCTGCCTGGAGTGTGGAAGACAATCAATTCGTGCCAAATGTGTATAGCCATACGGAATCAAGTGACTAGGCACCTCATCCGAAGACCATTTTCAATGGCGAGCAACAGCCGGGAAGGGCCATCTCATCATCTATCCATCCTCACCGGAATAGTAGAAGAATGGGATATAATACAAAAGCAAACTTCATGGGGGGATGGATAAAATGCAAAAGGCGATCGATGCTCGTCATCTTGTAAGGGCAATCTGAATATCATCCTGATTGACAATAGTACAGTACTTTCTCAACCGAAGCCAATTGCATTTCGGTTACCTGAGGAGACCACAAGAATTACAAGCCATTTGTGAAAAACATAGTGAGCAGCATTCCCATTGTAGAAAAAAGGGAACTGTAAATAATAGTGAGAAAGAAAAAAAAAATTAAAGAAAAAAGAAAAGTAATCAAGGACACAAATAATAAAATTGCCGTCATGCTCACCTGGACAAGAATAATATCGGCCCCAGCTTCCGCTAACGCAATGGCCATTGCGCATCCAAGACCACGGGTACCACCAGTCACCACGGCTGTCTTCCCGGCAAGCGAGAAAAGCGAGAGAACAGTGCTCGCTGAGGGGAGACAAGGAGCTGTTTCTGACGGCTGTAGGGCTGGTTCCGAGGAGGAGAGTCCCATGATTGGCTGTCAACGGTGCTGAGGTTTTGATGATGAAAGGAACGCTCGATGAGATAGCTTGGTTTTGAATATGGGCAGTTTGGAGGAGACCTTCTGAGGAGATGAGAGGTACTCTGAGGAATGGGATCAGTGCAATAAATAAAAATTTGCGTTGTTTTCCCTCCCACAAAGCTGGAACGTGGATTTGAATGCTGATTTTTGAGGATTTGGGATGTTATAACAAAATGATGCCTACGGATACTGCTGTCACCTCGGGATTTGCTTCGGCCGGGTTTTTTGTTTGTCGGGCTTGGGCATCTTTTGAACTAGTGACTTGAAGGAGCAAAGCAGGACATTTATGAGCTTTCCCGTACAAGCTGAAATCCACTGTTTCACAACGTCAGTAATTGCTGGAAGTTGGAGTGTGACACTGGAAAAGTTTGCAAGGCTGGCGTAAAGTTTGATTGTATCCAGTGAAAAGGGATTATTAATAAACTATATTTCAACTTCTACGGCGGCAATCCTTTACCCTCTTTTATTGAGCTCAATTCAAATCATCGCACTTTGATCTTTTGGAAATAAATGAAGACGTGAAAAATAAACATAGACGACTTGACGTATTTTGAAGCAACCGTTGATTGAACAACTCCGCCAGCCTAGCTAAGTGAGCAAGATGAAGATGGATTGGCAAGTAATGCATACCAGTTCTACTCCGTAGTACTCATAACATTCCTGAGGTAACTTTTTCATCGCTTACTTGGGAACTTAGAGAGTGGCCTAAAACTGATTCTCCATGTTATAGGTAGAGGAATTCTATGGAACCCACATTCATCACCTTTTTTGAGGGGATTTCTAGCCCAATATCATAGTTGATTGAACCACCTCGCCGACATCGCCTATTGCCATTTCAAGGCTGGACGGGCGCGAGGGTAGGGATTTGAAGGGGGCAGAAGCACTTAGCCGCAAATTCTGTTGTTGGCGAGCATCTAAATAACTGGAGTTCAAACGTCATTTAACCTTGCCAGGAACAATTTCTTTCTACAGGTTTGTTTTGGTAATAATATCCAGTTGAATTTCTATCGTTCCGAGAACGCTGGGTCAAAATACGATGGCATTTGGAATATTCTGAGTGAATGACGTCGTGGGGAATCACTTTTATTGACATTTGAGCCTCTTGTATGATTCAGCCATGGTCGTCGGCATCCCGTCTGCTCGTTGATAGAGCCTCTTTAGAAACAGAAGTGAGAAGTGTGCTAAAGAGTTTCCATGCATGAATCTCACAAGCTTAACGCCGACAGGCGGATGACTTTGCAAGATATTGCTTGGTCAAGCAGTCTACCATGGTGGGACTGGCCACCAGCTTAAGACTGGGATTTGGTCAATATTGTGGCAGGCTCTTGAAGCTTGAGATACGAAGATGCGGACCCATCAGGGTAAGAATGGATCTAAAAAGGCATCGAACGCTTTCTAATTCAGCCTGTGATGTGGGGAAGAAAGACATCCGCTATCGTTAGTCTGGACATGATCGAACCGAAGTGCTTAAAAAAGAGGCACTGGCGGTTTTCAAAGTGGGAGCTTCGAATAGTATGGCATGTGGCCACATACTATGTAAAATAAGTGCTAGATAGGCGGGCTAAGGCAATAGGCATGGCTAGACTCTTGTCAGGATTCTCAGCAAGCCTGAAATGATAGGCGGATTCAACTAGTTGAGCTTTAAACGAGCAGTTAAGCGCCTCCGCTGGGTTCGTCTACAAGCGAGCACGAGTTGAGTTCGAGACTGCAACTTGTTTGAACAGCCAAACAGGCCACCGCAATGAGCACATTTTTTCAAAGGAAGACCTATTTCAATATTTCTTGGTGTAAGCAAAACCAAACAGAATAGTTATGAATGGTTACGACGATTTTTCATTTCTGATGCTAAATGCATTTTCAATTAGACGGTGCTAGCTCATTGATATTTGCAATTATCAAAACAGGAGTCAGGTTCGGGGCAGCTAGAACACGTACTAATTGAAATCCCAAGGAATCGGCCATGATCCAATTCTCTTTTACTCAAGCTTCGTCTTGAATGCAATGTCAATCCTTCACTCCGTTTGGAAGCGTACACTTGAATCGATGACGCTAAAGAAGCCAAAAAGAAGCTCCCCACCGACTTTTGCTGTGCATATATGCGACAGAAACATGAAGAATCAAAGAAATAACAAAGAAGAACAAGCTCTACGTCACTAGCCGGAGCGGTGAGCCTTTCTATCCTTCACATTCCCTAGCCTACTCCGCATCCACACGTACAGTACGCATGAGCATGCACATGCACACAGACAGGCGTAGGTCAATTTATATAGCTACATCCCGCGTCCTCTTAAACTTCCCGTTTTACATTATCTATCTCTTCACTTGCATAATTCTAACAAAATCTTAAGTTGTCGCCTAGAATAGTATTTCTCCTGGATATTTTCAACGCTTTACCTCTGATATGTCGATGCTGCAGACCAACTCGGACAACGAGATGTCGGTGCTCAAATAAATCAGAAGTCGGAGAAAGGCGGAACAAACATGCAAGCCTACCACCCACCTGCCATCTTCAAAGAAGCGAACACTACAGCGATCACAACCTATGGGACTAGCTTTAAGCAAGGATAAGGGATGCGTCTTTGATTCCAACACGGCTCCTTACAGAAATGAATGAGAGAAGGGAATTTATGCATGTACGCAAAGGGGGGGAAATCCTTCTACTGAAAACATTAACTATCCTCCGGAATAATAAGTGATGTACTGTACCTTAAAAAAAGGCAAAAAGAAGGCAAGAACCCAAAAATAAAACAACAAGCGCGCGGCCCATCGGGCTGAACCTTCATGCTCTGTTGTCTGTTGTCTCCTGCACATGCGCGATTAGTTGGCTCGGGGATTGGTGTTTGACAGATCTGCTTTCTCTCTTTGTTTTGAACCTCCATGGGATCGATGAGGTTTCCAAAGACGGCTGGGCACCTGCAGAGAATTCTCTTTCCGTTCCGTCGTTAACAGTGGTTTGGGTACGGGAGGGGCTTGCAATTGGTGTGCGAATGGGGTGTGGAAGACAATCGGATGTTGACAGTTGCAAGCTCGAGAATTGCGCTGCCAAACGGAGTAGGATAGGAGAATATACCTACCCTCCACACCTGAGCTGAGGTACTTGCATAGATAGGGAGAATGGACTGTACTTTCACGTACGGTATAAGCGAAGTGTTGCGTGCAGTATATTTTCCGCCAGACGCACAGTTGATTAAGATGATAGCTGATGTTTGATATAGATGTACAGAGGTCAACTATCGACACCATTTTGCGATGACTCATGATGGCTCATTTGCAGAACTCGCCTTCAGATTCAATCCCGTCCAACTCAACTCGACTGAAATCACCAACCCCAGGATATCCTTAATCAACGATAACTATGACCATGATATTACTTAGCTAATCACCCGTGAAGCCCTCCCTCTCGGCAACTGAGGCCATCAAATCACAAGATATTATCAATATTTCATCGTCGGCCTTTGAAAAGCCTTCTCCGCTCGCCATTGCTCGCGGACTATGAAATATCGGTTATTGAAGCCCTTCAGATTCGCTTCACCTTTTAGGACGACGACGGCAACGACCACCACCACCACCACCACCATCACCAGATCCGAATCTCCCCATCCATTTCTCTTCGTTTGCTATTCACACTCCGCTTCCAAATCCCGGACCACTTTTGCCTGACATCTATTTATGCAATACTCTATTTGTGTTATTACATGCAAAATCTGCATGTAAATATCTACGTCCTTTGGTCGGAATCATAATCTATGCGCGTATGTATGTTACTGTATATACACATCTACATACCAGTTTTATGAGACTGTTGGCTGGCTAAGGAACGAGGCATATATGCCTGAATTCACCTTCATACAGCAACACCTACAAACGCTGACAACGGGCCAGGCAAACGAAAGCTTTTCTTTCTTTCTTTTCTTTTCTTTTTTTTTTCGTATTGTCATTTGTCATATCTGTTTGTTTGCTATATCAAGTTGGCGTGGGTGGCTGGAATGGGATATATATCATTTCTTTCAGGGGTATATTTATTTGTGCCCTGCAACTGGTCTTTTAAGTCTACCTCGGGAAGCAAGGGGCGCGGGTTTTTAGCGCTCAGGATGCACAGGTTGTGATCTCGTTCAAACTGTTTGTGGGTGATGGACTGTACAGGACCTGAAATTGGGAAGGCTGACGAGGCAAAAAAACAATCAACATTGGAAAATGCAAGTTGTGACTGGGCTGTAATATGGGGAGCCCTCATCGCTTTGGTAGCCTCGTTTGGCTGACAATAGAAAGAAGTTCTTTTACATAACTAGCTAAGTTCACTAGTTTCTAAATATCTATATGCTTTAAAATATGGGATTTGTATCCACGTTCCACTTTGAGTACTGATTTGGTATATCTTTTTTTTTTCTTTTCTTGTTCTTTTTGGCCCCCATACTTTTCTATATCTGTGGCCGTATTTTGCGTGGATCGGTTGAAAAAAAAAGTCATGATTTTGAGGCTCAGTTCGTTCTTTCGTCAACTCGTTTTAGGATGAAAGATCTACATGCTTACATAGCTTCAAATTGCGGAGTGTGAAATAGCGTCGCTGCCGTTGGCTAAACAGGCAACCCTTCTACATTTTTGACGTGACTATGGGGTGTCTGTTCCATGCCGCCGCTGCTGTTCCCGCTGACATTTCTTTTGCACATTTTCACCGAGCCGCCAACTGTTCAAGCCTTTTCGGATCTGTGTGTGATCCAATCCAACCACAAGCAGTGGAACCTACCTCTGTGTGTTCACCTTGTAGGTCCCAGGATGCAACCGCATACATATATAGATCAGATCTGCAACCGGCAACAAGAAGCAAATTTTCAAAAACAAAGAATTCTTCAGGATTTTTCACGTGCGTGGGGGTTTTGGGAGTTCTTGTAAGCAGAATGGTTGGGCTCGTGTGACTGGTCTAGACTGTTACCCTTTGTGCTGCATCGCATATCACACTACTGTGGACTGAAGAAGAAGAGGAATCGTCAAGAAAAATGCAAGGGGGGATCAGGTAGGGTACGGAAAGGAGGGGCGATTCATCACTGTGGATGCCTAAGGGGGGGAGAAAGGGAGGGGAAATAAATGCCTGTGTTGGGCTGCCCTGCCCTATCTCGACTTGTACAGTATGTGTACAAGCAACGGTTGGTGATGGGAAGCACAGAGACTCCTATTAGGTTTCTGGGAGCACGTTAAACAGCCGCCAAGTGTAACAAACATCTGGGTTGGAGTGTAGCAGGGATGAAGTTGTATAGAGAATGGAGTACGGGCTGTACGCAACAGGGATTATGAGAGAAGGAAGGGATAAATTCGAATCGGATGAGCACACACAAGTAGCTGATCCCTATCCATATCCCTATTTCCAGCTGATAACCCATTGTCATTTCGATTTATTTGTTGGAGTTGCTTTTAAAAGGTGCTTCAATATCGTGGCGCCAGCACACTGGACTTTGTCAGAAAAAGTGAAAATAATCCTTGTCCACTTAAAAATAAAAATAAAAAAAAAGGACTCGAACGCAAAATGTACAGATACATGTACGGAGGTAACCTACCATGGATGCGTAGATTTCTGGCTTCCAACATTGGTCCAAATCTGCAAAAAGTCGAACCGTGGCTGGATTATTTGCATAGCGACTTGACCCTGTGAGGAGCGCTTTCAACTCCTGCGTTTGCTAAACGGGCTGAGATGGTGCAGTGAAATCTAATATTATTCTCCTTTCCATGGAAACTGTAGAGTTTGGGGGCGTGTCCTGCATGTGGTGCATTGACCTCGGAATGGATGCATCAGATGTGCTGTTCAACGGGCCTGTTCGCTGTATTGTTGGATGCAAAAAGCGCTCAAACTCGCGATACTATTGGCAAGCGAGCAGCAGGGTATTGCTAGACAAACGGCAGTCATTGGCTGGCAGCGATGACATGAACCGTTGGCATCACTAGCATATTGTGAACAGATAATCGTTCCCTTGCACACCACATCTGTTGTGGACTTCTATCCGGAGCTTGCCCTCCACTCGCTTGCGATACACGAGTATCTTGAGAATCCCGAGGAATGGAAGCACGGTATAACCGTACATAGATGACCCGTTTTCTCAGTGCGCTTGAAGAAAAGCTTGGCCTGAAGCTATCCCTTTTCTCATTTTTGTTCCTCAGCCCCTCATTCTGATAGAATTTTCCCTGGATAGCAAGGGCCCATGGTGATCCGGGAAAGGCGCACTCCAAAGGAACATGGCGAGGGGCATGCACGCCCGCTAATTCGCCGTTATCCATCCTTGGCTTGTGATTGAATTGAAGTCCTTGGATATAACGAGGTAGCTAATTCTGAAAAATATGCCAGCATAAGAACCTTGTTCATTGCAAACCAGACGATTGAAAGAAGTTTAAAAAGGGCATTAAATTCAGTTCAGGCGCAGCCACAGGGCCTTCGCAGCCCCTATCTGGCATCAGCCAGTACGTCCTGTCTCTGGCTTATCCGATCGAGATCTGGACTTCCTTTTCGTTTCCCTTTTCAACGCTCGAGAGTGGTTGGCGGACAACACACCCGACCTGCCAATACTCTGCCATCATTATTTTTCGGCTCGATTTTCGACTGAAGTTTTCGCAGGGAAAAGCAACGGCACACGGGCAGGCCAGTGCAACACAGGAGAGTTGGCTGGGTTCGCCATCGACGCCATTATTCAGCAATCTTTTTGGGTCCGCTGACTACGGGTATTTGCTGGTGGCTTGTTGGGTAGGGTAGGGTGGTAGGCCCTTGGGTCTTGGATGAAGGGATGGCGGCAGTTGGTGGTGGTTGCGGGAACTACTCTTTTTTTGGCGGCTGAAGATCCAGAGGAGGCATTTTCTCCAAAGAGAGACAAGAATCAGTCCTCGATCCATGCAAACTCGAATCCATTCCGCGGTTCGGGGGCTCTACAGATGCAAATGCACAGGACAATGTACTATACATACATCCATGTACATGTACAGTACATGTACCTTGCTTCGTATGTTGGCATCCCAGCCTAAAAGGAATATGCTGAGGGTACTGGGCAACGCTGTATAACACATCCCCTGGGCTATCCGCAAATCGGCGGGACAGCCGGTGACAAAAAGTAACCTGAAAAGGAAGTTTTGATGATTAGATAGCAGGAAAGGCTTTCACGCCTGGTGTTTCTTTCTTTCCTTCCTTCAACAATCATGTTTTATGTGGTAGATAAATGGTGTGGATGTTGATCGTCTTGATTCTTCACAATTGGGCCTGGCTTGGTTCGTGCCATTGGTTAATTAATGTAACTAGTTAGTTAACTGTATTTGGGTCTCTCGCTGGCCCTCCAGGCTCCGACGACTTCAGCCCAGGGCAGCCAGCCGCCAGCTCCGGGGGACGTTATTGGCTTGGCCCAGCTACGGTACTCGCCCAGAAGTTAGCACCTCCCCGCCACCCAGTCACTCCAGATGTCACCCCGAAGTCACCGCCGCCGCCGCTGTAGCGTGTGATTCTAGCGGGCAAGTCCCCGGCAGAAGCTCCCCACTTAGGGCTAGTGTGGGGAAGAAACGACATGGAACCCGCAGCATGGGCCGCAGAGGCTCGTTATCGCCGCTATCTCGGGACTACTGTACGGAGGGCGCTATCAAAAGAATTGCGCCGGCAAAAAGACAACTAGACAGCGCCACAAATCTTGGCAGAAATTCACACTGTATTTTATACTGAATACTCAGCTCTTGATTATTCCTTGTCTCTGCTGCTATTCAACATGGAATCTGCCTGCCAATCTGCCTGTCAACCTGCGTGCCAATCTGCCTGCCAACCTGTGTGTCAATCTGCCTGCCAATCTGTGTGCCAATCTGCCAATCAGATGAGTATTCTATTCCTCCATCTGTCTGTGCTGTCTTTCTTCTCTATACTCATTGCCACCTTCTAACTCTATAATCTTTTCAATATGTACAGGAATCTGCTCAATCCATGTCTGTATCTTCTTTTGTGGCAGATTCTTTCATGTCTGCTCTCATACTCTAACAGCTTCTGTATAATTCTTAGAAGCTTCTTTTCTTGTTGTTCTGCACTTCATCCAGGGCCAAGCTGCCTCAATTGCATTGAGATCAGATGAATTCCCACATCAAAGCAGCTGTTGAATCCCATGAATATTGTACATATAACATTGGATATAGTGATTGTGTGAAGGGGCCTTATCCTCTTGCACAATAGTATTCAGACAATCAATTTGACACTCTTTTGCAAAGGGAAATAGCTTTGGTAAGAGAATTTGAACTTGATAGTAATATCAATCAATTTCATCATCTTTGTCACAAGATAGCTTGTCTGTGGCCTGTTTGAACTTTCATATTGATTTTTGATCTGATTGCTGATGATCAATCTGTAATCTTTGAATGCCATTTGACAGCTCCCATTCTTGCCTCTTTATAGATTCCATTTCAGCATTTAAAGCCTCAATATACTCAAGGGATTGAGCATGCTTCTGCAAGGTTTCTCTGACCCAACAATGAAATGAGTCCTTCTTATTGTATGAGAAGCAGGCTCAGAACATGAATTCAGATGATTCCTTCCATCATTCATATATACAGCTTTGAGAATAGATCTCATGAGATGCATGCTATATTCTATATCCATCTTGTTGATGAAGAAGAATAACAGAGATTTCATCTGATCAGATAACATTCTTTCAATCCTTCAAGATTCAATCTTTATGCTCCAGACAGAATTGAAGTCAATCTAGTCACATCTTCTTGGTGAGTTCTGACTTTCATATAGACTTTGTTTTTCACAGGCCTGCTTTGTGAAGAATCCTTCATATAGTCATAGAAGATATCTCAATTCCTTCATTACTGAATTCATTGATAAGATCAGTACATGTCTTTTCTCATTCATATTGATCACATTGAATCTTTGCAAGAATAGTGTCCTTAATACTATCATTTCTCTGAGTTGATTGATCAGATTTGGAGGCATCTCAAAGCCATTCATTGCAAAGTATAATATGAGGCAGTTCAGAATCAAATCCATGTTCAATTGCATGTTTATATATACAGTTGATTTGACTCTTTGAGATCTGGGTGATTTCTGTGATTTCAGTATTTGACTTGCCAAAATAGGGTGATTTAAGAGCCACCACAAGAGCTCTTGTGGCAATATCAGTATTGAGTGTCATATGAATCAGCAGATGAAATATTAGAGATGAGATATTTGAGAAAAAAGAGGAATCAATTCAGAATATGTGGCATTCTCATATAAATAGAATGTGGGGTCATTTGAAGCTAAATGTAATTACTCATTAAAATGTTGTGGCGCTTCTTAGTTGTATAAATTGAATCTGAGCGGCGCAATTCTTTTGATAGCGCCCTCCGTAGCTTTGTACCGAGTGGCCCGCCACCGCTCCCTTCAACCCTCGACTGCCCTCGCTGCTGCTAGTCCGCTGTAAGTAGTTGTCACGGATGCATCTCATAACAGACCAGCATTCGCCTTGCTGACCCGGGGCTGCTGATCGTGCGACTTTGGCCCTAGCACTTGATGCGCAACCGCACCGCAACAGCGCAGCAGCAGAAACTCCCGTCCAATGCCAAGACGGACCACTGCATCCCCAGCAAAGAAGCGAGGGCGAAGGAAAAGACCCAAATGCTGGCTTATTGCCGGTGGTTCGCAGCTCGAGTTGAGAAGGAGACTTGTTCTGTGCTTTCTTATCCCTAAGCAGCCATGCTTTCCACAGCTATCCACAATGGCGTAACCAAACAGGTTACAAAACCCAAGTTGAAGTCCCATTCCGAACACCTCATGAAGCGCGTCTCGAGAGCGTGTTTGCACTGTCGCCAGCGCAAATCTAGATGCGACTTGTAAGTACGATGGGAGTCTCCAGAATTCAATTCGGGTTGAATAGGCGACCCCTTGTTTCTCGCTATCCACACCAAATACCCCGCGAGAACAGGCAGATCTTCCACAAAGGGAGATTGCTCTTACGGACGAACCGATGTCTGACTGACTCTTATATTTGGCATCCAGGGACAGCAGTGGAAGTCCGGGCACTCCGCCTTGCCAGCGTTGTCTACGAGACCATCGTGAATGCGTCCTAGGTAGCTCAAACAGAGGGGGTCGCCGTATCCGCAAGCCGAAAACTGCCAATCTTGAGATGCATTCCAATTCCTCACCGGCCAGAGTGATGCAGCTTGCTCCGAGTGGTGCCCCTGGCCCGACGGACCCACATTCGTTCCCGCGGCCATATCCATCAGATCACTATGGGAGATCGGATCCACCCACTGCATCTACGATCAATATAGAGGACGACGATTCAGCTTCAACTACTGACAGCGCAATCGGATCCGTTCCACGGAACCCGTCTGACGCATGGCAATGTTTGACAAACGTTGCCAAGCGAGGCGCAGAAAGCGCAAATCTCGAGAAAACGGGAGATCATTATTCCGAATCAAAAAGCCGTGTTCGACTTCCTGGGGTTGAAGACGAGGAGTCTGAACCAGGAATCAAGGCATATCGTCTTATCAAGAATAGGTCGCTCACCCGTGAAACCGTTTCCCAGCTGGTGACGCGTTACGCCGACAATTTCCATCCTTATCTCCCCCTGGTCCCACGAAAGTATTTTGATCCATCTGCCCTGGAATCATTTGCGTCCCAGGAGAAGCATCTTCTGACTGCGGTCCTCACCATTGCCTCAAAGGACCTTGTGGAAACGCCTCAGGTTCATGAGGTTTGTTCCAAGTATATGCACGAGCTCATCTCTGGCATCGCTGCTGGTGCAGATTGCGATGTCGAAGCGGTCGAGGCACTGCTCATCCTTGCTGAATGGGAGCCCCAGGGCCTACGGCCAAAGATTGAAGCTGTAGGGCGAGGAGAGGAAGACAGAGCGGCATGGATGCACGTTGGGCTGGCTCTCCGCTCTGGATATTTCCTTGGACTTGATCGTACTTCTTTTAGAGGCGATCCAGCAAACGACACCCAAAACGACGGGCGGAAGCGATTGGCATGGACCAGCTGCTATATTTCAGATTTTATGTTAATATTCTCAAATTCAGTGATCAATGTTTGAAGCGGCCCTGGCCCTATGACTGGGCTTGTCTCTAAAGACTTTCCGTCTCTACAGCCTCTCACCTCAACGGATGAAGATTATGCGAAGATTTTCCAGGCACTCTTGGATCTCACACAACTGTACGGAAACGTCCATGATGTCCTCTACTCGGGAATGCGCACGAGCAGTCAGATGATGTTAATGGGGGACTATGTGAAATACGTTGATGACTTTCGCAATGCCATTGAGCGCTGGAATCGAAATTGGGGTACATTGACTTGTATGTCTACCATGACAGCACCAGGCTGATTCTTTATTTCTTTGCTTATACAAGCGATCTACAGGCTCTCAACACATCAAAGTAACTCTGCAGATGTCTTACGAATATCTGAGGCTGTACACAAACGCGTTTGCCTTCCAAGCGGCGATTTCTCAAGCACTCACCTCCAAACCCAAGGGAGATGCTCCTAGCCAACGAGAGCACCTACGGGCAGCATTTAGCAATGTTGCATCCATGCAGGACGCCCGTTTTATATACGCATCAGTTGATGCGGCGAAGTCCTATCTCACAATCTTGAATAACTACGTTGATCCCGAGAAACATTTACATTTCATGCCCTTACGATATTATCTGTAGGCATACCCTCCTTGCCAGTTGGTTGTTGAGATATTTCCTACTGACAGCTTCTTAAATTGCAGGTATAGCATTTATGCGGCAGTATTTTTATACAAGGTATATGATTTTGAACAATCCTTGCTTTCCTTTTGGGAGGTAGATTAGATCTGACTTGTTAACATGTTTAACCTAGGCCCGCTCATTTGGAGTAATGAATGCTCCAGAGGAGCAAGCCGTTCGGCATCTGATAAACCTTACCACAGACAGACTCCACAGAGCGAGTGCTGGTCCCGACGACATCGGCTCCCGATATGCTCGATTGCTCGAACTTCTGTGGAAACCCAAGGCATCGTCATCGTCATCGAATACTCAAGAGCATCAGCGCAAGGATGAAAGTGTCCCGACAGGAACAGTCCCAAATAGGCTGCCAGAACAGCCCTATATGCAGTATTCACCAATGAACGATTTCTCATGGTTGGATCTCGAGGCTGTAGGTGACTATGTCTCTGGATATCCCATGGGGAATCCCACCTTCATGGGCATGAATTCGTTTCCGCATCATAATCCATATCCGGTAACCTCAGAGGCGATTTGGCCCGTTCAAAATTGGCCGGTCGATCTTAACGGCAATTTATTATTTTGAGCTCCGGTTTTGTCTTGTGGAGGCATTTTATTTTGTCCGAGAGTGCTTTCTCTGACCAGTTCGAGTTTAGTATATGAGGTGCCTAACCCTGGCCAAAGTCCACGCGGGTGGTCTCCTGAAGTTCCTCTTTGGGAACATTGCGGGGTGGGATTACGTCACCACTTAAAAAAACTGAACAGCTTAACTATTGCAACCAAACCATGACGAGACGTGCTACGATTTGTTTGTAGTGCATATCCTCTAAACCAAATGTTTGCAAAAAGTATATAAGGTGGATATAATATTCTTATCTATCTCGACCCAAAGGCCACTCAAAGTAATGGAACAACCCGTTAATGAAATCGAAGGCCGTCTGGCTCTCATAACTGGAGCGTCTTCAGGGTCAGTAGCTCCCCGCTAAGCTTCAAATTGTTCAGCGGGAGAAAACTCTACGCCAGCTGGTATATTGACGCGCAGCAATCTTTCGGTTTCAGAATAGGGGCCGCATGTGCTCGTAGACTTGCCACAAGGGGCGTGCATCTCGCCTTAACCTACTCCAAAAACCTCGACGCGATGCGCGCGGTGCTTGACTCCATCAAACTGCAACGGAACCAATCCACAGGACCACCCCCACGCATTTCAATACGTCAAGTTGATGTTGGCGTCCCCGAACAGATCAGTCGCATGTTCCACGAGATTGACCAAGCGCACAAACAACTTCCAGACATCTTGGTGTCAAATGCTGGATACGGCAGGCGCATCCCACAAATATGGGATATATCGTTGGAGGAATTTGATTACACACTCAATGTAAATTTGCGGGCGTCATTTATTCTTGTAAAGGGGGTGGTGGAGCGGATGAAGGAACAGCGATGGGGACGGATTGTGTTTATGTCTTCCATAGCAGGATATGGAGGGGGGATTAACGGGTGTCGTATGTTTGCCAAATCTAGTTTTTTCATTGCTTTGCTTTCCTCTTTGTTTGTTTCTCATCATATTTGGCATATTCGCTAACCAGTTTCATAACACAATGAATAGACTACGCAGCGTCCAAGGGTGGCATGACTGGCATGATGAAAAATCTTTCCACCCGTCTTGCCGAATATAATATCAGTGTCAATGACGTTGCACCCGCTATGATTGGCGAAACGGGCATGATACCCAACGCCCAGGCCATTCCGGAAGTCGCTGCGGGTATCCCATTAGGCCGATTAGGAACTCCAGAGGAGGTTGCAAATGTGGTGGAGATGTGTGTGCAGACGGGCTATTTAACAGGGCAGAGTGTGCTGTTGGCTGGGGGTCTGAAATAAAGATGAAGAGTTATAGAGCGATCCCCCTCCAGCCGTGATTTTCATGTTCATCATTCGCACATTAGGACTGCTTGTGAGGTATATGCTCATAGATGGGAGGCTATTTGATACTCTGTTTTCATGTTACAGATTTTTGCTACCTAAGCACAAGCAGTTGCATTCGATAACAGGCTCGAAGAAACTGCTTTTTATGATGGTATGCTAGATAAACATTCCCGTGTTCACATCCAGATAGCATTTCAAATGCTAAACTACCTACAAGCATATATATGTCCAATCACAAGTAGACTGTAACTCAAAATTTCATGACTCCTCCACAAGCGATACATTCCATCAGGAAGTTACCTCTATCTTTCTAACCTAGTTACCTCTCGTGGTCTTCTGCTTCCCGTCCAGAAACAACTATAACTTTAACAACTGGCTTCCCCTGCTCATCCACCCCCTTTGCTGCTAAGTCAAATGCCCTATCCCCTTCTTCAAACCGCACAAAATGCGTTGCTACCTTCTCCGCCACTCCCTGAAATTTCTCGCTGCCCATCAAGGCCACTGCATCCGGATACCCCCGAGCAGCATACCGAAATACACCAATGAGATCGACTTCGCGCAGCGCTGCTGCCGACAGGGGTATGTTAGGGTGCGACGCGCCGCCCATTCCAATCTGTACGACCGCTCCGCCGGGGCCAGTAGCATAGATCCCCATGCGTATGCAGCTAGCAACGCCCGTGCAGTCATATGTACGACTGAAACCATTGGGAAGGCAGAACGCGGATAGCATCTGCTGAGCCAGGTCCTCTTCTGCTTGTGGGCTGGCCTCCGAGGCTGGTTTGGGGAGTAGGTATGTCCGGATCTTCGCCAGAGGGAAGGGGAGGGACGCAGCGATCCTCAGCCTTGCTTCGTCGATATCCGCGACAACGAGGGTGGAGAAATGCTGTGTCGCGGCCAGTGCGGCGGTGAGGAGCATGCCGATGGCCCCTGCGCCAAAGATCAGTGCGGCCGTTTCTTCGGGGACTCGAGTAGCGGACAGCGCCCGGGCCACAGACTCCGCATCGGCGGGATTCGAACGGCGTATCGCATGCATACATACTGCCAGCGGCTCAATCAGCGCGCTCTGCACGTCGCTGATGTGAGCGGGAAGCTTATGGCATTTATCGGCGGGGTGGTTTGTCAGTTCCATCAGCGTGCCGTCCAGGTGCGGGAAGGTCTTTGCGGAGCTCCTGAAGCGCAGGCTGCGGCAGATATTGTAACGGCCTTCTTTGCAGAGCACGCAGCTTGTACATGGAAAACCGACCTCGAGAGCCACGCGATCGCCGACCTGGAAGTCCTCCACGTCGGTTCCGACGGCGGTAATGGTGCCCGCTGATTCGTGGCCTAAACAAAGCGGGGCTCTCATGATAAAGTCTCCATTCTGCCCATGCTGATAGTAATGCAGGTCCGAGCCACAGAGGCCGGTAACACGGATGGCGATTTGCAGTTCGCCGGGCTGGGGTGCTGAAGCTTGGCGAACCTCCTTGGGGAAATGTTAGCAAGTACTGTTTGCTCTTGTTTGTGTGGGGGCGGATTTGATATGGAGTGGGGGATGGGTATCAAAGGACGTATCCGGGCAGTTGAGCAGACATGGGCGTATATGAAACATACATACTAATCGGAGGTCTTTAGCTCCATGAAGCACAAGAGCGCGGAAGGGTTGAGGATTGGGGCGGGACATCGGTAGTGTTCAGGATGGCTAGAAAACTCTGCCTGTAGTTTTATTTCTCCCACAAATGACAGCGAATGAAGAAATGTGTCAGTGGCCACTAAGTTCTGTATTTCAAGCCTGCGGTGTCATCCGCAAGGAGGCTTGCACCTTTATATCAAATCAATCCCTGATTGAGGAGGCAGGCATATCGCCGAAGAGCAAATAGCAAATTCCGGGCATACTTCACCCAGTTAGTAGACCTTATAAGCTAAATAATACGGATGATGGGCTGACAGTTCCGAGTTCCGCTCCGTCCATTCGGAAGAGTCTGGTTGCACAAAAACGTGTCTGGAACCAGCCAACACGGGCCAACACGAGGTTGTAGACAAAGAAACTCAGGAAACAGAATATTCAGCACCAAAACAGCCCCACCAAACTAGTTGATATACGCCTCAGGGAAAGGAAAAGGGCCACAGCTGGCAAGCGGTTTACCGTAACATCTATTATTCTGTGGTGGAAACTCCCAGGAATGATGTCTCAAAAAAAGAGTTAGGGTTAGGGTTAGCGCTTAGGTACTAGTATTCAGGGGATGATCCGCCTGGGGACTGAAGGAGCAAACTGAGCAGGAAGATTTGGGGAAGAAAAGGGAGGGCATGCAGAGCATCTCACAATCAAGCTGTCATTGCCTAATGATATTAATGATGTTTACATTGTCTTTCGCCGTCCTCCTGGCAGGTCCTGCGCCCGCCGCCCGCGTTTCCCTTCGTCTGTTTGATATTGCCATCAGTCCAAAGCTTAATCTATAATAACGTTTCCTGGGTATATCAATTGCCGATCTTCTGCTTCACAGATAGTCAGACTTTTATCGCCCTAAGAGCTAGCTACTGGAGCTACTGAATAATGATAGTAGCTGCTGGTTCCGCTGTTGCGCGGCTGCGGCCTTTCGCCCCCTACAACCCAACGAGTGCGCCAGCTGACCCTCAACGAACGAAACCCTAATACAGGGTGCTCGTTGCATTCCCCCTGTGTACTCATCCGCAAACTTCTATGTCGAAAAGCGGATACATCATCGCGATAAAGGAAGAAGCCAGCTCACGATGCTGCCACATCAGTCTTTGACCCCCTGCCCAGGATTGTTCCGCTCTCGCCTGGGAATGATATAAATACGAGTGAACGAGCGCAATGGAATGGGAGAGATATCACTGCTATTCTTCCTCCTACCCACCAGGTGAACGAACTTCTTCTGTCTGCCTCGCTTTGCTCCCCGTCGACTTGATTTTCATCGGTTCCAGTTTTATATGCTATTCACTTCCGTACTGCTTGTCAAAAATCCAAATCCGAGAGGAACGAAAGGCTTCACAGTAAGGCTTGCAAGTGTATGTATAGTCTGTTTGAGACTCCATGGATATTTCGACAATTGCACCTCTCCATCCTTCCCTATGCACCTGTTTTGTTCTCATCCACACATATCTCCTTGGACACACATTCAAGAGGATCGTGTTTGGCACTAGCTCTTGTTATGCCTTTTGATAAACACCTTCCATTGATCATTTTGTCATACTACGCCCTCGGCGTTTCTATATAGAAATGATATTCCCTGGAAGGCGAATTGCCACTGACGGAGATACCTAGTAATACCCCTCGGACATCTCAGAGGAATTGACCAATTTTACCATCCGCCAATTGATCCGATTATCAACGACAATGTCGCAACGAGCAGTCCTTCTGATTGGAAATATTGACCACTGCAAAAAGGAGTGGAAGGCATTGGCTTCTTTGGCTTCTCTGCGTGTACGTATTTTTAATCCCGGTTCTTTGGCCTTGTTTGGGCCCCTTCCCTCCCATGCCGTTTCGAACCGCATGAATCTTTATCGTGGCATTGGGAAAAAGTTGGCTCCCTGAAACGAAATGTTGTGTTACTTGAATCTTGAGGACGTCAGGAGGCATTTATCACCCCATTCCGATTCGATTCAATTTTCCATTTCCCGGTCCTCAATTCAATTCCTCGGCTCTCTCGTTTTCTCAGCTCTTTGTATCCTTTGCCTCTCTCACGCGAGTGCGCATTTTGCGCTCGCATGAAACTAAGCCCAAAGAATGGAAAACGGATGGCACGTCCACATGTCCACGAGTGGCTTCTACGGAAGCCCAGAAAGTAACAGGTTTGGACAATGGATGTGATTGATATTTGAATAGAGCTGCAACTCGCTGAGCAACCCAAAAAGAAACAACATTGCATCGATATTCCCATCTTCATGCAAATTGTGGGGCGGGATTTGTTTCATGCCTGCACCCTTGACCTGAAAAGTCAATGATCTGGTGGACGTCATTTGTTTTCTGCCGTCCTCAAGTTCCAATCTTTCGTTCTTCGTCTTTTTGTGTGACATGCACCTGGAGAACTGGTCAAGGGAAAGAAAAGAAAAGAAGAGGAAGGGAAAGAACAGAACCCGCTGACAGGTTGCAGGAATATTGCCAAGGAAACCGGGCTGAGTTTCTTGCCGACTGTCAAAACGGAAAGTACAACGACGTGGTCGCGATATACCGGTCGAACGAATCAGTGAAGGTTAGCCCATGTCCATTTTATTTTCATTTGGTTTTGGGCGGCTGCGCAATTCCACCACATCTTGTGCATTGGATGTTCGAGCAAAACAATCGTTTCTTTTAGAAATTCATGCATTCAAGCCTCTTCCCCACGCTGATAACTAGTGGTTACACACGCTCTGCAGGTTACCGGTTCTTTCGATGCCCAGCTTCTCAATGCGCTCCCGAGATCACTTAGGTTCATCTGCCACAACGGGGCGGGATATGACAATATCGATATCGCAACATGCACCAAGAAAGGTATGTATTTTGCTATTCTTTTGCTATTGCTTTCATGTCGTAACTCACTAAAAGTTTGAGAAAATATTAATCGCTTAAATGCTTGGTATAGGAATCGCTGTTTCTAATACGCCGCAAGCGGTCAATGATGCCACCGCAAACACTGCAATTTTCCTGATGCTCGGCGCGTTAAGAAAAGTGTGGACTCCATTATCTGCTATTCGAGAAGGTGAGATTATATTTCGTTATAGTTCTTTTGCTGTGCCTTGGCCATACAGCTAGTTGCTGACCATCCCTCAGGGGAGTGGCGAGGAAAAACAAGCTTGGGGCATGACCCCCAAGAGAAGGTACTTGGGATCCTTGGCATGGGAGGTATTGGAACTGTAAGTTGATGCCATCCCATTTGCCGGAATTTGTCGAAAAAGGGAAATTTTTAATAGCTAAATTGCATTTTGACTCCATAGGAAGTCGCTCTTCTGGCTCAGGCCTTCAAAATGAAGGTTATTTATCACAACCGAAATCGAGCCGACCCCGAACCTAAGGGAACCGAATACGTCACCTTCGATGAGCTCCTTTCGAGATCCGACGTCCTCAGCATCAATTGCGCATTGACGGATAAGACTAGGCATATCATCGGGGCACCTGAGTTCGCGAAAATGAAGACTGGCGTGGTTATTGTAAACACCGCGCGTGGTGCTGTGATCGATGAGAAAGCTCTAGTCGCAGCTCTGCAAAATGAGGTAAGCAAATATCCATCAAAAGCACGGTAACTCAAACCGCGGCAATCCCTGGAATATATTCTGATACCCCTAATAGGTCGCATCGGTTGGTCTAGACGTGTATGAGCACGAGCCCAAAATCGAGAAGGATTTGCGTGATCATCCGAGGGCCTTTTTGCTTCCCCACATAGGGACTTTCACACACGAGGCGCAAAAGAAAATGGAATTGCTTGTCCTCCGTAATCTAAAGTCATGTTTGGAGGGGGGCAACTTGGTCACTCGGGTTCCTGAGCAGAGGAATGCTAAGCTTTGAACCTGCTAGTACACATTGTTCGCGAGCGAATTCCCGCTGCGCCGCCAACTCTTGAAGAAACCACCTCTGACAGTTTATGGGTATTTAATTGTTTTCTCCTTCGTTCATTTTAGTTTATCTGTTTTGATTCGAGTATTTTTAAATAACATTCATAATATAATACCTTTTGCTCTTTTTATCTGCATTCCCCCGGCGAAGTCCTTCGTTTCTATTACTTCCGAAGTAGGGTAATTTGAGGGATGACTTTCTTGCCTCATTCAACTGGAGTTCCGTACTCCTAATTAAGCGTGCCATGGATTGATTCTTCTCCATTGACGTTGAATGTAATTGATATTCTTCATATTGTGACCATTTGGAGATAATTTCAAGGTCAATACCAGATATGACACTAGTTCCAAAAAAACCTAGCGTTAGGGCTGTCCAACAACACACCTTTCCCAATCGGGAACTCGCTTAGCTTCGCGCCTCACAGCACTCTAACCGGGCGGAAATGGCTCAGGCCACAGGTTGACGACAAACTTCTTCATCTCAACCAACCCCGACAACGAGGACCATCTTTCACCACGACAACTCTATCAAGATGGTGAGTTTCCTAACTGCCCTATTCTTTTCTGTGTTATGATAGCTATGACGTCTCAATTTCCCGTCGACCCGTCCGCGACATTGCTCCGTGGGACTTTTCAACTCTGCCCCAGAATAAAAATTTCTTTCCAGGACGATTATAAGACTGTTATACTAACGGATATTCGAACTTTCAGGTCCGCTACGCAGCCCAATCGATCCCCAGCGCGAAGAGCGCACGCTCCCGCGGCTCCTATCTTCGTGTCAGCTTCAAGAACACCCGCGAGACTGCACAGGCGATCAACGGATGGAAACTGCAGCGCGCTGTTGCTTATCTGGAGAATGTGATAGCTCATAAGGAGGCTGTGCCCATGCGAAGATATGCCGGCAGCACTGGACGTTGTGCGCAGGGTGAGTTATTGTGTTGGCTTTTTTCGTTTTCGTCGTTGGTTCGCCCTTCGATGGTCCGGGGAATATGGAAACCAAGGGGAAATGAGGTTGTTTCTTGAATGGAAATGGAGTGCATGGCTTGAGAGATTGGAAATAAATACGAACATGTCTTCGTTGTAAGGAAGAGATAGATATATACTTTGTGGAAAAATTGCGGCGTTTTGGATAATTTTTTGGATATTGCTCTGGTGGGCCCGTGGATCTAGACCCAGAAAGGGCAATGAGCATGCAAAAAAACCCCGCAATTAACATGCGATATGTGTACTAACTAGGCTTTCTTATGCTCTACAGGAAAGCAATTCGGTGTCTCCAAGGCGCGTTGGCCCGTCAAGTCTGCTGAATTCCTCCTCTCCCTCCTCAAGAACGCCGAGGCCAATGCCGATACCAAGGGACTTGACACCGGCAACCTCGTCGTTCAGCACATCCAGGTCAACCAAGCTCCCAAGCAGCGACGACGCACTTACCGCGCGCACGGTCGTGTATGTTCTCCTTTCCCTCCGCCACTGCATCACAGCTTCTCTGCACCATACATGTAAAGCTAATTCGTGATCCAATCTCTAGATTAACCCTTACATGTCAAGCCCATGCCACATCGAGCTCATCCTCACTGAAGGTAATGAAGAAGTGCAGAAGGCACCTACCGACCTCAGCAAGACTAGACTTTCGTCGAGACAACGGGGCGCTCAGATTCGACGTGCCATTACTGCAGCATAGGGGAAATAAATCAAAACAAGCAAACAAAGGGAATTAAAAAGCGGCGCATTGAGGAATTTGTAGCTACTTCTTTTTGTTTGTTTCTTTTAAATGTCGATAAAGACGTAAAAGACAACAAACCTTATTATGCTGTTTTATTTAATGGTAGCGAGTTCTTTTTTTCCCTCTCTCATTTCGTCTTATTCGTCCCTGTGTCATTGACATAGCCCCCCCACTGTCCTCTATGCTCTCCTTGGATTTTTTTCCTCGTGTCCCTTTCCTCTCCTAATCTTTCTTCATGGTTGATGACCCAGGATTAAAAGGAATTTCCTCGTTTTACATCTGTCTCGCTCCAAGTAAGCTGCTCTGATTTGCGCGTTGTAGACATCTCAGCGGCAGTGCTTCCGTGATGAGATCTTTTACCATGGTCTCCTCAGCGCGACGGGTCCATGTGATGCGTACTCCATACATGTAGATCAAAGCATGAGACAGTCGGGGCTGCCCACCCCACTCCGTTATATCAGAATGCGGCGATTTCCTCGTTGACCCACTATGCCGTTCAGTTGAGACAAAATGGCTCAATATAAGACATGCTATTCAAATATACTGCTGAAGAATCTGTGGCACATTCGGGCTACACCTAGAGATTGAGTGGAGGAGAGACAGTACCTTCAAACCATATTACGAAGGTACTCTCTACTCAGAAAATATACTTATGTTCAGCGAGTCCGCAGATCTTATTTCTGACAGAAGTAACCATCTATACACATACACGAATGTAAAGCAGGGATGTTAGCAATATGAGCTCTTAAATGCGCATAAGCCATTATTGGTCAATCACTGAAAAGTTTTAATTTATAAGACGCCATTCATTACCCTTCAATGTGCATAGAATCCCACCGGTTTGTGTACCCATCCTGCTTCGACATGCTTTAATATATAATCCTTTGACCACTGCCAACGGTAGGAAAATGGGCCCTTGTCACTTCTCCCTGCATCTAGAGTGAATTCGTGGGTTGGGCTGGCTGACTCCTATGAGGAAAGCAGCTATATCGGAGTAGATTCCCATCCTAACTTTACATTAAAGTAGAAGTGCTTGTGGCGGAGTATAGTAAGTGGGCGCCTAGATATTAGGACCACTCGTGATATTATATGTCATGAATTTTGGTTTGAGCAATGTTATGAAACGTCGATATAGACGTGCACGTATAAATTTTGTTGAACTAACGCTTACCTACTTTACATGCATTAATCTACAGTTTATTTTGTGTTTGAAATACAGATTTTTCCTGCTGATAATTTCCACAACGGACCCTGTAGAGGTGGATTTGTATCAGCCAATTTTGTCATAAGAAATATTTCAAAATTCTCGTTGCTAAAACGGAATGCGAGGGCGCACCGATGCTCATCGATCAGCTGACAATAGCGGTTGCTGTAGCCTAAACTTATGACTGCGACGAGAAATCGCTTTCCTGTCAGCAGTGGCTACACGGACGGCAGCTCGTGGATTTCACGCGACGCGGGCGTTCCAAGTGCGACCTGTTCGTTGGCACAGATTTTGCGGACCCTTGTTCAATTGTGGCGGAAGACTGCACAAAAGGGGTCTTGAGATGGGACAACCCAAATATAACAGATCTTGCTGTTTCACGGATCTCAGAGGAAGTCTTGCGTGAGTTAAAAGCTCCATCATTTTTTGTTTTCATTGAAATATAGGTCCATTAACTGATGATGTCATGGAGAAAGGGAGAAACCTAAAATAAGCTTAAAGTGCCAAGACATCTAGCGCGGAAACGGGGCTCAAAATAAGAAAACCGAGTCAGGAACCTTTGATGAGTGCCACAAACGGTTGATAAGCCACTCGCAATGTTAACAGCGAGCGGTCTGTGATGTTGCTTTTAAATGAGCACATCAATTTTTCTCGAGAGCTAGGAGGAGAGATATTTACTAACAACGATTCAGGCGTTCCGATCTTCCATAAGAGGGGTTACGGACTTCTTATTTCCGCAGAAAGGGACGCAAGTGTAATTTGATGGCAATAATCCGGCTTCCTAATCCTGTGGGTTCGCGGGGATTCGAGGAAATGTTGTAAGTAACTGACAGAATCCCACCTCTTGGCTGTGACAGGACACTAGCGCGTATCCATATCCCTCCTGCTCGTGTAATTTCAGCAATTGATAATCTCACATGTTTAGAAATGCTTTTGTTATTCTGAAGGTTTAATCAACCTGGGGATTACGCTACCATGTGCACGGAGTATTTGCTGTTCCTCGTCAGAAAAATTATTGGGAACTCACACTGTTTCCTTGTATGAGTTTGGCATGGTGGAGTGGCACGATAAAAAAATGAACCATTCTCCTTGGTATGAACATTGACAACCACGGTGGCACTTAGTTAAGGAGGTTCAGCTCAACACCTCAAAACTCATACATTTCCAGCCCTAACAGGTTTAATCAAGGAGAATTGCATGACCGTCTTCTCCCAGAGGAGTTCGGCATCATCATTTATTTACTAAATGAGTGTTTTTAACGCAATGTTACCCAACTTGACTTTTGCATTTATCTCTCCGGTGAGTAACTGTCAGATGGATGAAAAACTTATATACCAGTCTGTTATATACCATATCTTAAAATGGCTACCTTACTTGAAATATTGGCCCCTTTGATGCAGTGGTAAATCCCCATAGGAATCCGTCTCGACCCCAACTTTGTTGACATGTAAGTTCTCATCATGAACATCGTCATTTTGAACATATGTGGTGAACTAAAATTTCCTGTTGAATTCCATTGCCCGTATAACCCCCACGAGCCCCCAAGACCACAATTGTCTTTCAGCTTGTTTCAAGTCCAGGTACCTTTTGCCTGGATTTCCCACATCCCCTGACGTGGGGGTTGTTTTCCAGAACCTCTGCGGGGTAGAAGAAGGCGGAGAATTTCAATCATTGGACAAAAGGTCCATGAGTTACATGCAAAGACAGACCACCGTCTAAGAGTTTCATCAGACTTGCAGATCGGTGTTCCTGTCGGTGTGACCTGGATGTTACCTATCTGAGCCTTACCCCGGATAACGGGAGCACCCCCACGCCTGGTGGAGCTCCGCTAGCATCTTAGCTGCATACGACATTTTTTTGTCGCACAGCTTGCTTCGCTGTGTCACAATCCAATTACTGAATGCCGAAGCTATGGGTCCTTCACTATTTTCAAACAGCCTTTCCTATAAAAGGCTAACAATGCCTGTGCTACTCGATGTAAATGCAAGCAACAGCTGCCCCATCACTTAGGCTTTTCTCCTTGCGCAGAAGCAATGATGCGTCTACTATTACCCTTGCTTGCCACAGCTGTCGCAGCGCTGCAAACCCTACCACCTGTGGATTGGCCTGGCAATGACAACACCCCCGGGTCGGGCTTCTCAATCTCGGAAGCCCCCAAAACGGTGTATATCGATGAGAAGTTTTCGGAACGAAGAGATGAGAATGGATTGACCCTCATCCCGCCCTCCGGTTATGAATTTGCGGAAACCTTTCTCTCGGATCTGGAGCAAGCTACAGGCGAAAAATGGACCCTTCAGCGCATAAAAGAAGTCCCTAGTGATGCCAAAGGCATTATTCTAGGAGGGTTCAGACAAGATGCTGATTCATTGACTTACGAGGACGGTACTAAGTCGGAGGAGGGTTATGAGCTGGAAATCAAGAATGGTCAGGTCTTTGTTGGTGGGACTGGCGCCCGTGGAATGTACTGGGGCACCCACACATTCTTACAACTATTGCTTGTACATGGCGAAAAGGAGATCCCGGCTGGCCGGATTTTCGATGCCCCAGCTTATGCAAGTCGTGGGTACCTGCTCGATGCCGGACGGAAGTGGTACACACCATCTTTCCTAAAGGAACTTTGCTCATACGCATCATTCTTCAAGATGTCTGAATTCCAATACCACAGCAGTGATAACTATCCTCTAAACCGAGGACTCAATGATACGTGGTATGAAGTATACTCCCAGTTCTCACTACATCCTGAGAACGAGCAATTGAAAGGCGTCATTCAGCGCGCGAATGAAACTCTTTCTCGAGCGGATTTCGAAGACCTCCAGCAGCACTGTGCGCGTCGTGGAGTCACAATCATTCCAGAGATCGAAGCACCGGGACACTGTCTCTTCCTCACCAAATGGAAACCAGAGCTTGCATTAGAGAAGAAGGACTTGTTGGATCTAACTAATCCCGATTCAATCCCACTCGTTAAATCTATCTGGGAAGAATTCCTCCCATGGTTCCAGACGAAGGAAGTGCATATCGGTGCTGATGAGTATGATCCTACTCTTGCGGACGTCTACATCCACTTTGTCAATGAAATGGCCAAGTTTGTTAAGTCGAAATCCGGAAAAGATATTCGTATCTGGGGAACATACGAGCCTTCCGATGACATGACTATCTCTAAAGATATTATTATTCAGCATTGGCAGTATGGCCAATCCGACCCCATCCTTTTGAATAAAGATGGATATCGATACATAAACTCCGAAGACTGGTGGGGATATATGTCCTTGAAGAGTGACCACACCCCTATCTTCCCGGCAACCTACCCACAATTTTTTAATAACACACGGACTTTGAACTTCGCCAACAAACCAGACTGGCAATGGGAGCCATCACTTTTCAATCCAGTAAACGTGACGGAACAGGTTAAGCCCGGCGCGAAGGGCAATAAAGGTGCTATCATTGCAGCCTGGAATGACAATGGGCCATTTGCCACCACGCAACTTGAAGCATTTTACGCGATGAGGAATGGCATACCTGTTGTTGCCGCTAGAATGTGGGCTGGTTCGCGAGGTAATCGTCTTGATGCCGAGACATTGTCCGCAACCATTGAGCTCCTCACGAACCGCGCGCCAGGCCAAAACCTTGACCGGCGATTGCCCTCCGAAAAGGGAGACGAAAAGGCAGGTGACACGCTCTTAGAATGGAGCCGCGAAAAGGGTTCGAAGATATTAGGGCAAGGGAGCAAAGGGATGAACTACACCCTGATTCTCGACATTACCGGGCCCTTTAAGTTGACTTCCAATGATACATCCCTCTCCCTCGATGACGGTGGAAATCTCGTCTTCAACTCCGACAACTGGGCTTACCCACTCCGCTCCGTCGCAGAGGGTGACGGATACGATCCTGGTCATCCAGGTCGCATCTGGACAAATGTTACCAGTTCCACGCATAAACCTGTCACAGTCCCCCTGACTTCGCAGCTGACGATTAAAACGGACGTAATTGGTGGAAGCAGAGTGTGGATTGATGGAAAATTCAGCGGCCGATTTGAAGTTTATATTTATGGCGGAAAGAATACTCTCTTCTCGTGGAACCAGATGGCGCTAGTGGCCCCGCTTGATACGATTGAAGGTGATGGTCTGAAGAGTTTGACACTCAAGAAGGATATAAAGGACACTCCAGACGCTCCTGATGACCCTGAACATCCCTCAGGAAGTAATCGGATTAGCTTTGGTCTGAATGCGATGGATCTTTGGGCCTGCAGCTTTATCATGATGGGCGTCTCTCTCTTGCTATGAGAGTCACAAAGCATTGAATGCTAAGAGACTTCAAGTGAACATATTTTTTAGGTGGTTTGTCGTGGTGTCTTGTATAGCTAACTAGTTCGCTTCTCCAAAACAATAGTAATTGAGATCTCTCATGAGATACCCTTGTGCCCTGGTTCTCAACATCCCGATATTGTTTTAGTATTATGGCGCTGACACCAAGAATGGCCAGCTCCTCCTGCTGCATCAAGTTTCGTTGCAAAGAGTTTGAATCGCAACACCTTGTTGCCACAAGCTCGTATGAAAGGAAATTCCGTTTGCGATGCAGGCTGCGGTTCAACCGGAGCGAGTTTTCGGTGGTCTTCACTGCCAGAAGTCACGTTGGCCAAAATTCTAGAGTGAAATTCTCGAATTGAACATTTTGATGGAAAGGCTTAATCTATGACATCGCTGAGAGTGTGCCCGCAGGATGTTCGCCCGCTTCATTTAGGGAAACACTCGGCAGCAAATTTAGTAGTTAACATTGAACTGCTATTATGAACAAGTTCCAGATGACTGATTGCGTATCCACAATAAGAATGGATTACTTAGTCACTATCTCCATGCCATTGATAAAATTTATGATCCTCAATAGTCCTTGCCAATCCCCTTTCACTGTTCGTATCAACTCTTCTTTAATTCAGTCTGGCGTGTAAAATGCCCCAAAACTACAATCAAGTTTGTATGAGGATTGAATTGCAGTCGATTTGCCATCATTGACTGTTCTGGTCAGATGAATTGCTGGTGTTTCTGGTGTTATTCTGAGGTTCTTGACCGTTGCTATCTATCCAGTCATCGTTATCCATGATAAGACCCCCGTTATCACCCAAAAATTCACATTCGATTGCTTGACACTCCTCCATGTTTTGGCTAGGGTTAAAATATCGAAGACTCTATCATAGTCATTTGGGTTCTATCTTTGTCACCACACCAAAGACTGACAATATATTATGGAGGATCAGGATGTGGAGTGGCCCCTCGCAGCAACGAACAAATTATTTTCGCCGCATCCGGCCAATCTCGCATGCTCTTAAATATTATATCTGCGAACAAAGAAAGCAATTTTTTGCCTGAACACATTGTCGCTTCGTTCAGCCTTCCCCGAAAATATTTATAGAACCACCCAAAGACGCAGCGTATCCCTTGGAGAAGACATTGATGAAGTTTCAGGTATTCTCACCCCAGGTTCGAACTAGTCTCAAGTGCTTATTCTGCTTGCCAGGGACCTGGACTCTTCAGATGAAATCAAATGTTTAGCTTATTGTCCTCCAATTATTTCCCCTCATCACACCGTGGCCCTTATAAACTGCGTATAAAGTGACTACTTCCGCCTCCGAGATGCCGTCCGCAACCGAGAATCTCGCGATCCCGCTGGGTTCGCTTGTTCTCGTTACTGGCGCCAACGGCTTCATTGCCAGTCATGTCATTGACCAGCTGCTCCAAGCCAACTTCCGTGTGCGCGGCACAGTACGCAAACTCGCCAAGGGCCTTTGGCTGAATGACTACTTCTGCTCAAAATATGGGCCCGGGAAATTCGACTTCGTCGAAGTGCCCGACATGGCCGTTCCACACGCCTACGATGAAGCCGTAAAAGGTGCATCCGGGCTCATCCACGTCGCAACTCCTGTCCTGGTCACCTATGACCCCAACGAAGGCATCCCCATGGTCACCAACGGCACCGTCAACATACTCGAGTCCGCTCGAAAGGAACCATTGATGAAAAGAGTGGTGTTGACATCCTCATCCACCGCCGCCGCGAGCCCACAGCCAAATGTGGAATTCACAATGGATGCAGGGACGTGGAATGAAGATATCGTGCGAGCCGCATGGGCTCCGCCGCCGTACGAAGGTTGGCAAAGGCGACATAACGTCTACGCAGCCAGCAAGACGGAGGGGGAGAAAATAGCATGGAAATGGGTGAGAGACAACCAGCCGGATTTCGTGCTCAATACGGTCCTGCCCAATGCGAACTTTGGCAAGATGCTTAGCTCGCAGCATCAGGGGTTTCGGTCGACAGCGGGCTGGGTGAAAGCTGTCTGGGAGGGGTTTAGGGGTCAATATGCGGACGAGGTATTTAACAAACCGCAGTATTACGTTAATGTGCGGGATAATGCGCTGGTACATGTTGCTGCATTGATATATGAGGATGTGCGCGCCGAGCGGTTATTTGCGTTTGCACAGCCGTATAATTGGAACGATATACTGGCAGCGATGAGGAAGTTATATCCGGATAGACAGTTTATTGATGATCTTCCGGGTCTGGGCAGAGACTTGAGCAAGGTTACAAATCAAGGAGCGGAGGATTTGCTGAAGAGGATCTCAGGAAGGGGTTGGACGGGTTTTGAACAGACCATCAAAGAGGCGACGGAGGACTTTATTGTTTAGTTTTAGTTTTAGTTTTTTCTTTCTTTCTTTTTTTTTTCTTTTTTTCTTTTTTTCTTTTTGGTATGATTTCACGATTTACGATTTTGACGTGGGAAACAAGCGTTGGCGATTACGTCTTTATACAGTCTGCTCGTTGATTAACGAAACGGCGAGGGGCATTCAAGTGGTGCCTGGTGTGTTTGGGACCATGTTATTAGGATGAAACCCAATATCGATCGGTGTAGTGATTTGCGTGTAATGATGTGCGATAACGATATGAACTTCTTTATGGGAATATTCCCGGTTTGTAAATTGGGTATGTAAAGACGGTGAGTACGCAAGAAGATAGAGAAAGCCAACTCCTTATTCCATATTAGAAAAAGAAAGAAGGATGCGTCAGAATTCAGAAAACCCAATCTAATTCTGACTTGAACCCATTGATGCTCTAATTCCCATTAGGAGCCCCGGACCTCTCCGGAATCTGCCTCTACATCATTATCCTCATCTTCATCCTCATCCTCATCCTCGATAGTTTCAACCACTAGATTACCCCCTCTGCCGATTGTTTCTCCAACAGAGCCACCAGCCTCGATTTCGTATGGTACACGAGGCATAGGCGAAACAAGGCGGAAGCCGTATTTATGTTCAAAGCCTTCGGGAGGTTGCACGTTCCCGGATCCAGAGGCATTTGCCTCCCCTCCATCCGTGCGCAACACGTCATAACATTCAACAAATGCATACAATTCCTCAATACCCGCGGAGGCTGAGAATCGTCGAACCACTCTGTCACCCGATGCTAGGCGGATACTCAAGCGAACGGCGTTCTTATCGATCGCAGGAGGTTCATTTGGGATCGACTGCGCCCTCCACCGTTTCCATTGCTCTAAGTCGTTCGCGAGTTTTTCGGCCGCAGCCTTTTTTTCTTGCGCTTCCTTCTCTGCACGCTGGCGGGCCGCTTCCGCTTCTTGCCGCTTTCGAGCGCGCTCCCTGTCCTGCGCAAGCGACCGTTGATATGCGGAGTCCTGCTCTTGGCGAATCGTCCGCGAGGCTTGCTGTTCGGCTCTCGTAGCTCGCACACGGTCGAGTAGAGGTTGGCTCTGGGTAATCGCTGAACGGAGTTTCTCAATAACTTCAGCTGGCGTTGTCGGGCCAGGGGCCTTCGTTATTATGGACATCGCAGATGAAGACACGCTTGGGTTGTGCACTATTAGCCCGAAAAATGGAAATTTGGTACATCCAAGGCTGCTTGCAACCTGGTATGTTTCGGAGTCCCGAACATTGCCAGCCCAAACCATGATCTTGTTGGCCGGATCGTTAATGAAATCCACAACCTCCGTCGACAGAAGGGTCTCCCGGACCCAGCTGCTGGTAAGGTCATGTTCTGGAGACAGCAGGATAACAAGTAGGTACTTTAGCTCTTGGTGGGCCTTTTCCATAGCCATGTTATATCCATTGTCAAGAAACGGGATGGAATGGCTTCCATATTCTTCTTCAAATTCTCGGATGAACCGGAGAGCAGTGTCTTTTGGGCCCAATGGCCTCCGCCCACTTGTATCTCGTCTATATCCTTGCGCACCCCAACTCGAAATGGTATTCAGCAGACGTGGGAGGAACGGGAAAATTGTCCCAAGGAGCCCGAATGAGCTGGAAAGCAATCTGTAAAGCAGGTTGAAAGGCGTGAAGAGTATGGCAAGTAAAAGTGGAGGGCGATAGGTTGGTGTTGTTATTCGCTGCGCCAGTTCAGTTGTGCGCCCAGGGGAAAGAGTGCGGAGGGGGATATCGTCATCGCCGTTCATTAGATTCTGGAGAGTTCGGGGTGGCCGCGCTGGAGGGTTATTTAGGGCAGCTTGTGCTTCTGCGACAAGGTCCGGGCCATCACCATCGAAAAATTTGGTGACCGCAATCTATCATGAATTATCAGACACTCCATCCTAGCTTTGGTCATAGTAGATCTCAAAGGGGTTAGCATAATTACCTGTGTATTCCATTCGGATCGTTGGAGAAGTTGGATAGCAGCGGATTCTTCCCCGCCGGTAATGGCAATAAACGTTTGGAGGGCATTTTGCTGGCTTGAAGATAGCTGAGAAAGATCGACCTCTTCGGTTGGCATTATGGCAACGTGATCGAAGTTCCATTCAATGCTCTCAGCGATCGTTGAAATTCAGCTTGTTTAATTCATCAAGGTCTAAATGTCGTCATCCATGGAGGAGGAGTGGGGATCTAAGGGAAAATGGAGTAAATTTCGTTAAAATAATAGTTAGGGTAATAGGAATATGGCTCTGTCAAATATGCAGCTCGTAGGGATAGGAAGAAGACAGAAAGCACAGGCTGGAGGGTGATTGTATCGGAACTTCTCCACGACGAGATCGTGCGTGAGGCTGCATCCGGTCCAGTTTCACTAGATGAGTTGACTTGGCTGGATTATGCGTTACCTAAACATGGGTTGATTCCGTTTTAGAAGGATTCTCACGTATGGTATTGTAATATTGTTCCAGAAGCCCCCAGGGTTGCATAAAATACCGCGCATCAAGCCACTTGCTGGGCTTGTACCGTATTGTACCGGGCACTTTTCCACTGGTCCAGGCCTGACTCAGCCCAGTCCACTGACCCTGCTTGATCTCGGCATCAGGCGCGCACAGCTCGTCGCGGATTCGTGTGCTTGTTAACCCCCGACATCATCTTGCGGCCGATACCGCTGCGACTTGCACTTCCCTCTGTCCTTTCCTTTGAGTTCTATCGCGCAGTCTTCGCCCCGCTAATTTCCGATCCCCAAATGCTATCCTCGATGACCGTGATCAACCGCCCGTGTCATGGATAGCACGCAGTGAGTTGGGTAACCCCTCAGTGACGGCCTATCTGGAATGCGTCTCATTGCGGTAGCTTCTAAACGTTCCGATTTGGTGGACTCTGCTTCTCTCGGGTCAATGGAGTCTGCTTGGTGCTGAGCTGTGCCGGATCTGCAGTTATGGCTTCGGCGGGCAAGGCCAACTTTGACGATTCCAGACGAACCACCGGGTCGCCGAAGCTGAAAGGTCGTGGTATGTATCCGGGCCCATGCATCTCTCTACGGTCCCTGCCTTTTCCCTAGATCAGTTGATTGCCTAAGCAATGAATCCCGTTGTTTAGACGCATGTGCAGCTGCAAATATTTTTACTGACTGTTTTCGTCACCCCCAGAAAATGCGAAAGACACCCTGTGCCGTAACGTGACAATTTACGGCCGATGTCGATATGAAGATAAAGGTGCCAGGAACCGCATATGAATATCTTGGGTCTCGTTCGGAACGTCACTGATTGAATCGTGTTGAAGGTTGCGCATTTAACCATGACCCGCACCGGGGTAACGCCCCGCACAGCACTGAAAGGTTCGCTAGGCAATATTTCCTGTCGCATCTCATGCTGAGGGCTCATTCGGTTCGCTGATATTGGCAGCAGCAAGAAACGACTCAATGTCGACTCGCCTAGCTTTACCCCTTCGCTTTTGAATGGCTCAGCGGGACCCAAAAAGCCCGCAGCCACAACTACCATTTCCCCAAAGGCTGCCAGCGCAGCTCCGTTTCTTCCCAAAGGCATAATCTCACGTGCGATGCTACCTCCCTAGAGCAAGCAATTGTAGCGTACTTTAATTGACAGCGGGCCCCAGGATCGAATGCCTCTACACCTCCTGTTCTCCAAGATACTTCTACTCCGGAATGGATTGTCGCAGATATCCCAGATTTTGTACCGCAAGGATTCGATACAGGACAAGTGGTAAGATGCCCCTTCCCCTTTGTTTGAAATTTCCTATCCCTAGATCACCTCTGTAGCGTGCTGTGGATTGGAGCATTTTAGCCTTGTATGCTTGGATATTTCAATTATTATCATTATCACCCTTTTTTGTTTATTATTATTCGAACGAATCCGTATAATTATACTATTTGTCACAGCCGCCGGGTACTAACATGTTCAGGACACTTTACAGGGCAACGGCAATGGAGGAATACCAGCAGGCGCTTTCGATCCCTACATCGGACCTTCCACCGCCCAATTAACAACTCAGAGTGCAGTGGGCCCTCAAGTTACGCCAAACCCATACGCCCACGATCCCACTGCTTTAGGCGCAGCAGCGTACTTCGGACCCCAAAACACGTTTCAACAACCGGTATGTCCTTTTCATTTGGCCTGTAGACCAACTTGCAATATTAACGCACGATAGGTTCAATACCATCTCTACGCACCCATCGGGCCACATAACTCAAATATATTAGGCTACCAAAGGAATGTCCATGATTTGTTCCTCCCAAACGATTTCCGGGAGGAATTACAAAAGAAGGCAGCGGCTACACTACAGACTCTTCCCAGTATGTCTCTGCAGCATACAACTAATCCCTATTCTAATCCGTCACCGCCTTGCTAATTCCCTGAAGACTCTCAACTTCCGACACAATTAGACCATTTTCACTCCTTGGTGCCTCTCGATCTTTCCTACCAGAAAAATGCGGCGATTTTTGGCTACCCTAGTTGGGTATATAAGGCTCAATCGAGTAAAGATGGCAACTTCTACGCTCTAAGGAGACTCGAAGGTTTGCTTAACAAAATATTCCGCCTATCGACCCACGGCTTATGTCATTTTAAACAGGTTTCCGTTTGACCAGCGAAAAGGCCATTCGATCAGTCCAAAATTGGAAACGAGTATGCAACGGCAGCGTAGTCACAGTCCATGACGCTTTTACAACCCGTTGCTTCCAGGACAGCTCCCTTATAATTGTCACTGACTACCACCCTTTGTCAAAAACGTTGGCGGAACACCACCTTGGTGGTCCCAGCCGATATCAGGCTCGCCAAACCGGAACACATATCCCCGAGCAAATCCTATGGAGCTATGTAACTCAAATTGCATCTGCCTTGAAGGCAATTCATAGCGTAGGGTTGGCAGCACGAGTGATCGATCCTAGTAAAATTTTGCTGACAGGGAAAAATCGCATCCGGCTTAATGCGTGTGCAATTCTGGACGTTGTACAACATGACTCCCAACGGTCGATCACAGACCTCCAAAGTCAAGACCTAGTAAATTTTGGCCAACTGATTATCACTCTGGGAGCAAACTCACCCTCCGTCATGCACAATCCGACAAAAGCCATGGAACATTTTACTCGCGCATATACTCCTCAATTGAAGAATTCCATTTTCTGGCTATTAAGCGCCTTACAAAAAGATCAGGAACGCAACATCGATCTCTTCGTCACCGGCATCTCCTCCCAGCTCATATCTACTTTTGACTCCGCCCTCCACCTCGATGACGAACTCACCTCCGATCTCAGCCGGGAGCTCGAAAATGGGCGCCTCGTTCGCTTGCTTACCAAACTCAATTTCATCAATGAACGTCCCGAATACGACCACGACCCCCAATGGGCCGAAAATGGAGAGCGTTATGTCCTCAAACTATTTCGCGACTATGTGTTTCACCAGATTGACGCGCAAAATCTACCGGTTGTCGACCTGGGGCATGTACTTACCTGCCTGAACAAGTTGGATGCAGGGACCGAAGAAAAGGTCACGCTGGTTAGTCGAGACGAGCAAAGTTGTTTTATTGTTAGTTACAAGGAGTTGAAGAAGGCGGTGGAATCATCCTTCCAAGCGTTGACGAAACATCCGAGGAGGGCCTAAGACCGGTGAATATTGAGTTTGCTCTGTGGGTTTTAAGGCTTTTTGGTACGATTTATCGACATGAGCTGTTGGGTGTTTCTTTTCTTTTTTCTGTTGTTGTTGTGCATTCCCACATCTCCACCCACCCCACACCGCTATTATATATAAATAAATATACCCGTCTCTTCATTCACGTTTGGGGATGGTGCGGGATGGGGATGGTAGGGTTTGGATTTCAGGGAATCATGAAATGGATTGGGGTGTTGGATTAGACTCCGATTGGAGTTGGGATTTAGCGTGATTATCAGATAGGATTGGACGGAGGAAGGGAAGCAAGAAAAAAGAAAAACAGGGCACAGAAAAATTGAAACTCAAGAAAAGAAAGGAGGACATCTAGTTGTTGAGTCTTTCCGTCAACTTGTGATGGTTGGTTTTTCACTGGGTACGGGCTAGCTATCTACAGCGCGATCTTTGGTCCAGATAGGTAAATTCTTATATGGTGGGGAGATAGTTATACGGCATTCAACAACGCAGATATGGAGTAGCAAATAAGTTAGTTAATGCAAATGAGGTTTATAATTGTATACTTGATAGTTTGTTAACAATAATATCACATAAGTTTCTACCAGGAAAAAAAAAAACAAGAGAAAAAAAAAGTCAAAATCACAGTAACTATCGCATAGTTCAGAAAGGGAATTATTCGATAGGGTAATAAATAATATAATACATTTTTTAAATCCCAGCAACGGCACAGAGAGATGCAAGCAACGCCATTTACAGAACCAAGAAAAGCAGACGAACGAGTAAGGGAGAGAGAGCCCAAGGCTACAAGAGGGCGGAAAGGCATCATTTTACCCCATCATTAAGAATTTTCAAGCCGATCTATATCATTCATTCACACCCACATCCTCTCCCCCCACTTCACCTACTTACTACTCAACGAGTCGAACTGGAAAAAAAAAAAAAAAAAAAAAAACAACAAACGTAGCTTTCACTCGTCTCCCGCCTGCAGGAACGGATTGGCGATCTCCTCGCTTCCATCGACGGGCGAGATGAGCACGAGCAACGTACCACGCGCAACAATGAGGCCAAGGGAGCGGGTTGTTTGATTACCTTCGTCGTCTGCGCCAGGGGGAGGGAGGGGGTAGAGTTAAATATAGTTAGTTCGTCCATGTTGAAACTTTGGGATGGCTGGCTGGCTGGCTGGCTGGCTGGCTGGAGCAGATGAGGGCTGATGGAAGGGATGTAAAAGATATTCGATATGTAGTTACTTACCGCGCATAACTTCCCTTACGTCATCGAGGACGAGGTTCATGAGCTGGTCGTAGCCCTTGAGGGTGCCGGTGACTGGAAGGGGAATGGATTCGGTTAGCTCGATCGACATTATTGATTTTTCTCAATAGGACGGTGGACGATGCATAGCAATGGGTGATATTGGGTGTAAGGAGAAGGTGGTATGGGCGGGGGGCCACATTGCCCGCCCGGAGCATGTTTCAGGATCTCCTCCATTGAAACAAATGATAGGGGACTTTTTTGAAGGATGAGAGAGTGGGTACTGCAGCAGTACCGATGGTTGCCATTTTCAACAGAAAAGGTGTGGTGGGGTAATAAATGTTCAGTATCATCCCATGTTCAAAAACCGCGGATGAGAATCGCAAACGAGCAACCCTCGCTATCAAGGCGGATTTTAACAAAGGTAGAAAAAGAAGCACGAACCATAAAAGAAGAAAGCGGAAATAAAAGAACTAGCAGAGAAAAGAAAATACAAATACTAAAATAACAAATAATAAAATAAATAAACTAACTAACCTTCTCTCCCCCCGTTGAACTTCACACAAACCTCCTTCTCCATATACTTCGTCAGGTCCAAAATATTCTCTTTCTTCGGCTTCTCCTGCTGCTGCTGCTGTCCGCCTTGCCCGCCTTGCCCGCCTTGCCCGCCTCCTTGCCCTCCACCCTGCTGCTGCTGCTGCTGGTGCTGATGCTGATGCTGATGATGTTGATACGATGCACCGCCACCCACGCCGCCACCTCGCTGGCTCCGGTAGCCATAGCCGCCTGCACCACCAGCTCGACCTCCGCCGCGTCCACCACCCCGGGGACCGCCCCGGAAGGAGCTGCGTTCAGACATGATTGCGGGGCTTACGGGGGGGGAGGTTTATCGATGATTGAAGCGGGGTTGATTGTGAATTGCGATTTTGTCCCTTTTTGTTGTGCCCGTGCCCTGGGGAAGTTAAAGCCGGGGGGGCGGGGTGGAGTTAGGAGGTTGTGGGAAAAGGTGGGTTGTTTTTGTGTGTTTGATTTATGATGGATGGATGGATGCTGTTTGGTTTTGGCGGAGGAAGGGCTTTTTGGTTTTTGGGTGGTGTGTGTGGATTTATGTTTCGAGTGCGTTGACTTTTCGGGAGCTTGGTGTGTTTTTCCTCCTTGACTTCGACGAAGTATGTATAAACTGTGCATGCAATGATACTAACCACATCCATGGTTCCCCCGCTCTCTTCCTGTTATTTCGGAGATTTCTAAGCGCGGGCAAAGTGGAAAATACAAGAGATGCAAGGAGGGATTAAAAGCCGTAAAGGGAAATCAACATAAGAAAAAAGGGTCGTGGTTCTTTGCTAGCTTTCTTGCCTGGCTACCAAGTACTAATAGCATTCATTCATTGTAGGCCATGAGCTTCGCAGCGGGGACGGACGTTCCGTCCACTCAATTCTGATACGGATTCCGCTGGGATGAGGATATGTTATTTATGAAACATACCAGAGGCATGCGGGTGTTACTTGTAAGTACCCAATGGTATGATTTAGAGTGATCTGATTGTGTGTGTGTGGAATTACCCCACAGAGCATATATATGTCACTAGAACAATTACAAAAGAAAGGAAGAAAATAACCAGAGCAGTCTATTCAATGGGGAACTAGCGGTCAATAAATTCCTAAAGGAGAACGAGAAACAACACGGAGTAGAGTAGCTCAGTCAGTATCTCGGCCCGCGACCCAGGTAACAGAGCTCTGGCGCTCTAGTCATACAGTTCTTTCGGCGTTGTATGATCCCGCTTCAGGCTATTGGGGGCCGTGACCTTAATCCCGCTCTCAATCCGCGACAACGTCATATCATACCCCTTATAGTCGCACCAGGACTTGGCCATCTTCGCCGCATTCTTAATCTCTCTGCCATTCAGCTGCCACATAGCTAGCTCCTTCAGATCCTCATCCGTGATTTCTTTCATCACACTCCTTACTTCTTGCTCCCCATCTGCCTCCTCGCCAGGGCGCGGCGCCATGGGCGGCATTCTTTCCAGGAACTTCCGCCATACGGTCTCGCGCGTCTCTGGAGTGAGGGGGCTGAATAGAAGGTGCAGATTGAGGCGCGATCGGAAGGCAGTGTCGATGGTCTCGTATAGATTGGTTGTCAGGAAGATGATGCCTCGGTAGTATTCTAGTTCACGCAGGAAGATCGAGACAAGTTCGTTGCGCGCGATGTCGTTGGGATGGCGCTCGGACATGAAGACATCGGCTTCGTCGAGCAGGATTACCGCGTCCCATTCGATTGCCATTTCAAAGACTCTCTTAATCTTCGGGCCAAGTTCGCTGGCTAGGATTCCCAGATCCTCCGCTTGGAGGTAGAAGAGTGGCCGGCGGCATCTGTCGGCCACTGATTGCACGCCAAAAAATGGCTCAGTTAGCGGCCTTCATGCTCTTATCGTGTTGGAGAAGGAGTATCATTTACTCACCCGCTTCCGCAGTCAGTGTTTTCCCGGTGCCAGGAGGCCCGCTCAAGAGGATATTCAGTCCCTGGCCTAGGGAAGTAGACAGTTAAGTTAGTAATCGCAGTTTCATCTTCCAAATGCATGAGCTTCAACTAACCTTTCCCTGCGATGACGTCATCATCCCGGCGTTGTGTCCCATGGTGATTCTCAACAAAGGATAGAACTAGATCTTTCTGTTGCTTGTCGTACACTAGATGTTCGTAAGCTTCATCGTTCCATTCCACAGGCTTGAGTTCGTCAACGTAGAAATTCACTAAAAAATAGCGTCAGCTGATGTTACGCAACAGCACTTTCTTATAACTAGATCAGACAACCATACACCACTCTTTGTTTCTCAGCGCATATCCGTGAACTATATGTTGTAGGAGAGCCATGTCATCGCCAATTTCGAGCATTTCCTCCTTGTTCTTGCGTTGTTCCTCCTCCGAAAGATAAATTTTTGTAGACGGCGAGCCATTCTCGAGGAGCGTGCTTCGGCTGGAGGCGGGATCATTGGGATCCGCATCCTCCACGGGCTTCAGAACTCGTTTGAGTACTAATTTCTTATGATATTCGGGGTCTTTCATTTCCTTCATTGGTTGTTTCAATTGATATTTGTAATATCCTCTCGCGTCGATAAGGATTCTGCCATCAACCTAAACAAGAAAATATTAGCGGCAGCTTTCGCAAAGCCTTGACCAGGTATCTTAAGTCGCGTACATTGTGCCTTTTCCCCTCAGAATCAATTGCAATATCCGTGTAGGTCTTATATTGAAGCCCCTGTAGTTCAAGAACATTCGTAGCCCTAGCCTTCAACCTCGCAATGACGGCAGCTGGATTTTCGTGGAACCGCAACGGGTAATGAGGAAGCTGTGTGATGGGCAAATTTCCGGCGAACATTGGAATTTTCAACGCCATTTCCTTCCAGATAAAGTTCTCGCCATCGAAAATAATGATCTTGCACCTGATGGAAAGGTGTTGCCTAAGCGCTTCTGTTTCGTATGTGGCGTCCAAAACCTTTGTCAGAACTTCTCGATTGTTTTCCCAACTGTACACGTAGGAGCCCCTGGGAAAGTAGGTCCATGCGAGACGCCATGACACAAGGCCGCTGTCCTGCAAGCGTTTAACACGGAATTTTGTCTGAGAGAAAATGTCTCCCATGAGCTTCGCCAGGAGTTCCAGGTGAGCTTTGAGGGCACTGCCTTGTTCTGCCTTCCTGTAGAGCTCAATAACCTCATCCGATCGAAAATATAGGGCGCTGAAAGGTTCCTCGAACTTCGCAGTTTCCGTCCCTTCGAGATACACTTCGTCCTCCTTCAGGGTATCCTTGAGCGCTGAGACTAGAATCGGGCTTTGGATATCAAGAGAGTGGTACTTTAGACTAAAACGGCCAGACATCACCGGTTTGGAATGGTCTTTGACTTTGTAAACGACAATGGCCACACGGTCGTTTTCCTTCGCGGCCTTTTTGCTGAGCTGCTGTCGTGGTGGATAGTCCTGCCAGTCAAAGTAGGTCATGGTGCTATTTCTTCCCTCGTATAGTGTCTTAACAACCGCGGACAACCCTTGCTCTGGCTCCTTTTCATGAGGTCCCGAGGACTTTGGGTCATCACAAGACCCGTCCGGAGAGGGCATCATTGAAATAGCATTGTGTCGAGCATCCGTCATCTTACACCTCCATTTCCAAAGGGTTTCGGAAACATCCACCCTCATTTTTGAAGGGGAGGAGTGAGCGCCGAAGAGCTGGAGAGCTTTTGAAGGGGAGCGAAATAGTAGGTATCGATGACTCCAGCTAGCAGCTGGGAGTTCGTCTAGCTAGGGATGAAGTCGCAGGCCTATACGTACCAAGTTGTAGAGGAGAACAAACGGCCGACAAAAATAAAAGGGAAGATTTCTTGCCGATGTCAAAAGGAGAGAAAGGTCTTCCTTGAAGAGACGATGAAAATCGAAAGGGATAGAGTAAGATTTTTAAATAGAAAACTTAGGGTGGAGGGGCCGATTGCAGCTTCACGTCACTGGGCACATTCTCGCTGCCTTCGCTGTGCTAAAGGAGTGCTCACGGAGACAGCTCACTCAAGCCCACCGAATTGCGCTGGAGGCTTTTCGAGCACCGCCAGCCATTGGAGGATGAGACATGTCCGAGGCAGAATCCCGTTGCCCCACAGATGAGCCCGTCACCGTCTTTGGCTGCTTCGTTTCTCCATGTTCTCTGAAACTTCCTGGCCCAGGGCAGTGTTGCTTCTCACACAGCGAGCCACAAGCTCCAGGCTGTCACATTTGGCAGGAAACTTTGTGGGGGAGGCGGCTTACAGCTGGTGAGTGGCTTGCTTGGTCGCGACTCCTGCGGCAGCCCGCATCCTGTCCTGTACAGTGTTGCACAGTACATTCTAGGCTGGAGGCTTGCTCTAGCAAGCAGCTTGAAAAAAAAAATTTAGCGGCAGCCAGTGAAACAGGATATAACGAAGGCCAGAACTTTGGTGCCTGAGAAGCTCACAATCACTCAATGATTACGAAGGCTGCCTGTTGCAATATCTTTGCCAGAGCAAGGCATCGTCTTTCTTCCCCTCTGCAGGAGCTTCGCATGGAGTAGAGACAGCTCATCAACTGTCTATCTATCAGTCTCTCTGCCTCATCTAAGCCCGGACTTGCATACAAGATCTCCGCACGGGGTCTCTGAGATGGTCGTCTTTTGTAAATGTTCAACCTCCTTCGTTGGGTTTTGCTCAAGACGCACTGCGGGGGTGGGAGCGCGATATGATCGCCAAGCAACGGCAGCACCAGTCATCCCGAGATAGAAGGCAAGAATAGACTTCAACTTGCCTGTTCCTCTTGGTCTCTCTGGGGTCTTCCCCCTGCTGCTTCGGCGGTTAGTTAGTATCTAGTTAGTTAGTGACTTTAGTCGATGGTTGCGCGGCTCGTCCTTGTATCACCAAATCCGATCCGGCAGTTGGGGGCTGGATGCGTCGTGGCTGTGGTGGCTGTGTCAGACCAGACCCCGGACGACACGCCGCCTGTATGGTACGGTTATGTACCTTGGTACTAGCATGCTATAAATATTACGGCCTGTCCAACGTTGGAATTCCTCCCCTCCCTCCCGCAGACAAAACAAGGAGAGAAAAGGGAGGAGCAACCCCGTCGACGAAGAGTATTTTTTGCTCGTATTTATATTATATCTCCGCCGTGCGGATTCCCGACCCCCAACTCCCAATCTCCTGTGAGTCGCAAATGCCAGCTGGGCTATTTCCAACCCCACGCCGCCAAACCGGAGTGGTTGCTGACGATGTATGTAACAAACCAGCCTGGCTACCCGGGTGCGGAGTTCCATCAGGGTGGCCCCTTTGACCGACGGAGCGTATTATTCTTTACGCATTCCTAACCAGGGACCGACAGCTGGCCTAGCAACACACAGTGGAGTGTCGAGTTGCCACCCCAGATGGAATACAGATGTCCAGCGTAGGTTGACAGATAGTTAGTCTGCCTCGGGACAAGATTGTATATAATCCGTATGGATGGAAACATGCCACCGTCCAAGCCAGAGGCTCCAAAAAATGGCTCATCCCAAGGACGACGGTAATTGTAACATACATCCATACGTAGAGCTGTCTCGGTCCTGTAATCAATATTTCTCCCCCCCTCCCTCCCCCCGCGCCTGGAACCTGGAAGTGGCACTTAGAATGGAGGTCGGCTACAGAGTAGGCCAGCGAGTGGTGGTGGTTGGGGTGCAGCGGAACTAACCGGGCGGGATCGCCTCTTGGGTCCGGTATGGAAAGTCAAAATTACAGAACAGCATGACATGGCGCCATATATCAGTCAGCGGCGGAGCGACGGAGATATCGCGTGGTTCGCAACCCCCTTGGGGCCTTTGTAAGTTTTAACCCAAGCCGCACACCCATTCCCCCTCCACGCCCACGCCCACACCCACACCCACACCCTCAGGCCAATGTCACAGTCAACTCTCCTCCTCCGAAACAGTCAACGTGATGAAGGGGAGGGGGTGGAAATATCGGGCAAGACCCATGGATCCAGCATGACGGAGGGTCATCCGCCGTATAGATAGATGTTAATACGAGTGGACAGACAACACAACATACTTATCTATTCCTGAGAGCCCGTCCTCCCAAACCATGCCCCCGGTGCTCCGTAAGAACCATACATAACCCGCAGTAATACGCCGTACCGCCAAATACCGACTTCCCGTCCCCGGGGGTCCTGCAATCCCGGCGAATCAGCGGGCGAGGAGGGGAGAGGAGAATGGGCTAGTATTGCCACTGCAGCCATCTTGGCTATCACCACGCGCACATCCCACTCCTCGGAACCCCTCGTGGCCCCGGCTGGACTGTTGGGCTTTGTCGACTGTGGACTCTGGGCTCTGGACTCTGGTCACACACCCAAGGGCCAACGGCCAGCGCTTCCCCCACCCCTCCCTGGAATGTGTGCCGCTGCACTCTGTATGTATATATGGCACTGCCTGCACTGCCTGGACTGGACTGCACACATCACGCCGCTTGGTGGCTCCCCTGGTGTCCTTTTCTTTCTTTTCTTTTTTCTTTTTTTTCCCTTTCTTCTTTTCTGCCGTTGCTATCCCTCCCAGTGCCGGTGGTGTGACTCTGCAGGGGGTCTGCTAGCCATGTAGTTGAATTGTAAGGACCGCTGTCACCAGCTCTGACTTCCCGCGCCCTCTTCGGCCTGGCGGTGTCCCCTTGTTTCCACCGCCCACCAGGCCCTGTTTCCACTCCCCGCGCCTCCTCCCCGTTCCTCCCTCCCTTTTTCTCCTCTCCTCGTCCTCCGCACATATCTCAGCCCCAGCTCCAACCTCAGCCTCCTCTTCCTCTTCCTCTTCCTCTTCCTCTTCTTCTTCTTCAACCCCCCTCAATCCTCTTCCGCTCTCTCAACCCCTCTCTACCTCCTCTACTTCATCTCTCTCCTCTTCAACTCCGTTCACTCTCTGTTTCCCCCTGCGCTATCCCTGCGATTCTTCGTCTCCCCTCCCCTCCCAAAGGACTCGGAGTTCATGAACTACCCGCGCAGACAAACTATAACATAAACAACTCCTCCCTGCAACTGTTCCCTTCTCTCTAGTCTCCTCGTTGCCTCTGTGCAATCCATTAGCACACTCCAGCATTTCTTGTTTTCTTTCTTGCCCTTTTTTTTTTTTTGGTATGCTTTTTATTCCTTTGAGTTTGTCGCACGACTACTCAACGTTCTCCTTTCCCGCAAACCCCCACCTTTTTGCTTCGCCCCCTTCCTTGGTCCCTCTCAGCAGAGTATGATATGAAGACATAACTACATCTGCTTCGCATTTGGGAAGCGGCGTGGAAGTTAATTCGTCTTGATCCCAGAGTCGACATCTTCCCCGTCGTAATGGAGTCAAGAACGATGCCTCCAGAAACAGGCAGCAAACGCACCAGATCCCCATCGGGCGACTACTCCCACCCATCCTCCTCCTCCAAAGTCCCCAAAACCCACTCCAACCACCTCCAGATCAACTACCTCGCCCGCCAATACACACATAACATCCCGCTCGTCTCCGCAGAGGATACCCTCCCTTCCATCCTCCGCATCATCAACGACTACGATGGTGTCCTCCAACGTCACGAGAGCATTGCCGGAAACCTAGGCGCATGTCCTCTCGGCCCCATCCTTGTTTCTCGTTTCGAGCGTCTCTTCGACGGTCCCCCCAAAGTGCTGAAATCGCATGGGAAGGAAGGGACAACCGTATCCTGGCTCGATATCGTTGAGTTTGCGAAAAACAAACCGGAGCAATTCACCCTTGAAAAGACCCGCAATGGAGTACCGGTCTGTCAGATATACACCAAGCAGAGTCGCGTAGAAATTTCAGAGGAGGACTATATCCTGATCAAGTCCGGGATTCCTCAGAAGATTATACCTCCGCAGCCCATTGTTGAGGATGAGGAGAAAGAGTTGGGCGCTTTGGAAATTTTGGAAAAGAATCTGGGGCAGATTATTAATTTGGCTGATCAAGGTAATTGAAAACCACACAGGAAACAAAAAAATATTTTATTTGAAAACAGAAAATCGAAATATTGTCTGTTTTATTTTATTGTAGCCAGTAACTAACTTGGTATATAGTGTCCGCTCGTGCTAGGCAGTTAAACCATAGATTCAAAAACCGCAAAAGTGCAATTGTGAGCAGGAGGGAAAATGATATGTCACTGAGTGCGCAACAACGGCAGTCTGTGAGCCCATTCCGGGAAGCTAATGGCAATGGAATGGGTACGACCTATGCAAGCAATGGTCATTCACGCCCGCACTCCCCACAGGGCTTCGTCGCGGTTAATTCTTCTTCTCGACGTGAACCCCCGGCCGACGACACCAGCATTCTCTCCGCAGCGCAGTTCATGTTCCCTCATTCCAGTACCGACAACGTTACCATAATCAATGGTACCTCAATCAAGGGCGCCTCCCCAGCCACACGCGCGGAGCTGATGAAAAAATTCTTCACAACAGCTGACCGCCATACACGGGGCTACCAAAATGAAGAAGATGTAGAACGCCCCGCCCCGCCAGCACGCCAAACCTCCCGCTCACGGCCGCGCGCCTCTGACCCAGGCGAGTACGGAGGGGCCTACACAGGCAGCGGGCCTGTGCCCATCCCCAACACCCCAACTTCCCTCCTTCCCCAACCAAAATCCTCCAACCACTACGAACGTGACGACGGCGGGCCCTACAAGGTCGAGATGGTGAGCCGGATGGAAGGTCTCCAACGCGGCGAACGCATCCTACCCCCCTGTGACCGCTGTCGCCGCCTGCAAATGGACTGTCACAAGAACCTTACTGCCTGCATGGGCTGCACGAAGAAACACGCCAAATGCTCGTGGAAGGAAGTCAAGGTCGAGGAGCTACGCGAGACGTACCCTGTGCATCCTCGAAGTAACAAAAGTGGTGGTAAGGGCGAAGCACATGATAAAACGATGACAGTGGAAACGGATGCGGAGGCGGAAGCGGAGGCATCAGCATCTGTATCATCGACAGAAGCCGGTAGGAGCCAGCGGGGCGCTGAGACGCCGAATGTTGTTGGCGGCGTCAGTGCGAACCCGGGATCAGCTATCGGAACCGAAACGATCCCCATCATCGGTGACTCCAACATGAACAATTATACTAATTCCCGCCGCGCATCCGACCCGCAAACACAACCCCACAACTCCTCCAAACCCCGTTCGCTGAGTGAAAACAACATGCATGCTGACCCAACGGGCGGGCCGCAGGCAGCTGATATGTACCGGTCCCATAGCAATTCTCACGGACATATCCACTCACCGCACCATACACATCTGCAATCACACCAACATCAACGAACGCAGATGCAAACACAAACTCCGCTAGATACGGAAATGGATGACGGCGACTCAACAGACCCTCTCACTCAAGCTATTCGGGATACGATGGGCAAGCATAACCTTGCTGCAGCGGTGGCGGCGACAGCGCAGTCATCGCGCGACAGAGAGGGGGAGAGGGAACGCGATAGATTGAGATGATGAAACGGAAACTCCTCCCTTTTATTGCGAAGATATCCAGCTTGTCTATATATATTATATATGTGTGTTGTTTCCATATTATCCATTCATGATGTTGTCTGATACTGCTTCTGTTGTTTTATCTTGCTCTTGTGTCTTGTTTCTAGTGTTTGTTCAGGCGGTTAGGTCATTGATACCACTTTTCTCCCCTCCTTCCTTCACTCGGGGCGCGCATTTTACTTATTGTCTACTTTCCGTATTAACAAAGGAAGAGAAAGAAAGCAGTTGGCATCTTTCTACATTTATTGCCGACGTCGAGCGGAGGGGCCATGCGAAACGAAGCCGAAAACTGCACCATAGGGTTTTTCTGTTTTCTATGTTTTTTTTTTTTTTTTTTTTTTTTTTTTTTTTTTTTTGTTGTATGGATGGTTGAATGGATTTTGAATGAATTGAACGATGGCATGAGCCATGTTTTTAGGCTTGGGGTTTGGGTCTGAAGTTTGCATTTGAGAAAGCCTTTTTAGCCTTTTTTTTTTTTTTTTGGAGAATATATGGATTTCAATATCATCCAGCTCGGTTTTTTTACTCTGCTCTTTTTGTTATTGTGTAATGAATGGCCTTCTTATAGTTTTGTTCTGTATTTCCTTTTTTATTTTCCCCTTTCCAAAGTTCTTTAGCCATTTGTTGGATTCTGCGGTATTTATCTGTGATGATAAAGTGGGAAGGGAAGGGAAGAGAAGAGAGGATGATGTGGAATTATTCAAATGATCCATTTGCAGCCGTGAGAGCTGGGAAGTTGATATCCAGTTCCTCGTACACCCAACTATCTTGCTACAACAAACTTTGTGTATAGCACTGTACATGCACATGTGTACACACACTCGTGGTCCCTTTACCATGGAAATAGTTAACACTACTTATCCTGAGCTAGAGTTTGCTCCATACCTTTGATCGGGTGGTGGTGGTGGTTGACCCCGTAAATTGCTGGCTCCGCAATGTAGTGTAGTAGAGCCAAGGGGGAAGACAGAAGGACAAGAGGGCTTCTATCGCGTTTACATCCTATCCGATTAATGTGTTTTTGATGTTTTTATATCTGATTTTGATATCCGCTTTAACATGGAGGGCGATGTCATCGTCCCCGCTGCTTGTTCTTACGAAGACACTGCTAGCGCTGTTGATATCCCGGTGCATCATCACAAACCTGTCATGTAGCACAACACATCTCCAACTCGTCGTGTCTCCACATATGCATACAGATTAGTATTACCTGGCAAAGGGAGTTCCTCAACACAGCCCAGCCCAACACCCTTCCTCCCCCCAAAATGGCCTCCTCAAGCCCAAACCCCACCAACCCCACCAACCCCCCCGACCCGCCCACCGCCCCACCCCCGCTCAAAGACCTCACAATAGAAAACATAACCACAAACACCAACCTCATAAACGCCCAATGCCCCTCCCCGCGCCTCCGCTACCTCCTCTCCCGCCTCGTCACGCACCTGCACGACTTCGCCCGCGAAACCCGCCTGTCGACCGCCGAGTGGTCCGCCGCGCTCGCCTTCCTCATCGAGGCGGGCCAGATCAGCTCCCCGCAGCGCAACGAGCTCATCCTCCTCTCCGACATCCTCGGCCTCTCGCTGCTGGTCGACGCCATCGACCACCCGAAACCCCCCGGCGCCACCGAGGGCACCGTGCTCGGCCCGTTCCACACGCACGACGCACCCACCGTCGCCGATGGCGGCCTGCTCTCGCGCGACGCTGCCGGCGAGCCGTTGCTGGTTGTCTGCTGCGTGCGCGACCTGGCGGGCCGCGCGCTGGAGGGCGTCAGGGTCGATATCTGGGAGACGGACAGTAGCGGGCACTATGATGTGCAGTATGCGAGCGGGAAGGGACAGGGACAGGGGAAGGGGGAGGCCGGGGGACGGTCCGTGGATGGGCGCGGGGTGATGTATTCGGACGCGCGGGGCAGGTTTTGGTTCCAGGCCATCAAGCCCGTGTCGTATCCGATTCCGCACGATGGACCCGTCGGCCGGTTTCTGGGCAAGATGCGGCGCCACCCGTATCGGCCGGCGCATATGCATTTCATGCTATGGAAGGAAGGGTGGGATTGTTTGATTACGTATGTTGTTTTGTTTTCATTTGTTTGTTTCCCTTGTTTTTTTGTTTTTTTTTTTTTTTTAAGGGGAAAGAAGAAAACGAAGAGGAGGAGGAGTGTCTAAATGGATGGATCGATCGAAAACCGACGCCCGGGGTCGACCCCATTCTCATCCCCCCCCTTCACATCCCCCAACTGTAGCTTACCCCAGCTTAATCACTGCCGGATAGGGCCCTATACGTCCGCGGCGACCCATACGAATCCTCCGACGCTGTCTTCGGCGTGAAATCATCCCTGATCGTCGACCTGCAGCCGCTCACGGATCCCGAGATGGCGAAGAAATACGACGTGCCGCTGGGTACGCTTGTGCTTCAGCATGAGTTTGTCTTGGTGTCGGAGGAAGAGGCGAAGGAGTTGCGCGAGCGGAATTCCAGGGAGGCGATGGAGAAGTTGGGGATGCGGGTTCGGTTGTTAGACGGGCTGCCAGTGCCGGATGTTGATTGATTGGCTGTTGTGGTTGATGAGAGTGTTATATATATTTATTTTTGTGTGTGTGTGTGTGTGTGTGTACATATTTTTTGTTAAATTTTTGACCAGTTGGTAGCATTGTACGCACAATGTACTATGTATATACACGATGTAAAACATATGTCTACGTTTGTCGTGTGTGGTAGACAAAACAATCTACAAAATAAGGTTTCAGGGGTAAAAGTTGAGTGAACATAGAACATTTAACAAACATCGTTTGTTTCATCGCAAGATCATCGCAAAATACCGTCCCCATCCACGATAATCCCCCCAACCAAATCCCCCGGCGTACCTCCATACCTCTCCCCATCATTATCACCTTCATGCTCAACATCCTCCCTCACTTCACCGCTCCCTTTCAATGCCCTAACTCCCGTCTCCCCCTCAACCCACCCTCCAATGCTTTCCAGTTTCTCCCCAAATCCCGCGTCAACTCTCAAATACAATCCCGCACTAAGCGCCCGTTGCACCTTCGCCTCCCGCACGCTACTCACGACTCCCCGCAAAACACGCACCAGATACTCGCTCAGGATATCCACGCTCCACTCGTCTGGAACCAACCGGAGCACATCCGCAATATCATACACCGACGCGAAGCGCGCGAGCAGATCGCTAGTGCGCTCGGCGCGGCAGACGGGGTCTGCAATCTGCAGGAACTCTGTGAGGAGGTAGGTGAAGAGTTCAGCTTGTCTCGCGGCTGTGGCCGTGTCGCTTGTTGTTGTCGTTGGTGGCGCGGACCAGGTTGGTCCGCCGTACGCACAATAGCGAATTGCGGTGTCGTAGTCGCTGAGGCCGTGGGTAAGGAGGCGGAGGGCCTCGCGGTGGCGGCCTTGGCGGCCGTCGAGGATTATGTTTTCAGAGACGAGCTCGTTTTTGAACGGTTCGATTCGAGCGAGCACTGCGGAGATGGAGTAAGAAAGGTTGGTTGGAGGGGATGTGGAGGTAAATTGGGTTGTTGAGCCGCCTCCTAGTAGTTGGAGGAGGCGGAGGCGGGATTGCCACCACGGTTCTGGGGGGTGGTTGTGAGTGATGAAGCTCAGATAAGAAGGTTTTGGGGCTTGTAGCGCGCGGTAGGTTGAGTAGGATTCTGTCAACGAGGCGCGGGCTTCAGGGGAGGATTCGAGGATTGAGAGGACTGTGTCGAGATAGTAGGCTATAAGGTCATCGGCGTATTGGGTATCCTGTGAAAACCATTAGCTGATGGAATCTAGTAGTGCCATGCGAGAAAAGAAAAGGGTGAGACATACCTTTTTTGTGAAAACAAGGTGCTCTAGATACTCTTGGACAGCCCCTGGAGCATGCTTTTGCAGCAGTGAAATTACCTGCGGTGGACTGAATTTCACTCTGCTGCTCTCATCCGCAAAGACTTGGATTCCAAGTTTGGGGTTGCGCGCAGCAAGCCAGGGACCATACTCCTCAACCAAATGAGCATCTCGGATTTTTACCAGATATTTTCGAATCTGAATATCAGCTGCTGGCCCCGATAGCTCCCCTCCTTCGTCCTTTTCTCCCTCGACTATCCTTCGCCAGGTTGCTAGAACATGCTTGGCCATTTTCTGGCTCTGATACAATCTGCTAAGCACAAAAAGCCTATTGTAACTTTCGAGTAGATGCACAGCTCTATCAAAGTTACCCTTCCAGTTGTCAACAAGCTTGTTCAGCTCTGACCGCAGAGAACCTCCAAGTGGCGCATTTCTTTCGTGAATATGTTTCGCATCTAGATAAAGCAGTAAATGTAGCAACGCAGCGTCGACACTATTAAACACATACGTCTCATCTGTCACACTACCATAGCCTCGTTTCTTCTGCCAACCAAGTAGGTAACGCCTAATCATGTGAAGAATATCGTCATCGATGCGAAAATTCGGTAGTTTATGTTCTGTTTCTACATCTGGTGGACTGAAACGCGATGATATCGCCTTGACTAGGCCATTGTATACCCAGATCCCTTGCGGGCCTTGAAGTACTTCATCTTTAAGTAGAGGTATTAAAAGAAGAACCACTCGTGGGTCGAGCTCCCCGGCGACGAGCGCATCTTCCGTTGATTTTATCGTCGACTCGACCCGAGACGCAGCGTTTGCGGAGAGTAGATCAACAAAGAGAAGCAAACTTGCCTTCTGTCGGACGTAACGCAAACCGATGTATTCTGTTTCTGTTTTGGGTTCCATATCTTGAAGTCCTTGGATAAGACCTACAATGGCTTCTCTATCAATAGCAGGCTCATTCCCGTCGGTGCTACTTGTTTGCTTAGCCAATTCGAGAGAATTCTCCAATTGCAGCGCCAGCGGATTCCGTAGAACCCTCCAAATTTTGTTTCCTTCCCAGAGAAGTATACTGCTGTTGGCAGTTGCGAGCCCACGGGCAAACTTGGCTTCTTCTTGGTTCCTTTGAACTTCCCAGTCACGGTTAACACTCGATGAAGAAGGATGCTTTGGGCCCTCAGAGTCGGTGTCCTGGTTATCAAATAGCTCCCTTTCCTTTTGTAGATGTTCGAGGGAGGCCCGGGTTCTCGGGTCGCTATTCTCTAAGGGTGTTGAAGGAATCGTTGGCGAAATTACGCTGGACAGCTTTAATCGAACCATCCGCATCACCTCGACGATTTCTGAAAAGGAGGCACGGCTGGCACCGACAGAACGCTTAATTCCAACCGCGCCGGGAGATGGGCTGGCTGAGGGTATTTCTACCGATGCCTTTTGTAACCTACGTTCCCCTGGAACTGCATTCCACCTCTGCACCTCAAGATATGTTCGGCTGTCCTCGTCGTCGTCAGCGCTGATAACTGCCAAGACATACCCATTCTGATTTTCGTCACTCGTACGCGGATGGTTTCCCTCGTTACTGTCGTCATCGACTACAATGGCCATTGGGTATTTGCGAAACTCAAGAGTCCCCCGAACCACATCCCCCTCGACATTAACAAACATACCCACACCAGGCTCCGACGGCTCAGTGCCCGTAACCAGAAGAAATTCGGAAGCGGTTGGTGATACGACATGTGGCTTGAGTCGCGTCGTCGATTGTTTCGGAGGCGGGGGTGGCAATGGCTTTTGGTATAACGGAGACGATCCGTCGGAGCCTGGCCCACCGTTCTCTGAAGATGGTCCTGATGAATCAGGAGATTTTTTCTCAGGGGAGCCTGGCGAACCAGGGAGAGTCCTATTCTTCATGTAGGACTCCTGAGTTATGGAGCTTGATCTTTCGGGAAAGTTTGGATGTGGGTTTGGTTGGATGTGCCCAATGCTACTTAGTGTATTTAGACTCGCGCTTCTACCGTGTCCTGGGACATTTGAAATCGATGGAGGTTGGTTTCCTTGAACAGGGGTGTCAGTTCGAACTGGTATGTCTTCCACATGACCAGATTCAAAGCTTTCCTCTGAGGAAGAAATTGGAAATAATGGGATCTTCTGGCGGTGCTCCACTTCCAATAGAGAGTAGGAATATGCATCTGCAACGCATGCAATTGTATCTCTGCGAGCGGATGCAAGACACCCTGGGAACTCAATATTTCTCACTCTTCGAGGTTCGTCGCCAATTCTCACAAGCATTATTCTGTTGGAAACTGCAATCATAACCACCGGATCAAACAGGTCTGCACCCTCATGTGATTCATTGAGATCGAGCCCCCCAATCCATTTACAGTTGCCTACTTTTGTAGTTCCATAGGTCGGACTTAGCTCAGGGAGCGAGTAAAATGTGACGACGCCATTACATAGAATGCAGGCTTTGTATGTAGAAGGTAGAATGAGTATCTGCTGCACTCCGAGAGGTGTGTCCGGAGGTAGGCTGCTTTGTGATGGCGTGATGGATAGCCTGGAAGCCAAAATGAAGGACGGCTCGTCCAATCCTTGCGAATCGGAAGGGAAGGAAACGAAATGTAGGACCTCTCCAGCAGAGGTTCCGATGTAGAGATTATCGTCTATTAGAGTGGTCAATAACAGTCCTATAGTGATCTGGTAGGGGGGAGACACCCCAACATACTCCAATATTCTACACAGGTGATATAGGCATCTTGCTCGGGCCCGTCACCAGCAACCGGAACTGAATCTATGAGCTCTCGAAGCACATACGGACTGGTCTCGGGAGCAGCTATGCGCCGTCTTTTGCGGGGGTTATCGGTATCGTCGTCGGAACTCATCGTATAGGGTTAGTCCAGTATCTCGACCCCTCCCCGTCAACATTAGCAACCGAGGAAGTACCTATCACTGTTGACTATCGAGGGGAGTTGAAATGTTATCATGCTTATTGAATGCGGCTATCTCCCCGGCGGAGGGAACAGGTTATGGCGGAACAATGTTGATCCGGGCTCAGCATCGTATTGCGCGCATATCAACAAACTGGCGACTTCAATGGGAGCAAGGGATGCAATCGTCACACAAGATCGATCGTGGTCTGAGGATTTGATTTATTCCCTCTGCTATGGTTATATAATACGCCTGATACCGGCAAATCCAGAGTTAGCGTCATGGATGCCCTCGTCGCAACTGAGAGCGTCCTCGATGGCAGTACATCGACGGACACCAGTAAGGCAGAGGAACCTGCCAAATCCGAAAAGCTCGCCCAGGAGGAAAACAAGTTCCAGCAGGCTATTGCAGTATGGAGAGGTAATGATAATGATGAATCCGCGCCCTTGAATGTGTACGATTTTTACTGACAAGGCAACGAAGGCATCGACCTTACGAGCCTGGTGCCAAAACTTGACACTACCGCATCAGACATCATAGCACATCAACGAGACTCTCTTGTGCAACGAAAAGATCTGGCTCAGAAAACCAAAGATTTCCGAAAGCTCGATGATTCTACGAAACTCTCGGAATACAAAGGCTTGTTGAAATGTATGCGAACCTCCCTCGGCTTGTGCCCTAGTTAGATTCAATGTCACTATACACTGACATCGAGCAACATCTAGCATACCAGACGTTCATTGACCTCCTCACCAACCATGGCAAGGCTTCTTCATCCGCATTTTTGCAGCTTTACTCCTCGTTATCGGAAGCCCCCGATCCGTATCCGCTCCTCGAAGCATCCGTTGATTCCCTAGTCGTGTCCGAAGATACCGTTCCCAAATTGACATCCGAGATAGTCTTTCTGCGAAAGAGCACAAATCGCCTTACGTCCCAATTGGAGGAGTCGGAAAAGAAACTGGAGGAAGAACGATTACTCCGACGAAAGCTTGAAGAAAGCCAGGATGCAAGAATCCAGGAAATTGAGGCATCCTGGGCAGCGGTTCTGGCGGAGAAGACCAGTAATTGGGAGTCTAAGGAGAAGAACTATGAGGAAAAGGCGGAAAACCATGAACGCTTACTCAAGGAAATCAAGGCGAGCTACGAAGTAAATCAAAGATTGGACCGAACGGACGGTGAAGACACATCAAGGAGTGCTGCCACCGCAGCGGAGCTTGAAATCGTCGCGTCAGAACTGGAGAAGACCAGCGAGCGATTGGCGGAGCTCGAGGCTCGGAACGAGCAATTGAGTTTGGAGCTTGCGCAGGCTGTATCACATTCCCAGTCCGAGTACAAACACCGCACGCTCGAAGATGACCCGACATTCCTACGGTTGCAAGCGGAAAATTCGTCTCTTTTGCGAAAGCTCGACTCTGCCCGCTACGAAAAAGATGCGGAAAGACATTCATGGGAAGGAAAACTCCGTCAGATAGAAAGACAGAACCTGCAGATAACGGCTGAACGAGATGAATTGAAATCCAAGTTGGATAAATGCGCAGATTACGAAGATATCCGACGGGAGCTTGAAGTCATGAAGGTATGCACAGCGCAAGATAGCTCTTTTGTTCTATTCGTGGGCTAATTTTTTAAATAAAAATAGTCCATTGAGTTTTCTACTGGGGATGACGATGAGAAGGACGTGACGGAGGATCCAAATTTGATTTCTCATAACGACTCCGGCAAATCGAATGAGAACTCCTTAGAGCAGCTCTTATTAAGTAGGAATAAGAAACTTTCGAATGAGCTGACTATTTTGAGAGTGTCCCATCAAGATTTACAGAATCAGCTCGAAGCCCTACGGAAGGATTTGTCCAAGTCAAACGCGGACCTCCAAAAATCGCGGAATTTGGCGTCCACCCTGGAAAACGATCTTCTCCAGATGCAACGAGAAGCATCGAGTTTCCCGTCTGCTGCCATGTCGGTTGCCGGCACGTACGCGTCTAGATACCCCCACTCCTCCCGTAGAGGGCGAGCCCCGTCGCCCACTTCCTCAATCATATCCGGCTTTGACCACGCACATGCATCTGCAAACACAATGGAGGCCATCAAGGCCGGCGAGCCCGTGGGCGGCGGCTCAGGGATCCTGCCAATGGTCCAAGCCCAACGAGACCGCTTCAAGCAGAAGAACACCGAGCTGGAAGAGGAGCTGTCGAAGACGTACGCAATCGTCAAATCGCTCCGCCAGGAAGTCGCCTCGCTCCAGAAGGATAACCTCAGCCTGTACGAGAAGACGCGCTACGTGTCCACCTACAACCGAAGCGGCGGCGGACAGCGACAGCGGCAGCAGCCCGCGACCTCCGCGTCCGCATACGGCAACACCCCGAACGCCCACGCCGTGCATCTCGGCGCGGACTCCGCCGACGGCCGCTCGGTCGACCGCTACCAGTCCGCATACGAGGCGCAGATATCACCCTTCGCGGCCTTCCGCGGCCGGGAGTCGGCGCGCGCGTACCGCCGCATGAGCGTGCCGGAACGCATCATCTTCTCCATCACGCGGATGGTGCTCGCGAACCGCACGAGCAGGAATCTGTTCGCGGCCTACTGCGTGGCGCTGCATGTGCTTCTGTTCGTGATGTTGTATGTGATGAGCACGTCGGAGATCGAGAAGCACGCGGCCGGCGCGGCGCTGGGTTCGCTTGGTGGAGCGGCGATGGCGGGGTCGGCGGGCGCAGCTGGCGGTGGCGGTAGCGGGAGCGGGAGCAGTCCCGGCAATGGCGCGGGAAGCGGCGATTGGCAGCAGGAGAACTTCTAGAGCCACTTCCCCGTAGTTAGTTAGTTAGTTAGTTAGTTAGTTAGCTGGACATTGTGCTGTACTCCGTATCGAAAATTACATGTCTTCTTTCTCCTTTGTTTGTTTGTTGGCTGGGCTGGCATGGATATCCCGCTCTCCATTCGCCCCCATCCCACGTCCTTATTATATATATATACATATATGTACTGTACTGTATACTGTATACTGTACGATGTTTTCGTTTGTCATTCGCAACTACACTAGTTACGCACTTGGTCAACTACTCTTTTCATTGCTCCACACTCCCGGGAAGGACGCGCTCGCTACGCATATATATATATATATATATATATCTATATATCTATATATCTATATACCTAATCTATATTACATCTCCTGCTGTATTCCATCTCATTTTTCCCCCTTCGCACTACTAGGAACACGGGAACCATGGGAACCATAGAACACAACCCCCATAGGCACCTCTAATCTCCCCCTTTGACACATTTAGATACACACACACACACACACACACACATATATATATATATACTAGTATACATTCGCAAAACCACATTCCCCCTCCTCGACTCAAGCCTTGGAATGACTCCCACTTTTTCAACAACTCCGATTCTTCAAACAGTACTTAGTTAGTTCTCCTTGTTTATTATTCGCAGTAGAACATAGAAGTAAGTAGAGTAGAGTAGAGTAGAGTAGACGAGAACGAAAGGATTGGTACATTTTACGTCACTGGCAACTACTAACTAGTAACTTTTATTAACCAGCCGAGGAAAGGATTTCAGGGTTGGAGTAAATTACCGCACATACATACTTAATCTATCGATCTCTACCGAGCAAAACTCGAAAAAGAGAAGGGAAAAAAAAAAAAAAAAAAATACGATCCATGATAAATAGTTACTAGTATTCGTCAAGATACCTTACCCAACCCAATCCAGTCCAATCCAATCCAGTCCAACTGGAATGCGGGAAAAGGACTAAATAAATAAATAAAAAAAATGGTAAGGAAAATATAAAATGTGAAATATATATACAAAAAAAAAACATAAAAGAGTAAGATATGTAAAATATGTTCTGCTCTGTTCTGGAATCGCAAAAGCCACCCCACGGCCCAGCAAATACCAATACCTCGGTAGGTAGGTAGGTAGGTAGGTAGGTGGGGAAACCAACCTCCCTTTTTTGTATGTGTGTATGTGTGTGTGTGTGGTTTTTTTTATATTTATTTTCTTTTTAATCCTTTTTTTCTTTTCTTTTCTTTCTTTTTCTTTCTTTCATTTCTTTTTCGTCGGAACCAAGGTGGTGGGTGGGTGGTAAAATAAACAAAACTCCCCACTAACCAAAAAACCAATACTCCGCCGAATACTCCACGCTCAAAACGCCTCCGTCGCCATCATTCCCCTTCCAGCCGTCGCACGTGGCGGGCGCCTTCCCCCCCGCCGTAGCCACGCGGTACACGCTCTTGGCCTTGCCGGAGCTCCCGTCGACGGCGGCCAGGTACAGCCACGCCACGGCACCGAACATCTGCCTGCCGACGCCCTTCAGCGCATCCTTGGGGGCGGGGACGTCAGCGACCTTGGCGACGGCGGAGTGGCCGTCGGCGAGCAGGTCGAAGACGGGGACGCCGGTAGAGTCGAAGTAGTGGTAGCCGGCGATGGGCATGTTGCTGGGGCCGAAGGTGAGGGGGTCGAGGTCGAAGTCGAAGTCGAGGTCGAGATTGAAGTTGGAGTCTGGTTGGGAGCGTGTTGATGGGGAGGATTTCGATTGTGGGTAGGTGGGCTTTGGCATGTGCAGGGCGATGCGGGGGAGGAGGGCGAGGAGGTTCGGGAAGGTCGCGGCGAGACAGGTGGCTTCGAAGAGGGTTGCGAGGGCACCGGTTGCTTTTGGTGTGTCGGAGGCGGAGGAGGAGGCGCAGGTGTAGTTCTGTTGAAGGGGCGTGGGTTAGTACTGAGAAATGTATGTGCAGATCTTATATATATATATATATATATTTCGGAGGGATCATTCTGGTAGTTCTGGTTTTCTCTGCATTCCGTGCAGAGAGATCTTCGCTCTGCTCGTGATCTGCAGAAAATCCACAGGGATCCACAAAAAGCAAAAAAAAAGCAAAAAAATCGCTTATTGCTTCCAGCAGTGACCAGAATAAAAACAAAGAATAAATATAAAACAGAATCGAAGAGAATAGAATAGAATTACCTGAATCCCCCTGCCAATGGTGACATGCAACAGCTTCTGCCCCTGAGGCACGGGTGGCAGCGGCTTGGTGGGCGCTGGCAGCTTGGCGCGCGAGAAGTCACAGTTTTTGCGGGAAGGATCCTTGTGGGACTTCCTCGCGGCCTCGATCTCCTTGGCCACGGTCGAGTAGAACTGGGCTGAATCCGGAGACCAGCCTGGCGGGGCGGCCAGGGCGACGGAGGTGAGCGAAGCCAGCGCGGCTAGGACGAGCAAGAGTTGCATTGTGTTGAGAATTGAGAATTGAGAATTGAGAATTGAGTATATAATAGGTATTGCTCTTTCGCGTGCCGTTCTCTCAGCGGCAGGGAGGCAAGTAAGGGAATAGTAGAATAGTAGAAGTGCGGTGGTGTATATGCAATTGCGCGGGAGAGAATGTCCGTAATGTATATAAGGGACAATAGTAGAAGGAATTCGTCAGGTGTATGTATCGTATCGTGAACTCCCGAGCACCCAGCACTCAGAGGAGGATGTGTGTGGAACCGAAGAAGAGAATATAGAACAAGAATTATCGACAAGAAGAGGAAACAACACACAGAACAGAACCGAGCAGAAGCAGAAGACAGGAAATATCGAGAGAAGGAGAGAGAAGAGAGGAGAGAGGAGAGAACTGAGAGACTGACTGATTGATGGCCAGAGAAGAATCGAGAAAAAGATCGTCCACCGCGGATTATATACAGCACCCAGAGTACCCTCACCTCACACACAGCATCCCCCGCCTGCAGAACCCTCCTCCTCCTCCCTCCTCCACCCTCGTCAGCCATCGTCCTGGCGCATCGCGCACAGTCGTAGTCGCAGCAGTCGTGCCTGCCGAAGAAAGATGACATCCCCCCAACCGCCGGCTCTGGTTGGCCCCACACCTTTAGCCCCACACCATTAGCCCCACTCTATTGGCCCCACCGCAGCGGCTCCACTCCCGGTTCCTGAACCTGAATTAGAAACACCCTCCCCGATCGGGTCTAGTCGCCTGCCCAGGCTGCAGCTAACCATGGCTCTAATCCGCTTCGAGCACGTTGCTAGCCCCACCCGGGCCGCCGCTGATTGGCTGCAGCCTCGCGCTTGGCCCCCCTCGTGCGTTTTGGAGGTCTGCAGCCCCTGATTGGCTGGAGGCCTGGTGCATTCTCTGTGTTCTTGACGCCGGTTGCTTAATTTAAACCCTTGGCTGGTAAAGCATTTCATTTGGCATTTGGTTGTTGCTACAGTCTGCCACTATGGAGAGAGCCAGCGCCACCAGCGAGGAACCTGGACGAAGCCCGCTGAGGAGCACTCAAGTAGTCACTGTCAAGCACTAGCAGGACTAGTCTGAGTAGTAATGTAGTGTGGTCCTGGCGCTGGTGCTGGCGCCAGTGCTCGTGCTGGTGCTACACCGGCCTCCTTCAGTTTATGCGGTGGCTGCACCCCGGAATGTCGTTGGGCAATGAGGCCGTGACGTGCTGGGTGGTGCGAGCAGAGGAATGCCATCCCTGGTGGCGGGGCGGGCGAGGGGTGGGGTGAGGGTAGAAAAGAAGTACGCAGTAGTATTAGTATATCAGTCACCAGGTATCATCAGAGGGGAATATCAATTTGGCACGTTTGAGGGTCCCCCCTCCACCCCTGTGGACCGTGGCCTGCAAAATGACATATATCGCATCGCATCAATTGCATTTCACATTGCCAGTTACTACGAACTAGTAGCACTCTGGAATATTCCCACCGTTTTGTTTTTTCTCGGGAACAAATATCACCAGCCTGAAACCAGCGGAGATGATAGCAGTTCTCTGAACTATGCACATCATCCAATTCCCATACACGTCTCAGCTGTCTCGTGGCCCGGAATGGCCAAACACGCCTCCTGGTACCTGAAGATCTCGAGTCTCACCATCTACCTGATGTGTCAAACCTTTCAAAACGAAGGGTGGGTTTGCACACCACTGACCCAACCTCCCCCCAAGCCTGGATGATGGAAAACTCAAAACTCAAAACTTTTAGTCGGCACACGTTTGATTAACTATCTACTACTTCCCCCCCTTCTCGAAACCATACCCCCCCAGCACCCAGCTAGAACTTCGAACCTGGATATTTTGGATTCCCGAACGGGTGGAAACAACGGCGGCGTTGTGCAAACGGAACGGCAAAACACCGAACATCCATCTCCGTCTGATGATGATGATGATGATGATGATGATGATGGTAATCCAACTCGTATATTCTCTGTGCCACTTCGTTCGTTCGTTCGTTCGTTCCCCCGCGATGATGGAGACTTTCTGTAACCAGCAAACAAGACGGAGAACATGAGGAGCGGACTGTGGAATAGAAGGGTGGGAAGAGGGGGGGGGGTGTTTGAAGGCTGAAGGAGAAACAAACGTGTAACAAGCTTTCGCAGACTTTTTGCGCAACGTAGTATCGACGTGCCTCTCTTCGCGCAATCGGGCGACCGAATGCAATCAGAAAGACAGAGGAAGACGATGTTCAATCTTCACTTTGATGAAATCAACCCCCTCCCTGGGGGCCATTTCGCAAAAAAAGTCAAATATATTAACTCCTAACTCCTTCGACAATGTAGTTTAGTGCCTGGTAGTTAGTTTCCCTCGTAGTTTCCCTCGTACGAGGTCCCCCGATGTTCGATGCTAGTTCTTGCGATAAGATTTGATCCAAAATATCACCTCCCCTGCCTCCCTGCCTGCCTGAGTCCATGACCACGAACCCTCTCCCTCTCCCTCTCCTACGCTGTATACTCCGTACTTGCTCCCGACAATTTTAAACATGTCATGTCAAAACGCCAGACGCTAACCGCGCCCATGGCCCATGGCCTATGCCCACTACTACCATCCCCCTGCCCTGATATCTCTCTATCTACTCTACCACATCCCTACCAGCCCTCCTCAACATCGGGCCCCCCGTTTCATCGCAGGAGGGACGCACAGAGATGAGGATACGAGAAATACACCTAGCCCCGCCATGTCCCATTTCCCACATCCCATTTCCGATTTCCGTGGCGCAATCCTACTGCGAGGTCAGCCTGCATTTTTTGGGGGCTGCGCTTGGGTGACTTAGTGACTTGGTCCCTTGGTGAATTTGGTAACTCCCTTGAGGTCTCTTTTTAGTCGCGACAAAGTTACATCTGCCATTTGCGAAGTTGAGGTTCAACTTTTTGTTGCCTGTCTTGGCGCGACTAGGGGGCGGGACTGCGAGGGGGGGTTAAAGAGAGGGTTCAAGTTTCTTTTCCTTGACGATATATCTACACTAACTAACTACTGGTGACACTGCGTACGCGAAGGAAAAGTACAGAGTCCGTCGGCCAATCTTTCATCTTCCATCTTCCATCGTCCATCGTCCATCTTTTCATTTCCTACGCGCCGGACGGAGGAAATCCGGACCCTTTACCTGCGTTTAAACTACCACCACTAACCACTAACCACTAACTACTACTACTAACGAGTAAGATTTGCCTCAATTGACCCCCAGATCCGCGGTCCATTTCCGCGGAATCAACCCTGGGGGGGTAGTTAGTTAGTTGTTTCGTTAGTCGTTGACTAGGTAAGTTATCCATAACTGCTTTCCTTGCAACACGCCCGTGCCAGGTCGTTCTGGTCTGGTCGCTCTTATCAAGCTCAACAATCGCTTATTTTTATTTTTATTTTTTTTTTTTTTGCTAATCATATTAATTTTTTTCTGGCTCTCTAGAACACACACACACTGTTTTTAATGTTTAATGGTTAATTTCAATTTACTTTTGTGGTTGTTGAGGAATCGAGGATTTAAAAGCCATTGCTCTAGTAGTTATGTAGGAAACCGGGGTGTTAGGAGTTAGTTAGGAGGTGGATTATGTTGTTCGGGCAACCCTGAGCTTATTTTGGGGCGCTTATGGACCTGGATACTCGATTGAGGGTTGAGTGTCATGTAAGACAATTTATGCCTTTATCCCACTTCCAGCAGCTTCGTACTGCACTATCAGTAGAAATAGGAGGAAACAGAAAACTTCCCTTGTTAGAAAAAATGCATTCCACACCACGAATAATTCCGGTTATCTCGGGTTAAGAACCGACCCTCTAAGATAGATAGATGATACCCGGAACGATCCACTACTCCACTAACTACAGCCCTCATCAACGATCCTGTCCGATGCACACCAGGCAATGCTGCCGAACAGTGCGAATGAGAGGATTTCTGGCAGTCATTCATTCTTTCTTCAAGACATGGCCTCAGCTAGTTACCGTCTCCAGAAGACGTCCGTGCCCAGGCTCATGCTCAATATCCAGCGGGCAGTGCATCGCTTTCTGAATGGAGGAAGTTGTCCCAGTGCCTGAGTTGAGTTGTATGGCTGGCGTACTGATGGAGGCGAGGTCTTTCTATAGCTATATGGAATTGATGCATGGACAGACTTATGGAAAAAAGCTTTGGGATTGGATTCAATGAGTTCAAAGGATCGTCGTGCTCAAGTTTGTTCAGAGCTTCAGACTTTGCATCTCCAATCTACGATGGCTCAGACAAGAAGATCCCCAGGACCCAATTGATAGGTAATCAATATCTTCTAAAATCTGTCTACTGAAGCTCACTTGTGTAAGTTATAGGCAACATTATGCGAGAGTGCATATGTATGCACAGAGCTATATATATATATTACCAATTCATGACAGAAGCAGGGCCTTTTCAGTCTGTCTGCCAAGGATTTTCCATGACTGGTTTACATATTTTCCTCTGCCGACGCCCAAACTCCATTCCGATAGAACCCTTTCGCTCTGAACGTCCTGGTAATGCCGCAATAACCTTCACGCATGGAGATCTTATTATCTTATCAGAGTCGGAACCACGGCGGATTGTTGCAATAGTTGAACTGGGAACAATCAGGCTGGATGCCAGGATACTGGGAGGCTCGAAAGGCGCACTTCACGTCAGCATGGAAGAGTGAGGTGGGCTACCAAATAGTTGCCAATGAATGATACCGCAGCAGCAGTATGAGAGCACGGCGGAGGCCTGGTGGTGGTAACTATACATACATCCTCAATGGGACCCTTAAGGTTTGGGCATCCAACACTCAACTGCAAAAATTTACTGTAAAGACAACTTTCAATAATTCTAACCTTTCCCAGTAGTGCGAGTAGTTAGTAGTATTAGGTCATGCTTAACGCACAGCAACTTTTTTTTTTCTACAGGGAGATGGAGAATACCCCAGCCAAGCTTCCCGGCCCATCGCCATCAGAACCCTTACTAACCCTGACTAACAAACAAACCCGACTTACTTAAATCTAACCCCGAAATCGAATCTTCCGGGGAGCCGCTTTTAACCGGGAATCGCAAAAAGGCAAAAGAAAGGCAAGGAAAGGAAAGGAAAGGCAAACCGCAAACGCAAAACACAATGGGGCACTTCTTTGCTGCAATCTGGAATGCCCTCCCTAATACAATACCAATAACTACTAGTAGTCATAACCAATTAGTACAACTAAACCACTACCTGCGATCAGAAAATAAAGTAAAACGGGTGTCGAGCGCCAAAAAGAAAAAAAAAAATCCCGACCAACCCGCGACAGTTTCCCCCCTCTATGGGTGCCGTGTGCACCAGTTAAAATAAAAGCACGGCTCAACCTTCTCCCACAAAGTTTACTGGCAAGGCCCAAAAACAAAAACACTAGTGGGCGGCGAACCCACGCCTCCGGGCGCTTTTGGGGGGGGAAGTCTTCCCTGCCATCCCCCGGGAGGTTTTAACTACTGAGTACAGTACATAGTTAACGTAACGATAACGGAGTACATACACGGCACGATCCTGAGTCCCACTGGCAAGCCCGTTGTTACTTGTTATCTACGCTGTATAGATAATATAGTATAACTAGCTGGTAGCTGGCAACTTTTTTTTTTTCTTTTTCGGTGAAGCGCGGGTTTAAGCGCCTGGAACGCGCCTGGAACGTTAAGCTAACCTTTTAACTGCCTTTTTTTCATGTGTGATTGAATATGGGCCGGAATAGTTGTATAGAGCACTAGCAGTATGTCGCGATGGAGGGGTCGATTGAATTCTTTACTGCTGTTTCTCCGGTAAGACTTTCAAAAATCCAACAAAAGTCCCCTCCCCTCCCACACCCCCCCAAAAAAAGGATGGCATGCCTCGTGTTCTCAGAAACGTGGTTTGGGCTGGGGATCGTGTGTCAAACAAAGCAAGGTTGCGAAACGCTAGTCGGCTGGAAGAGGATGGTTTTCTTTCTTTCCTTTTGTTTTTTCTTCTCTTTTGGGCCCATCGCAGGATCGGCAGGGAGCAGCTAACTACATATAACAACCACGGCGTTGGAGTAAAACCTTTGAAAATGCAGGGTGCGAACGAACAGTGCGACAGTAAGTGTCCGCAGCTGGTGTTGATATCCGTGAACAATACCTGCGAAAGTGGAGAAAGAGGAGAGTTGATAGCAAGAAGGTGAAGAACAATCGAGGATGCTGGCAAATGCTGGAGGAATCTTCCATCTCGCTTCAGAGGAAGTTTCAAGTTTCTATCAACTAACCGAGGCCGTCGTCACTCATACGGGAGAACACCATCAGCAAGCTCTGCGACATCCGCTTCATAATGGATCGGACAATAAAATTAATTCGGGGGTTGGCCTCGTCCGGATTGCTGGCTTTGACGAAGTAGAAGGATGTATCACCATGCATCTCATCAACCCCTTACGACGACGACTACTACTACTACGACTACTTCTACTTGCTGCCTGTATTTTGGCGATGAATGTACAGAGCACTCCGCACTCTGTCGTTGTTTGACATTCTCCTGAGCAGACAGAGACGGTCAGCACTAGAACGCCGAGACTTGACTTGGCCTTTTTACCAGTTTTCCTTGGTGATATCAATCAAACCAATGCCGCCAGGATGGCATACGAGTTCCACTCAGCCCTGTTTGACAAGGGGTCAACGGTCCACGTCCGTCTCACCAGCTTTTGGGAAATTTCACTCTTCTCCGTTTTCACCATCAACCGATTCACCAGCAACAACCATCGCCGTGGCTCTGTTTGGAGGAACTGTTTACCGGAAATGCAACATCCGGCATTGATACCTACAGGTTTTTTTTTGTTTTTATTTTAGCCGAAAGCGAAAATCAGCCGACCCGTTGCGAGGAAGGGGGTACCTGACGGCAAAATTTCTACCATGGCCTCAAGACGGTTGATTGAGATGTTTCGAGGTCGAATAATCCGACGACTCGTATTATTCGCGATCTTGATATGCCTCCTTTTTGCCGGACTCCAGCGCACCGTCGCTCCAACACGCCCTATCCCTCCGACCCCCGCTCTGTCACCTAATGGGATCCCGAATTTCAGACGTCAGGCCCAATTCTGGAATAATCTTTACGATCTACTAGAGTCAAACCCACCGGGAGTCGATGCGCCGAAGCGGCTGAGGAGGGTAGGCGAAATTATTTTCAAGCCTGATGCTAGCTACGCTCACCCAGACCTCCTCTACATGCCCGATCCAGACGTGGAGCTGCTGAGGAAATCCCACCAGCAAGTCGTTCAGAAAATCGAAGCTAATACTGCGAGGCTGCGTCTGGTGTATGAGGGAGGCAAGCGGGGTATCGTCTCCGCTGCCACCAAAAGGGACCTCCCAACCCTGCTGGTATCATTGCGCATGCTCCGGCAGAGAGGCACCCACTTTCCAGTGGAGGTCTTTATTGCTTCAAAATCCGAGTATGACGACATTGTGTGCGGGGTGATACTCCCCGGGCTGAATGCCAACTGCATCGTGATGTCCGATATCCTCGGAGTAAATCCCACCTATAACGTGGGGCGTTATTGGCTGAAGTCATTTGCAATGCTCTTCTCCTCCTTTGAACAGGTTCTCTGGCTTGATGCCGATTGTTTCCCCTTGCACGACGCAATCGAGATATTCCAGTCCGAGCCGTTTACAGAGATCGGGTTGGTGACATGGCCGGACTTCTGGGTGTCCAGCGCATCTCCGTATTTCTACAACATCACTTCCCAGCCACAACCATCCTTATCAGAACGAGCGTCCACCAACGGCAGACAATTCCTGATCTCGAAGAAAACCCATGCAAAAACCCTCCTCCTCGCAAGCTACTACAATTACTACGGCACAATGCACTATTACCGCCTCCTCGGCCAGGGCGCGCCGGGCGAAGGCGACAAAGAATCCTTCCTAGCCGCAGCCTCCGTCCTGAACCAGCCTTTCTACGCCGTCAGGGAACCAATCCGCTCCATCGGGCGCCTTAACGCCGATGGCAACATGACCGCCTACGCCATGGTCCAGTACAGCCCCACGGAGGACCACAAACTGATGAGTACTGGAATCGATCGTGCCAAGGACCCAAACGCAGCACCAGCCCCGCATCCATTTTTCATCCATGTCCCGAACTCCAAAATGAACCCAGCCTCCATCTTCAACGGCAATTCCAGGAAGTATTTTGGACTGGATGGACCGAACGGGAGACCGATGCGCGCATGGGTTGAGGAGAAAGAAACGATTGACAGCATCGGTGGTCCCAAGGTGGAGCGCCAGTTGTGGTCCCAGGTGGCCTGGACGGCATGTACCCTTGAGGAGATGGAGTATAAGGACTGGGCGCGTCATAGACCTACCTGCACGCGAGCGAATGAATATGTCGATGCGGTTTTCTCGGAGGGTAATAATAATACGCGCTGAAATGGCACACGTTCGTCGAATTTGGTTTTCTTTTGTATAGAACAGGATCGATTTTTTTTTCTTTTTTTTTTTCTTTTTTTTTTGCATGTTGTATCATAACCATAGATTCTGTCCGTTCCTTCCTCTTATTTGACATTCTTGTGCGTTTTGTCGCTTCTTCCATATTGCCATACATATCCCAATCCGTTTATAAGGTCAGCTAGCAGGTGTTCAGGATGGTCAATTTTAACTGCGCGGCGACGATTGGATTGATTCTTTTGGAAACAAAACAATGGTCATTGTGTGTTTGCCTGTTCTCAATCAGGCTAAGATATATATTATATTGATCTTGTGAGACAAGAGCTCACTTGAAAAGAAAAAAAAAAAAGGAGGTCCCTGCTTTCAAAAGAAAAATTACCATTGAATGATTCAGAACTTCAAATTTCTTATCCATTTCTCTTCAACATGCGGGCTGCTAGTTTGGGATGAACGGATGTAGCTCAGATATTGTAGGTGGCTCTGCCTCCTTGACGGCATCATTCGATCGACCTCAGTCAGCCACACCCCCCATGTACGACTTCCTGACCCATGACCCCCCCCACCTTAAGCCCCAAAAATGGGACATATGCCCAGTGATACATAGGCTTCTTGATAAAGCAGAAATCCTCTTGATAGTTTTCGTCTTTCATGACATCTGCACCCAGATGTTGAAACCAAGGAGATTCCTTGAACGATGGGGTCCCACCAACGCTAAAAGCAAGCAGCGCCGCATCATTGTACCACACAGCCTTCACCTAGCCAATTGTAAACTCGGCGTCATGATTGCCAGCGATGGAGCCAATGATGGACATTCGTTCACGAAGGCCGGCAGAAAATGCCCCGGCTTGCCCCACCCCAAGAAGGCTGGTAAATTTGATCCTATGTAGGGCAGCCACCATCGGGTCTAACGCGATTAATTCTACAGGGTTTGTGATAGATGTTTGCCAGAATCGAAAAATGAAAAATGAGACTGCAACATCTTCCAGCCGAGATATTGATACTCGTGACGGAATACTTCTGTGACCACGCCGGCTCCTTTGCGATTTCCAATCTAAAGTCTTTCCGACTCGTCTCTAAACGGATTGCTGATATCACAGCTCCAGCCCTCAACCGACACACGCAGATTGCAATTTCAGCGTTGTCACCACAGACGCTGCGCAAACTCGAAGAAATCCTGCAACACGAACGTTTTGCTACGACGGTCCGCAGACTCAAGCTCTCCGTGGCGTATTACGACGCCCTACTCACTCGGGATTTCTCTTTATTCGCAAAATATATGGTTGACCGAGAATTTCAGATTCGCACACAACTTTGCGGCGAGATTAGACAGTGTATTAACAATCAGTTTTCCCTCGCTTCGAAGGAGTGGCGTGCCGTGGGCTTTGGCTTCTATGAAGAAAACAATCTCACCCATTATCAAAGCCTCCTCAAAAAGGGCCACAGCATTTATTGCCATTTACTCAATGAACAAGAAGTGGCTTGGCATGATAACTCATATATGACCCGACTCTCAGCCTTACTGAGAAGGTTGCCGGCTTTAGAGCAAATAGTGATCACGGACAAGGACGAGAACGCGCTGGGCTTGAGCGCTGATATAGCTAAGGATCCTGCGGTGGCCATTCGTGCTGGAGACTGTGAACGCACATTACCCCAAGAGTGGTGTGACAGTTTGCTGATAAAGTTCTGTTCCCTGCCGTCGTACTGGCAATCATGTTTCTCATGCGTCGAAGTCCAAGCCAAAAGAATTCGTCATTTCACACGGGAGCCACCTCCAGCTGAACTGCTGCCCGCCATCTTCGGAGTTCTTGAGCATGCGAACATCTTTCCGACGCACTGTCACATATATTTATCCACCCCTGTCAATTATGAAACTCTTGAAATTTCCTCTGGCTCGTTGCAATGTATCAGCCGTGTTGTGCGCAAGGCAACTGATTTGTCTCTGGGTTTCTACGGCCTAGATCGACATTTCGGCCCTTCCTCTGCACTCCTGGACCGCAAGAGCATTGGAAAACAACACCTGTATAATCTCTCTCGCGCATTTTTCAACACAGACTCTGTTCAGTCAATCAAAATAGACACTTCGCTTCATTGGTTCGTAGCAGGAGAACCATGGGGGGATGTGAAGCTCTCAGATCTTCTTCCATACCGGGAGCGCTGTTGGCCGAATCTCAGGGCCATATCTTTGATTATCGAATTCCAGGGACAGGATCTCAGGCAGTTGGTGGAACAGCACAAGGGATCGCTTAGAATCGTACACGCTCATTCCTTGCTGCCGAAGGAAGATCTGGTGAAATATATCAAGGACACTATCGGGCCTCGAGTTGAAGAGATCCTCTTTTGTGAGCCCGCTAGAACCGAATCTCGTCGCTTTTCTCGAAATGCGGCCTTCTTTTCGCCGTGGGGTCATCGACATATTTTTTCGAGTTGAGTTGCTCGATAAATACGGGCACGTTTTCTTTCCTCCTGGTTATTGATGTGGGAGTAACCCGACTCTAAATATCCGCTCCCCTTCCCTTTTCTTGTTCTGTATTTTAATGGTAATAGATGCACTATCTAATGACCGATAATGGTGGTATCCCAGAGATCGACTAATTGATTCGGGAATGTGCAATGAATGATGTTTCTAGTTGAATGTGAATATCCTGATAGACGGGCAATCAGGTGCTTGGGCGATAACCAGCGGCTGTTGAATCCCTTCTGGGGTCTTTGTGTGAACCCATCTATTGAATACAATAGAGGTAGTCAACTGCATACTAAGATAGTAAGCGTGTAACCTTGTGTTGCGAGGTATTTCGAATCATTCGTGGGACTCGCAAATGTTCTGGTCGATCTCAGGCGGATATGCACGTGATTCGAATTTAACACTAGTACATATTAAGATTAGTGTCGCATGCCGAGCTCCAAAACTTTTTCCAAAAGTGCACAAACCGACTCTCGCCGGGTCTAATCCAATCCCTAGAACTCGCGAACAACTTTACCCTCGCATTCCTATATTACCCTCTTGTACGGTTGTGGGGTATTCACTGAGGTCGGGACAATCAGCCGTCGTGCTGAATGATTACTTCTTGTGAGGGCAGCCTAGTGAACTTTTTCCTGTTTTTCACGATACCGCAAAAGTCGAAAATTTTGTGTTGAATTTTCGTCATCCCGAGCGAATAGCTTTCAATCCTATCGAAGGCGTCTTTCCTGCCGCCAACAACTCCAATCAATCTCATCTTATTCTCCCAACGATTTAAGCCAATTTAAAGAAAATGGCCTTTGGACCTCCGCGTGGACGGGGCGGAGCACCCAGAGGGCGTGGAGGTGATCGTGGGCGTGGTGGACGTGGTGGGAGAGGTGTGTATTCATAACCATTTCCCTTTTTTTGAGGAAATTTCCGTTGCTGTTGGAATGGACCTGTGTGCTGGTTTGCTGTGATGCGGTCCCGCTATTTGCGCCTTTTCGCTCTGAAACGTTGAAGCTGGAATTGCAAAACAAAGATTTATGTGGGATGTGAAGAATTCGTTGACTGACTTCACCATTCACTCCCATTGTTAGGGGGTTTAGGATTCTCAGACCGAGGGGGTGGGCGTGGTGGTGGTCGCGGAGGCGGTAGAGGTGGCAGAGGAGCCCCTCGTGGCCGTGGAGGTCGCGGAGGCGGAAGAGGCGGCGCGGGGGCTAAGGGTGGTGCCAAAGTTATCATTGTAGGTTACCAGCAGTGAAATGGTGGTTTCAGCTTTTGAAACAGCTATTTGTTCCGATGGAGTACCATATTTTTGTCTTTCTTTTTATGCGCACACCTGACTCATCGGTATCCCTGAGTAAAACAGGAACCCCATCGTCACCCCGGTGTCTTCGTCGCTCGTGGTGGGAAGGAAGATCTCCTTGTTACCAAAAACCTCACACCAGGCGAATCCGTCTATGGCGAGAAGCGTATCTCCGTTGAGTCAACTGCACCTGCCGCCAATGGTGAGGTCCCCGCTGCCACCAAGACTGAGTACCGTGTATGGAATCCCTTCCGTAGCAAGCTGGCTGCTGGTATCCTCGGTGGTCTCGACGACATCTACATGCGCCCGGGATCGAAAGTGCTGTATCTCGGTGCCGCCAGTGGGACATCCGTCAGTCATGTCGCTGATCTCGTAGGACCTACGGGGACCGTCTACGCTGTTGAGTTCTCTCACCGCTCCGGTCGTGACCTGATCGGAATGGCTACCCACCGCACCAATGTTATTCCCATCGTCGAGGATGCCCGTCATCCCCTTCGCTACAGAATGCTGGTTGGAATGGTTGATGTAATCTTTGCGGACGTTGCCCAGCCTGACCAAGCCAGAATCGTGGGTCTCAATGCCCATCTCTTCCTCAAAGCTGGTGGTGCTGTTATTGTTAGTATCAAGGCAAACTGTATCGACAGCACAGCTAAGCCTGAGGTTGTGTTCGCCAGGGAAGTCCAGAAAATGAGGGAGGAGAAGATAAAACCTAAGGAACAGCTCACACTAGGTCAGTATTATACTCAAGCTATACGTTTGTGTCTCTCAGCCGTACCCTCTGAATGCTGACAGCCGACCTACAGAACCTTTCGAACGTGACCATTGCATAGTTGCTGGCATCTACCGGCAGACTTGATTAGTCCTTTTTGAATTGTGTTGCATTTCTTTTTGAATCTTATTCTCCTGGCTCTGCTTTTCTTTATTGGTTTTCTCTCGTTTTCTTGCCTGAACATGATCTGAAATCTCCGGCGTTTGAGTGCGTTTCCAGAGAAAATTTTTTGTGGGTTGCAGTTAATACTATCAATGTATGACGTTTCAAATTTCCTGTACTGTTTTCCTTTTTTCTTCTCTTGATTTTGTTGGAATTTTGAGTAAATCAAAAATGTCGGATTTTTCCCGGTTCCGGTTCCGCCAGTTTATCTCTTGATATGGCCAATTGAAATGTCACATTGCATTGTACATTATACCGTTATGTTGGACATTGTTTTTTGTCATCGAAGGATAATCCTGCGGGGATGAAAACATCTGCGAAAGTGACTACTATCCCAGCCGGCATGTTGCTTCCTATCTCAAATCAAAGACCGAAAATGCGTTTAGCGTCTGCAAGATATAAGCTCGAACAAGCTATGAAAGTGAAATGGGATTAGTTTCTCCCCACAAGGATGACATGCCCAAGATGTATTGGAGGAGCTCATAGCGGCAATCTCTGCTCTGACTGGGAGCCGTCAATATGTAGAGCAACGCACGCTCTATCGATTTACCTACCCCGCGAACGGCAAAACAGTTCCCCGCTCCCCGATATTCTTGAGAGGGCAAACGCGAAAACAAACAAATATAAATAAAATTGATGTACGGCTCAAGTCAGAGACGACAGATCCACAAAATGCCAACTTCAATCCTAATAACAGGGGCCGGGGGCTTCATCGGCCAAGAACTCACCACCGCTCTACTCAACGCCACACCAGCCGACACAACCTTAACCATAACCGACATCACATCGCCTCCCATCCCCACCCGCGCTAGCAAACACGCATCCCGCGTAGCCTCCATACAAACAGACCTAACCTCACGCACCGCCGTGGATTCCCTCATAGACTCCGGCGCTTCACCCCCGCGGCGTTACGATGTCGTCTACATCCTCCACGGGATCATGTCCAGCGGCTCCGAATCCAACTTCGATCTAGGAATGAATGTAAACCTGTTCGCAACACAGTATATACTTGATAGGCTGCGCCGGACCATGCCCGGCGTCAAAGTCGTGTATACCTCTTCCCTCGCGGTGTATGGCCCCACAGCGCCTGGGTTTGTCATTACGGAGCGGAATATGCCCCAGATGCCCACGTCATCGTACGGGATGGAGAAGATGGTCATTGAGCTGTTGCTGAACGATTACTCGCGGCGCGGGTTCTTGGATGGGCGGGTGATGAGGTTGCCGACTGTGACGGTGCGCGCGGGGGCGCCCACGCAGGCGGCTAGTAGCTTCGCCAGCGGCATATTGCGGGAGCCGCTGAATGGGGTTAAAAGCGTGCTACCTGTGAAGAAGGAGACGGAGTTGTGGATTTGCTCGCCGTATACGATTGTGAAAAACCTGATACATGCAAAAGATGTGCCGAGCGAGGCGTTCGGGGACTCGAGGTCGGTGAATTTGCCGGGGATTAAGGTGTCAGTTCAGAAGATGTTGGATGTTTTGGAGGTGGTTGGTGGAACGGAGAAGAGGGCTCTTGTTGAAGAGAAGCCCGATGAAGACGTCAACCGGATTGTGCAGGGGTGGTCGCCGAATTTTGATACGGCGTGGGCGAAGTCTTTAGGTTTTTATGAGGATATGTCGTTGCTGGACAGTGTGCAAAGGTTTGTGAGTGAGTATCTTAAATAGGGCTAAACAGGGATATTTTGAATGTTCTGCTTCTCTGGAAGGATGAATCATCTGGTTAAATAGTTAACTCTTCAATCACCAAATGAAGGCGTCGAGTTGAGGTTACCCCGGGGTTGGAACCGCGGTATATGATTTTTCAAAAGCAGAAATAGTTGATAAAGATTTTCATTCATCTACCTATGATTAGGAGATTCCTTTGTCAATTGTCAACTTAAGAAGTATCATCTTCTGCTTGTTGGACTTGTGTCATGCGCAAAATTTTGCCAATTTCTCTGAACTCTGTTGAACCGCGGGCGAATATACAGGAGTAGCAGTGCGAATGGAGTGGCTCGAGAACCATTCCTATCTAGACTACCCGTGGGTTGCTATGTGCGTCCTCTGGGGGTACTGGTGAACGGTAACGCGCCTCAAAGTATCAATCTCGACGACGGCCTAGGAGTATATATGGCGTTGAAGTGACTGGAACGTCTGACAAACTATTCGGGCTCACGTTCCTCGACCCCTGAGCTGAGTTTGCTGTGGATGCAGAGCTGGAAAACCAGATATAGGGATGCTGAAAGATATATTTGAAAGACGATTTTCCATTTGTCAAAAGCACACCACGGCCTGGAGCTCTGGTGAACCCACTTTGATCAATGGGATGTTAGATTGAAATAAACTAACTGGTGGAAAGACACCACCCCTCCTTATGATCAATGATCAATGAAACAGGATAAGTAGTGCTTACAACAAAGATGCAGACTACTCTATGTTTGAGTTTCTTAATCAAACTATGGAGAGATTGGAGACTTAAGGATTGGAACATTCAGCCTTTGCATAAGTTAATATGATAGCATAGAACCCAAATCAAATGGCAAACGCCCATACCAACACAAGAAAAAATAAGAAGCATGACTTCAAATGGAAACAATGGACTCAACAAGCTCTGCCTGCAATAGTTCTAAGTTTTGTTTCTTTCGATTTCCTCCAGTTTGACTTTTGATCCTTAGTGGACAACACTGACAGGAGACGAAATCTCACCCCGCGCAGTAACGAAGAATATTCTTTGCAAGGTGTGGTCTGGTGCATAGCGTTGAAAAGGATATAGTAGTATGTATGCATGATCGAACGTGCGTCAGAGTGCTGTAGCAGCGAGCTCAGGACTGCTCTATTCAGTCAGCATAATTACTGTTCCCAATTCATCTTTGCGAACAGCCTACAGTAGTCACTACGTGATATCAAACTATAACTATGGTCTTGAATACTGTTTTAACCCAGCCAATCAGGAAATCACGTTATCTGCCACCAATCTGTCACTAATCCGCAGTTATGGTTTTTTTTTTTTTTTTTTTGAGAAGTCTTTGAATGAGAATAACTAAACAACCATATCAATTCAAAAAATAGGTGTAAGTAAGAGAGCTAGATATCTCATTTATCTCTTGATAGAATCGATTTTTATTTTCATATCATTATTTCTTAGATATGATACAGGTCAGAATATAAACGCCACTTTTTATCATCCACGGCTACACTTTAGTAGTATATACAATCTTATCATCAATCTAGCATATATATAATATAAAAATACATCTCAGAGATAGCCATATATCGTATTAATCTGTGTATTCAAGCATTACTTATATAGATTTGTGATGGAGTGGCTATGAAGCAAAAGAATTTCAATCGACTCTCATACAAATTGCTTAGTACGGAGTATTGAGATTTTCATTTAAATCTAGCGTGTGCAAGGACTTATGTTCCACACCTTCCGTAAATAGAATTCAATGCTGAAATTCATTTTCGTAGAATTAGTGTAAGTCACTCTGAAATACTGATTGATTCAGTTGACAGAATCAGTAGTGGTTATTTTTTTCTATGATGTTTGGTAGAAGTTCAAATTGGGTTAGTACAAACTTCTTTCACGGGTCATCAAACAGATCATGTGACCTCGGAAGCTCTGCATAATTTGCCTTCTCCCGGAATCTCAAACTTCATTCGACATTCGCTGAATATTCTACACGCCGTCCAAGCCTCTCGTCCTGCACCGGTCCCTATTCCCTTCTACCTCCTTCATAATGGCTTCCCGGCGACTGGCTTTACACTTTAACCAGGCTCTGCGTAGCCGCGCAGCCTTGAATGCCGTTCAACCTGTGAAGCGAGGCTTCGCAACCCCCGTTACCGTTCCCACCACCACCCAATCGACAACCCTCTCAAATGGCTTAACGGTGAGGCATTGGTGTTGCTGCCATGGAGATAAATCGATGCTAATATTCTGTAGATTGCGACTGAGTACTCGCCGTGGGCCCAGACATCGACGGTTGGCGTGTGGATTGATGCGGGAAGCCGGGCAGAAACCAATGCGACGAATGGAACCGCACACTTCCTCGAGCATCTTGCGTTCAAGGTCGGCCATGCTACTAGAATTAACTATTAATCTTCTATTTTGAATTCGTTGCTCATGAGTTTACAGGGAACCAACAAGCGATCGCAACATCAATTGGAACTTGAAATTGAGAACATGGGTGCACACCTCAATGCCTATACCTCGGTACGTGGCGTTATTAAACACTCCATTAAAAGAAGTATCATAAACTGATGGCGTGGCTGTTTCCTTACAGCGAGAAAATACTGTCTACTACGCTAAATCTTTTAACGCCGATGTTCCCAAGGCCGTCGATATCCTATCGGATATTCTCCAAAACTCAAAACTAGAGACTGCCGCTATTGAAAGGGAACGGGATGTCATTCTTCGGGAGCAAGAGGAGGTTGATAAACAACTCGAAGAGGTTGTATTTGACCATTTGCATGCGACCGCTTTCCAGAATCAGCCACTTGGACGGACCATCCTTGGGCCCAAGGAAAACATTAAAAGCATCAACCGTGATAATTTGGTGGATTATATCAAGACAAATTACACAGCTGACCGCATGGTCCTTGTTGGTGCTGGCGGGATTCCCCACGATCAACTTGTAAAACTGGCGGAACAGCAGTTTGGCTCTCTCCCTAGCCAGCCTCCTAGCTCTGCTGCTTCCGCCGTCGCCGCTGAGCAGAAGCGCACACCCGACTTCATCGGTTCCGAAGTTCGCCTCCGTGATGACACTATCCCTACTGCAAACATTGCTCTGGCTGTCGAGGGAGTCAGTTGGAAGGACGACGACTATTTCACCGCTCTGATCACCCAAGCCATTGTTGGTAATTGGGACCGTGCTATGGGTAACTCCCCTTTCCTTGGCAGCAAACTGAGCCACTTCGTCGGCCACCACAACTTGGCCAACAGCTTCATGAGCTTCTCCACCAGCTACAGTGACACTGGGTAAGTTTGAGCCATTTTGCTTTCTTTTTCCCCATTCATCTACGGTGCACGCTAACTTTGATCCCACTTTTAGTCTGTGGGGTATCTACCTCGTCTCTGAGAATCTCACCCAACTCGACGATCTTGTCCACTTCACTCTCCGCGAATGGTCTCGCTTGTCATTTAGCGTGACCGAAGCTGAAGTAGAGCGTGCGAAGGCCCAATTGAGAGCTTCTGTCTTGCTGTCTCTTGACGGCACCACTGCCATCGCCGAAGACATCGGACGACAAATCGTCACCAGCGGTCGCCGCCTAAGCCCGGAGGATGTGGAGCGTGTGATCTCCGGAATCACTGAGAAGGATGTCATGAGCTTCGCCCAGCGGAAACTGTGGGATAAAGATATTGCCATCAGTGCTGTGGGCAGCATTGAGGGTATGCTCGACTACCAACGCATCAGGGCAGATATGAGCCGGAACTTTTCATAGATGTAAAAACAAACGATTCAAGAAAGTACGAATGATAGATAGGAAGACCCCAAAACAAAAGGTCTTCCCACAATTCCAGGGTTCTAATACACCTCTGTTCTATACTAATACCGTCGCTATCTAGATGTTGTTTATTATTATTTTTTTCCCTGACTTTTGTACCTTCTTTCTGCTCTGTGTTTGGTGATTTCTAGATAAGCATGGGGGTTGAGAAGGGGAAGGGGGCCAAGACATGTTGCGTTTTCATTGTATAGTATGGACATTTATATCCGCCGATATACTCAAAAGACCTGTTTCCTTTGTTCAGTCACGTATTGTTCAATTATTCTCCACCGGAATGCCCTGGCAACTGCTAGATGAGATAAGGCGGCATTCCTAGAGAAATCGTAAATTGAACAAAATAGCCCCTTAAGTTGATATCTTCAGAGGCGAATCCCTGTAACTTACTTCGTGCACGAGCTGCGTTGGTATTAAAATCAAATGTGGCCAATGAGACAGAAGCTTCTTCCAGTTGGTACTGCAAAACCATGGGAGAGTTTTTGTTGCTTGGTTCTTGTCACACCTTTTCGTTATGCTTTTTCTCAAGCAAATTAACTTGATAAGGGAAGCGAAAGCTATTCGTCATCCCGTACCTGCCGTTGACTTAACCTTGCCAATAACCTCACAAACTCAGGCACAGCCGGCTATAAAATTATCAACATGACAGCCATGAGTAAAAAATAATGTATGAGGGACGTGAGTTTCCGGTAATTGCTGTACGGACAATCCCGACGTACCAGATAGGCCGAGGCAATATTCCTGCGGGTGGCATCTCTGGTACTGGGGGCGAGCGGGTTGATGTCATTGAGTCCGATGGCAATCCGCAGGTGGCCATTTCGGAAAGCAAGGTGAATAGAGAGAGCTGTGGTGGGATAGAAGGGAGAAGAAGAACGGGCCCGTTGTTTCGATGGCTTGGGGCTTCCATCTTTTTAATGTCCACATTTGTAATTGCGCATATATGCTTCCACAATTCCATATATAAAGGGCACAAAGCCTCCCTTCAATTGAGCCAGAATCCACATGAATGCGCCCCTCGTCGCACTGAGAACCAAATCAACATTCCCTTTCTGCACTACAGTCGCCTCCACCTCGAGCTGCCATATACGTGACCCATATTAAGAACGCCGTACCCGATTCCCCGCAAATACAAAGACACAGCATCTAAAATGTCTCCCCAAAACAAAGCCCTCTTCTTCTCCAAAATCCCCACCGGATACCCCGTGCCGGGAGAGCACTTAACCATTCAAAACGTCCCAATTGATCCCTCCACGCCAGCTCCAGAAAATGGAATCACTGTTCAATCTCTCTACACCAGCTTCGACCCTTACATGCGTGGTCGCATGCGCGATTCCACCATCAAATCATACTCCCCGGCTTTTGACCTTGGAAAACCCATATACAGCCGCTCTGTTGCCAAAGTCCTGGCATCCAACAACAGCAAGTACAAACCGGATGATCACGTCATTGGCTTCCTGCCCGTACAGGAATATGTCTTCCTGCCACCGGAGGCCCTGGAAGCCATCCAGCTGCTGGACAATCCCTTAGGCCTCGAAGATACCCGCGTCTTCTTAGGCCCGCTAGGAATGCCCGGCCTGACCGCATACTCATCTTTAATGGAAATCGGCAAGCCGATCAAGGGCGAGACGATCTTCATCTCCGCCGCGTCCGGGGCAGTGGGCCAGGTCGTGGGCCAGTTGGCGAAGCATCTGGGTCTGAAGGTGATTGGCAGCGTCGGTACGGATGCCAAGTTGGATTATATCCTGAATGAGTTGGGATTCGACGGCGGGTTCAACTACAAGAAGGAGAAGCCGCGTGATGGACTGGCGCGCCTCGCACCGGACGGGATCGATATTTACTACGAGAATGTCGGCGGGGAGCACTTAGAGGCAGCCATCGATGCGATGAGGGATTTTGGTCGCATTGTGGCCTGCGGAATGATTTCGCAGTATAATCTGAGGCCACAGGAGAGGTACGGGATTAAGAATATATTCATGGTCATTTCGAAGAGGATTACCATGCGTGGGTTTATTGTTGGAGATCATGGAATGGGAGATAAGTGGGAAAAGCAGCATAAGGAGACTGTCTCGCGGTGGATTAAGGAAGGATCATTCAAACCCGCCATTGCTGAAACGGTGGGGATTGACAATGCAGCGGAAGGCCTGGTGGGCATCTTCCGTGGTGAGAACTTTGGGAAGGCCGTGTTGAAGTTCCAGAAGGTTTGTTGAGATTTTTTTCCCTATCTTTGCACCTCCGTGCTCCTGCTTAGCAGGGCAATCACATCCCTTTTTCCTGCTTTTTTCTTATTTTATATATATTTAGTAATGTCCGGATTTTATGAATCGTGAATTTCTAACGTGTTCTTAGTAACGATGATAGAACATTTCAGAACCCAGGCTTTAATAACTGGTTGCCAGCGGGAGGCACGGTTTAATTTATATCGTGATGAGAATGGTATAAGGATGAGATAGAAGGATGAGAATGGCTGTCTGTTTGAAAACAGTTTGGGAATCTTATCTTATAAAACCATTATTTGCTGTATTAACATTCCCCCATTCATTGTATATAACATAGAGTGCAAATATATGGACAGTTGAATACTCCTAGCAGTATTTAAAATCCATCTGGCGAGGAGTCTGCAAATGCTGCTCCCAAGGAATTAGACAATCCGAAGCAATTCAAAATCTTTCTCGGGAAATAGGAGTAACAAACATACCTAAACGCTGTCATTTCACTCTCTTCCCCCTCTAACAATCGGCCAACAGCTGCTTTCCTGCTCCAATTCTGAATTATATAGTAGCTACGTCGTCCACTTTTTAGCTCTCTGATATCCCAGTCCTCTGCACTAGTCCTCTTTATAGCGGACCAATCACATGACGTTGATTACGCTGACTGATCCAACCAACCGAGCCGAGGAATCCAATCCCGAGGACAACCTCAACTCATTCATTTATCTCGTCTTGCTTGCTTGTCAGAAGGAACCTTGTTACCACTCCCCTCAATTCCCCTGCCAGCTGTAGAGGACAGAGAAGGAAGTCTTGTCCAGGATATCCGTAATGGCATCCATCGTGCGCCCCTCAGCTTTTGTGCTGGGAAGAAGCTTCCTTGCCAGTTCCACTCCCACCCGACATACTGCTTTCTATTCCACATCTCGGGCGACCTCCTCAATTGTTTCTCCTCTGGCAATTGCTTCAACGCTGAAGCCGAGTCTCCTCCAGACGAGGCGAAGAGATGCTGCGGTTAAGGTTGCTGGCTTCCATGCGACCAGCCGGAGGGATCTCTTACCCCCCCCGCGACGTGAGTGCTCCGTGCTTTTCTTGTGCTTCATGCTTAGATGGTTGCGCGAGATGGTTGAAACAAAAGAGAGCGGATAGCTAGTGTCTCATATTGGTTGGTCGATGACAGGGCGCTAATTAATTGTCATATTTATCTATTGCAGAAACTATTCAGGGAACAAGTACGTTCAGTGTATCGCAATCCTTCCACTGCATTCTAGGCAGCCAACGACAGAGTGCCCCTCTCGTGGCATAAGCCCTTAGATTATATGCTAATTGCCATGATATTCATTTAGTGAACGATGCGGCTCCTATCCCCCCTACATCTCCATCCCACGGCAGCTATCACTGGACATTTGAAAGGTGCGTTTTGTTCCTCGAGCAAAGGGATCGAAGGAGGGTAGCGGGTATTTTGGGGTAAATTTGGCCAGAAACTAACAGAATCGTATAATTAGATCTGTCGCCGTGGCTCTCGTCCCCTTGACCATTGCCCCTTTTGCCGGTGGATCCGTTTACCCTGTTATGGATGCGGTGATCTGCGGCACCCTTTTGATGCACTCACACATTGGTTTCCAGTACGTATTCACTACGCCTGTGTCTGTATTCACACATTTAGGGATCCGTTTTACATTCTGACACAATAATTTTTCTTCAATGGAATCCAGGGCTTGCATCATAGATTATATCCCCGCATGGCGTATGCCCAAGGCCAGGAAGGCATTCGACTGGCTCCTGCGCATCATGACCCTGGTAACTGCAGTCGGATTATACGAGTTCGAAACGAATGACATTGGCATGACTGAAGCTATCAAGCGGATTTGGAAAGCGTGATCTTTCTTGTCTACTTTACCTTTTTCAACATTGATTATCTTTCTCATATGTGTGCGTTTCGTTCTCAAAGGTATTTTTGACGGGTTTCTTCTCTAGCTTTCCACATCGGCGCTTTTTTTTGCCCATATTCTTCTTCCCCGCCGCTTTTCTTCACGTACAATATTTTTTCCTCTCTAGATGCTAGCCTCACCCAGATACTGTAAAAGTTCACTATCTTCTTTTTACTCGATAAGGACATTAAAATATATCATATCTATCTATCTGTACCCCATCCGTATTGCTAACCATACGACACGTAATATGGGACTGAATCAAATACCTTTTCAATATCCCAAAACGCCATTACTCCGCGAGGCCTCAAATATCAATACCAGGCACTTTTAACAGAACTAGAACACCTCAAAAGAATAAATGCCATCCTCTCCGTAGCAAGTCACTCACTCCATTTCCTCCCGATCCACCTCCGCAGCCTCCCCATCTAGCAGCTCCTCGTCATCCGCAATCATCATAACCTTCTCAATCAACTTCAAGGTAGCCCGCAACGGCAATCCAATAACATTATCATAACTCCCCTCAATCCTCTCCACCAGAATCGACCCAAGCCCCTGCACCCCATACCCGCCCGCCTTATCCACCCCCTCCCTCGTCCGCACATACGCCAAGATCAGCTCATCCGTCACCGTCGAATCGAACCGTACAATTGACCCCTCCACCGTCGTTTCCAGCGCATACCCAGGATCCCGCGCACTCTTCAACGGCACCATCGCCGCCATGGCCGTGTAGACCGTATGGTCGCCCGCATCGCGCAGCGCCTTCAACATGGCAATATGCTGCGCCTCGGAGCGGGGCTTCTCCAATATCTGCGCGCCGCCGGAGGCCGTGGGGTTTACGACGATGGTATCCGCGGCGAGGATCAGGGCGGGCTCGCCCTTTTCCTCATTGTCGATCTCCTGCCGGTAGACCGCCTGTGCTTTCCTGACGGCGGTCTCTAGGCAGTATTCGAGCGGGGAGAGGGTTTTGGGCAGGTCCTCGGCGAAGGACGACGGGATTATTTCAACGTTGGGTAACCCGAGGTAGGAAAGGATCTGGTGCCTGCGTGGGGAGCTGGAGGCGAGGATTACACGTTTGGATCGGAGGTCGATCAGCGTAGGGAGCGCGAGCGCGGGCGGCCGTGGGAGGGTGCGTCCCCCGCTTGTACCTGCGCTTGCGGAGTCTGTGGTGGGCGGGCTCGAAGGGGGCTTTTTGGAGGTGGAGTCAGGCATTTTTTTTTTTTTTCAAATCTTTGATTTATCTAATTATTGTCGGAAGAACTAAATTTGTTCGCTTGTTTTTGTTCCTTTCTATTTTTCGTGAATTTGTTGAGTGTGGATCTCGTTGCGCGGGGCTTAGTTGGAGCTTGGTGAAGTGGTGCCGAAGTATGGTCTATTTAGAAGGCCCATTAGGCGGTGTGTAGATTTTTGGTCTGGGGATTCTTGACGTATCCGATTGATATCTAGCTAGCTAACTGTTTCTGAGCGTTGATGTTCCCGAGTCGAGGTTTTGTAATATACGACGTAGGATGGCTACACAGCCCTGGGATGCCGAAATGTGCAAGGCGGGGGATGGCTGCGCGAGGCTGCGAGGAAGCTCTTCCCCTACAACCAATACAAAATGGATTGATGGAACTTGTACGGAGTAGAAAATGCACATTTTGGAGCAGGAAAGTAGAAAAATTTTTATGTTGATCCATAACTAGGTAAATTGCTTCATGGAAATGCTTTACACACTGAATCGGATTCATGATTTCATGCTGATAAATGTATGGATCAATGCTTTAGACAACAAGAGGAAGAAGAATACATGTACCGCAGAGGGGTCTCTGCGATATGTGCGCTACCAATAAATATGGAGATGTTCTATACAAACATGCAGTATCATAAGAAAAAATGAACACAGAAGCATATGATGATACAAAAGCTCCATGACTGAGCCAAAATGATGAAAAGGAAAAATATGACAAACCGATACATGCTCTCGCACGCGAGATAAACGAAGAAACGCCATTGAATTGTCCACTACCCCCACTTGCTTTGACTAAGGTCCAACCCCCAAAATCGCGGAATATCATTTTTGGCCAGCTTTCTCGACCTTCTCGACTGTTGGATTGCTGCGCATCCCTTGGTTAATATTTCGACTAGGGTTAGGTGATCGGGACGTGCATTTTCCAAATGGAAGAGAAATTGTTCGAAACTTGGCGAAACATCCCTGTTCTCCTTCCTAACCTATTTATTTTCACATATATGCTTTTCCTGTGGTCGTTATCATTATCGTGTTTCTCGTGCGGAAGAAATGCATCTGCCCCTGGTCTGAAAACACGGCCATGGTATCGAAAAGGTGAAAACTGGATTTTTCAAAACTCCCCAATTCCTAATTCTCCATTGCAGAATTGGCTGTATCTCGCCCAGTCGAACCGTAGAAAATGTCGTTGGTGATTGGGGAAAGAAAATCCCAAGGAAAAATAGCAGGTAATAAAGGATAGGTATCAAGTGTTGGTTTGTTTTTGTTCCGATAGTTATTCTATCGTCTCAAAGAGTCTTCTGGAGAACCGCCTCTCTTCTCGATTTCCTCCATCAGTTCTCTCCGCTCCTGCAACTTCAGCTGCATGAAATCCACAGTCTTGCGGAGGACCACGCCCTCACTACGGCCTTGGCCCTCGAGCCCCGGAACCAGTTCAGTCAGTCTGTCGAACCCTTCCCGGATGGCAGCGCGGCGCTTCTGCTCAGAAGCGATGTGGTTATTCTTCTTCTCCTGCTCTGTCAGGCGAGGTTTTTCCTTCTCTGTCGTTGTTCGTGAAGACGCACGAGGGTTTGGTTGAGGTGATGCAGACGAGGTCATTGATACAGAAGAGGGTTCTTGCTTCCTGCTTCTGGTAGCTGATGTTTGGACGACTGTGGAGCTGGAGCGGACTGAAGGAGAGAGGGAGGGGTTGGAGGGAGACATAGATGTCGGGGGCGAATAAGGAGCTGGGGAGGGAGAGGAAGAAGACGAGGACGCCTGAGCACGTAGAGCGGAGGGCATAATCTGGTAATCTGATGTCCACGCGGGCAGGCTTTTGGAAGGGATGGATTTAAATAGCTTTAAAAGACGAGTATAATTAGATGGAGATGGATACTATTCATGCGCATGTCTTCAAGGCCTGGAGGGATGAAAATTGGATTGGACGATAAGAGTCGACAATGTACTGACACACCAGGATAGAAGCACAAGAGAGGACAGGAAAATGTTTTTAACAGCTCGTTATTGATAGAGTCCGGTTAAATCAAATCGTCCTCCACAGAAGATGGAAGCTTGCATTTATCATCTCGTCCCTCGACAGGGAATCCAAGATGCGGGGGACCAGTTGGCAGCATGACAGCCACTAAAATGGCCGTACTTAACCTTTTTCTTGGGCCAACTCGTGGCCAAAGAGTTTCAGTTTCAGCCCGAATCTTGGTCGAGGCCAATGTTGACGTAGATTACTTTTGCGCAACCCTGGGCTGATCCTTGGACAGTTGGTGATGGAGTTCTGGCTGTCTTGTCATATTGTCATCTTGGAGGCCTGAGCATTGAATAATCTTGGAATATTTATTCAACCAGCACATTCTCTGTTCTCACACACCTCCATCCATCCTTGACATCGACATCGTCTATCCCGAGAGCTCCCCTGATTACTTGGAGCTGGCTGCATCCTGACGTACTTCGAAATTCCCAACATGGATCGGGACCGGACGCTTCGGGGATCCTGCTCTTGTGGCCGAATCCAATATACTGTTGTCATCCCTCGCAACGCTGTCACGCAAGCCGAGGTCTATTTTGATACAAGCAGCGACCGTCGTATGTGCATTTCATCATCCCCTTGTCTTTTGTTCTGAGAGATGAATGTAAGCGGAATCGGGCATAGATACGCTAACGAAAACCCTCTTAATATTTTTCATCCAGGGAGATACCAAGCAGCCCCATTGACCGCATGGCTCCGCGTGCCCCTAGAATGGTACCACTCCTCCACAACATCCTACTTCCCAGATGAAACACATGCTGCCATCCGCCGCACATTCATCCCGCCCAATGATCCGCATTCCCAGCGCAATTTCTGTGGCTTCTGCGGCACGCCCATGTCGTACTGGAGCGAGAACCCGCCCGAGGAAGCTGAGTTCATGTCTGTGACTATAGGCAGCTTGTTCAGCGAGGACCAAGGTGCACTGGAGGATTTGGATCTGTTGCCCTCAGATGCGGATACAGATAAGGAGGTTGGCAGTGGCCATGCCACCCCCGCTGCAACTTCTGCCCCTGCCAATCATTCTGCTACGGGCCGGCCAGCTTTGTCTACTGCATCGACCTCTACCCAAATTGGCCCGAGATTCATAGAACCACGTGTCTCTGTCAGGCGTCGGTTTGGCGTCGTCAATGGCATCCCATGGTTCGAGGAGATGATGCAAGGGAGCCGGTTGGGGAGGGTTGGAAAGAGTCGGCGCGGGGTGGGCATCAGTGCTGATAGAACGATGAGGTTGGAATGGGAGGTGAGCGAGTGGCATGATGATGGTTCAGGTCCCATCGTGGAAGATCTCAGCACTGGTTCTGGCTCTGACTATCACACTCCCCCACGAACGTCCAAAAGGAAAACTCCTGAGATGGGTGGTGAGTGAGCGGGCGATGTGAGCGAGTTGATGCTAATTACACGAGTCGGAACGTGTCTGTCTTTACTTGATCGTCTTTTTAGGTGATTTGGCCTCGGTGGCTTTCGGACACCCCTCTTCGTTGGAGCAATTCTCGGGCGTTACAGGTACATGTTCTGTTCTTCATTCTGCTACTGTACTACTAATAGTGGACATCATTTATCGCCTGCCCAGCTACTACAACCATTTACGAGATGGTTCTTTACCATCACTTAAAGGATAACTCCACCTGTTGGGCCATTTGATTTCTATTTTGGCGAAACGATAAACGTTGCACAATCCATGTTGCTATATGTTTTATCCTTTTATAACGCTCCGTACTTCTCTTATTGGATCTCGTCCATGTCTGAAGTTCCCGAAAACTTTGTTCTATATTGCCCTTGAGGTTTAATATAAGGCATTTTTCAAGTATTTCTCACTTTGATGTCGTCCTTTGCTAACTTCAACCTGGAAGCTTGACTCTGGACGCTTCCCCCCCCCTTCCCCCAGGCTATATTCAGGATATCTACCCCGGTCTGACATGCTAGTAATAGTGCAATCGTCTTATATTAACGCCACATGGCGGCAAAGTCGCAAGGCCGTATTGGTCACTTTTGTCTCCAACTGGATATCCAACAAAGCTCATCAATACTATCTGTACTGCGCTTTGTTTCTTCTGTCCTTTGTTGCATCACTGATGGTCAATGTTGCTTTCAAACATTGATATATGGGATGTCTTGTGGTGATTACATCTTGCTTTGGTTTAATATTTCTGTTCCTTTTACTGACTTACAAAGCTTTTTCTCATCACTACTGTGAAACTTAGCTTTGCTCTCAATCTCTCCTGACTTCCTGTAGGGATGCTGTTTAGCTGAGCTTTAATATTGTTTCTCCCCACACTCTATGGGTGCTCATCTTCCACATGCGTCTAACAACCGCATCCTGCTCATTCCCTTTAGTCAGTCATCATGAGACGACAAGCAATGCGCCGAGCTCCCTTCAGGGTTCAAATCACACAAATCACACAAATCTTCACTCAATTTCTCCCTTTCTTCACAACCACCCCCCTCCTCATATAGACCTCATCGCATCCGTGTGTTACGCATGTAAGTCCCCACCAACCCATCAAGGCAGGCATGGCGACGCCACCCCGTTTCCCCCTTGCCAAGCGCTCCCTCGACAGCCTTGGGCTGCGAAGACGCCATGATCCTCCTCCGCCGCAGTTCTTCCGCCCTGAACTTCGAGCTAGAGCGTCAAGCAGCTCAGCACTGGCTCAGCGAGCTGGGTCTATGAGGTTTGCAACGGCAATACCGGAATCTTACATCAAGATGACCAGAACACCACCGAAGAAACGCAACAATAAGAAGAAGAATAAGAAGAAGGGCGGGCGTTCGAAGAAAGCAGTCATCGAGGATCTGCCATTGTCTAAACGTTGGGTTTTGGCTGCGACAAATGCGTTTCGTCCGTCTCGCGAGAATGATGCAAACCAACTTCAGGTTAAAAAGGTGCGTTTTGTGTTTTCAATGTTAGCAGTACTTGCCTTATATTATCTTTGCCATTTTTCTTTCTCGTTCTTTACTCTTTTTTGGTATGAAAATGAATAAATGATAAACGAATATGACCCGAAGTTGTGTTAACGTTTTTTGGATGCAAAAACATAGCTTCGTCGTGTCGCCAAAAATGCCAATTTGTCACCCATTTTTATCCGCCCAGTTCAAACACGGCCGTTTCCTACGCCTCCAGTAAGTACTTCTCGAAATTGGGATTGTCATGCTTATACGTTTTATTTCTTTATTTTTTTTATTTATTTTTCTCGCTGTATATTCTAACTGTTGCTAGGAGAGGAAATCGAGTCTTCACTCTGGGGCGAAGACACGTTCTGCCCAGACTGGTAACAGGAGGCCTATTGAAAAACCTCTTCCAAGCACACCTGAACCAGAAGAGTCTGATATTCCAGATAACGAAGAGGAGCTTCCGAGTAGTTCTAAGAGTTCCAATGAGGCAGAGGACACACATCTTCTCCAATATCAGATAGGAAGACCTGAGGTGTCAGAGAGGTGGCCAGTTTTATCTCCATGGAAACCGCCCCAGTCGTGGGAGTCTAACTATCGACGTGTTGAAGCGCAAAAAAATCTCCAGAAGCTTTCTTCACAGAACAATGATCACCCAGCATCTCCTTTTCCAACGGAAAACCCACCTCCTCTACCTCCATCAAAACCATTGACTCCCCCCAGGAGTACTCTAAGACACAGTCGTCTGCGAATCACGTCAAATTGGCCCACCGAAAATTCTCAACTGGATACTATTTATCAAGCAGCTGAGCCAAATGATCCAATGGAGAAAGCACCTCACGACAATCCCTCGGATGTGTTACCCAATATGATCTCACCGGGGAACCCTGGGGTAGGAACACAGCCACTGGAGGTGAACAGTGAATCGAAGATTATAAACCCACCCATGGGCAACAATGAGAATATCTCATTAAAACCTAATCCATTTCGCAATCGCTACCGAACTGTTTCGTCTCCCCAACATTCTTCCCATTCTCGTCCGCAGAGTGGCTTACGGGAGTTTTCCTTCGAATTCAGCACCGATTGCCCGAGCCCGGAAACCACCAATAATCAAAATCAAATTGTTGCCGATGTGATGGGCGACAAGGAAGTTTCGAATAGTTACACCACTCCTCGAAGCGAAAATGCAGCCTCGAAAATTCCCCGTATCTCTCCACAGGTATTGACTCCTCCTACCACTGGAGAAGTTGACGGGTTAAAGAAAATCAGATCACCTAGCCGCCGCAGCTCCATCCCTATTCCTAGTCGTATGGTACATGCAAGGGACAAGTTTGATGCCAATGCGCTACCCGTTAGTCCTGCCGTGAAAACTGGTCGCAGCTCTACTTCAGGTTACACCGGTACAATTTATGAAGACGAAGCTCTTGGGGATCAAAAAGGAGTTGGGCATCAGCAAACTAGCCAAATTGTTATTGCCAACAAGGTAGACCCTACGGAATCGCGTGGGAATGATTTTACCCTGTCAACGGCGCTCCCTAACGGGTACATAGCAAAGGAGTTGGCAGCAGCAGGCCGTTCTGGACCTCAGCTTCGTATCTCCCCGGAGGCAGACAAAGTTATCATGGGGAATATGACCAATGAGATGGGAGAGTCATCCCAAAATCATGCCGGAAAGCGTGCCAAGCGTCTCTCAGGCTCGAAGAGACTGTCAGGAGATAGCATTTTTGGCAGTTTCACACCAAAGTATCTCATGCACTCGCAGTCTAACAGCTCTTTGAACCCTTCCATTGCTTCACCTACAGAAGGCAAGGTTGCAGCCGCAAGAGATAGGAAACTCAAAAAGGCTAGAAGCACAGATGCTACCTACGCAAAGAAGCAACACGGGAAGAAGTTTGGCACTAATCCTTTCTACGATGATGGGATTGTACCGTCTCCTGGTGTGCTCAACGAGCGATATCCATTCTTGAATAATAGTGGCCTGGAACCTCCTCGTTATTCGGAAGCAGATGCGGCTAGTCATGGATACAAGGCTTTACCATCGTCGCCTCTTGCTGAAAGCACAACCCTCATCGACGACACTGATATCGAGCATTCGCAACTCGGATGCCAAGGGAAACACGTGGTTCCTAGCCCCTTGAACTCGCATACATCTACAGATCAACTCCGTAATAAGAATGAAAATGAATTGTCTCAAGAACGTGACGCTTCCTCAACTGTCCGTCATCGCAGCTCTTCGCAGCGCTTACTTCATCGTTCATCTCGTCATCGCATATCTGAACATGGAAGCCACGGCAAGTCGAAATTGAACAATGTCGCCGCACCGAGCGAATCGGCCGAGTTAACCCAGAAGGATGCATATGAGGCTCTCCGTAAGAAGAATCGAGAGAGTTCAACGAAACACCACTCCCTTTCAACAGTCCGTAACTCTTCTGGGTCTAAGGAGCCTTCTGCAAAGGCAGGTGGTGTGCTATCCAACTTCCGTGGCCTTTTCACGAAACAAAAGAATGACTCGGCAACTTCAAATGCAAATGCAAATGCAAACGCAAATGCATCCAGTTCTACCAATGCCAAACGCAAGGACCTTGAGCGTGTCAAAGCTGCTAATAGTGGAAAATTGAGCACCGGAAGTCCTACGGAACGTTCTTTGAGCCGTCATGCCCGGGGATCTCGTGCCGATAAACGCGTGGAAGACAATCCGAACACACCTTCTCGAGACGCCACTGTGGATCATTCCCGCCCAACATCTGATGCTCTTACCATCACCTCGCAGATGGCAGATTCACCAGCGCTCTCAGGGATCAGAAATGTCAGTGCTCTGTGCATTCATGTCTTGGATGCAGCTCGTGACGAGCCTAATGGAGCCAAGAAGGAGAAACTTATTAAGGTAGTGCCCGCACCATTTTTTCCTGTCCCTGGTTTCCTCGCATGTTTTTAGTATCCATTTTGCTTGACTCCCTTTCCCGTTTAATTAAAAGGAATTCTAACCGCTTTCTAAAACAAATATAGCTGGGAAAAATCCTCGTTGAGGTTGTGAACCACGCCAATGATGCCGAGAGTGCCATGTTGGCGGCTTTGCAGGCTGCAAAGCAGGCCGAAATCGCCTGTGCCCTTGCCAAGGAAAACGCCCTGAGATTGGCCCGGGTTGCTCAAGACTGGATTAATCTTAGTAATTGCGACAGCTAGCCTGCTCTAGGTTCCTTATCTCAACATTTCCGTGGGTGTGCCTGGGCTCGGTTTTCGATCATCGTTCGTTCGGCATTGCCCAGACTTGCCAGATGGCTGGAAGTTTACCAGCTAATAATGGTTCGTACGGGAACGAATGCAAGAGTGTGGCGAAGCCACTGTTTCTCAAGCTCTCTTTTATTCTGAATTCTACTTTTCTAATGCGTTTTCAAAATATTTCAACAATGCTGAGTTGATGTTTGTTAGTCTCATGAGTGAACTTCTTCCATCTTTCTTGTTCGAATTTATTCTATCTGCCTTTTCCCTTGCTCTTCCCCCATCTTCCCCCATCTTCCCCCTTTTTCAATGTTTTGATTTTCATCGATATGCGACAAGAGAAAGATATTTTATCTGAGAACGGACACAACATCTTTCTCGTTTGTGGCTATTCTGATTTTTTATTTGTGATCATATTTTTCTTAATTGTGTATGTTTTACAACTGAGGCGTGGATCAACTTCAGGCGGGCTCCGTTTCTTTTCTATTGAGTTCCAGAGCATGCAATTCCCCATCAGATACCCAAAAGCTCCATCTCTCAAAAGATACCTGTCTGGAAAATCCATGTCCTAGCTCTGACTATTTCATCTGACTGGCGAGTTTACCTAGTCCCTTCTGATCGACTAGACCGGATTCCCAGTACATTTCGCGGATTCCTTTAACTTTTTTATTTATATCCTGGCCTCTGCCGCAACGTGCCCGCGTAGGCGTCTACTATGCTATGGCTCTTTCCAGACATTTCTGTTATCCCCAAGTCCGCTCAATGTGAGTGAGTTCTAGCTTGCAGCTTTAGCTAGCCAAGTTCAACGAAATATTGATATCAATTTTCCTATTCTGGAGATCCCTCTACGGGATCTTCGTGTAAATGATTTCCATTTTGGAACTTTCTAAGTTTGCAATAGTGGATTTTCTTTTCTATTGTCAAACCGCCAGAAGCAGAAACACCCCCCATCCGGTGTATCAGAAATGGCCGGTTCAAAATAGAACACATAAATTACATGTCAAACCTTAGAACAACACTTCGACTGCTGCCTATCTCCATTGCCGGATTGGGAACAACACAACAGCTGTGTTAGCCCAACCGTTGCCTCGTGAACCCCTTTCCGCACGTTTCCACTGCCCAACCCCCTCTTTTTCCCTGACTCACACCCCCGAAAGGGATAAAGGAGAAGCAGTTCACGAATCTCGCTTATCACTAGCTCCAGTCAAGCGAGAATGCACGGGTATATAAAGGGGCATTCACAGCTCTCTCTACCTCCTCTTCTCCTTTCACTCTTTTTGGAATTTGACATGTCGCAACTTCTACTCCTTACTTTCATCATTTTTAAAAAATCGCTCAGCAAAATTTCAATCTTTTGATCCTTTCTTATCCTTTCTGGTTGTATTCTGCTTCCAGGATTGCTGCCTCTACCTGTCCTCTCTCTTTCTTTGCTTTCATCATCTCATTTATATCAATAACCCCTCTGAATATCTATCTTGGTCTCTCTATTCATACCAGCACAGACGGCTCTTGTTGAAGATTTTACTCCTGAATCCACAAGTAGCCATCTCGTGTTTTATGCGTGTTGATCGTCTTCGGAAATATACCTATCTTATAACCTGCCAAGTTGTATGTGGAAATTGACGCTGGATTGCTCCTTGTAAGCAGCTTTGCCTCTTAGAAACTCTGCTCCATCATTTTGCATGCATTGCTAATTTCTACGGATAGCTGCTGAGACGGCAATTTTGGACACTCTGTGTTATCTACAGCAGTTCTACTTTCAGCTTCACAAATACCTACAGTGGTCAAATGACTCTTAGGGAATGTCTTTTGCAAAGACATCGAACAAATCAATTTTGCAGCAAGTATTGCTATTTACCCTTTTTTGGACGCGCCTTTGTGCGTTTCTAGGGCTAACATTGGGTTAGGGCAAGAGCAGAAAGCAGTATTCGGCTTATTCACACAACAACACTTCGCTTAAGGCCGTGAATGCCTTCATTCCCATCCTTGAGGAGTTTTGACCTCCACCTTTCACCCCTGACAATCACCTCACCTCTCTCCTCAAACCTTCTTCCTTACCCTTCATCACATCTTTACACACATTGCATCTTTTCATCACTACTGCTGTTGCCCATTTCGTTCTTCTACTCTATTTTATTCATAATAGAAATTGCCTCCCTTACCCCTTTGTATCAGCTTGAGCACTCCTACACTCAAGCTATACGGCTGCAACGCTTTTAACTATTGAAGAAGTTTTGCTGTCCCAACGCCGTCTACCAGCACGTCTGACCCCCTTTCTGACGCAATGGTCAGGGCCATAATTGTGACAACCCACATCTTGTACATGTTCGCAAGTGTGGCTTTCCAACCCCCTCTTGGCTTTGAGAATGATTGGATTCATATCCCTTAATATTTTCATCCTTGCTCCTCACGCCGCCTTATTCTGTTGCCACAATATTGGCTAAATGGTCTCGGATCTTAGAAGCGAAGGCAATTTTGTCATTTCAAGAGGGTATTGCGATGCGGTGTGTGGTCGTCAGATTTTCCCTTCTGAAGCTTACATTTGCTAACTAGTAAGATAGATCGGCACACACTCAGCTACACGTCAACCTCATTTTTCGAAACTGCGAACAGTACCCCACCATTTTGTTACTATCACCATCAATGCCCCTTTACCTATCACCTTATTTCTTCTTCCCCTTCTGTCGCGAAACACTCCCCTTGTTCGAACTCTTGAACAACTATTCTGGCATTGTTTTCATCTACTTTTCTGTTTGAACATCTCAGCCTCAGATACTTGATTCGACATGTTGGCACATAATTCGGCTTCTTCATCACTCAGTACAATTTCCCGCTGCGCTTGTTCAAAGTGTACAGCTTTTACCAGGTATGTTAACATTCACTTTGCTAACCTCTCCCTCCCCCAATTCCCCTTCTTCTCCGGTGCAAATACCTGGCTAACTATGTGACAGACTCAAATACCTCCTTTTTCTCAAAAATTTTCTGTGTTGTGGAAAATAAGCGTTGAACACTATATCACGTCTGAGAAAACGCTTTTGTCTATTCTGGATGACAAGTCAATCCTTTTTTCCCCGGCTTGTTCTCGTTCTCACTCACGGTTGAACGGAACACATTCTATCTTACCCGTTTACACGCGCTATATCAGCAACCCACGGTGTCACTTGGCCATGTTGTCTAGCTCTTGGCAGGTTTGAAACTTCAGTCGCTCCAATGTGGTGGAATTCTGCACAGTGCATGGCTAATTTAACCATCGACACAGATGGAATTCTTGCTTCTTGTCACGCCAACGGCTTAAACTGCCGTGAAAATTTTCAACTGTCAAATTTATTGTATCAAACAACATTGATGATGCATAGCTTACATCCCCTGCCTCAAAATCACCACAATTCGATCCCATATCTATTCCCGCTACCTCTCAACATCCACAGCGGTCTTTTTCTAGGCACCTAACTCTTCTCCCATGTGTATTTCCGACGCCTTGATGTGCGACTGGTAACTACATCCTCATTCCTGCTTTGCTTCGTTCTCACCCCTTTTTCAGTTCCGTCAAGCTGGCTTCTCTAACATCTTAAGGTTTCAAACGCTGCGTTCTCTACGATATGGAACTTTAAGGCTGCAACGCACTGGTTTGTTTTGACACTGATTCATCCGCTCCCACTTGTTGTTGGCTTTCCTGTACGTGTAGGTTCGACTGACGTTTCTTGCAGGCTACTTCGCGGTCTTCTCAGTGAGCATCCCCGATTTGATTAAGGAATAGAAAGAAGAAATGAAAAAAAAAAAAAAAAAAAAAAAAAAAAAAAAAAGAGAGAGAGAGAGAGAGATACACAGAAAGAGATAAAAAAAGTTCATTGGCCTGTTTGAGTTGGGTATGTATTGGTATGTGAGAGGGAAATTATCCCGAGGAAAGTTGACAAACAGAGAACGAAGATGAAAAAAAAAAAGGAAAAGGAAAAGGAAAAGAAGAAGAAAAAAAGAAATCGAAAGAAAAAAGAAAAAAGAAAAAAGAAACAAGAAGAAAATGGACTGAAGTACAGAGCACACAACAGATTATGGAGAAGATAACCCCTTGCTTTGGCTCACAGTTTCACACTGCCCTCCACAAGCCCCTTTACTATTTCGTACTCACCTTTCAAACCCTCAATTTACCCTTATGCTTCTCCCAAAGTCACACCCTGCTCTCCCCCTTTCTTTCTCCCACAACACGAACAGCACAACCAGCCATCCGATGTACCTTTCATGAACGTTCTTCTGTTTTTGCCCCTCACGATTGTCCCTGGTTGTACCATGTCGCTGCGAAATATCGCATGAAAATATGTCGTGCCTACTTTGGCACCTGAACATGCTTGCTTTTATCAAGAACTTACAGCTTTTGGAAGGCCAAACACAGGAAATCAGCGACTCGGATTCGTCGAGTTATTTTTTTCATAGCCATTCGGACAACAATCCATGGCTCACGCAACAATTTGTCGACCTTCAGAAAGGCAATTCACCAAACCATACTTATTATCAGATATGTCCCCCTTTCCATATTGTCTTGAAACTAATCTCGGAGCATCTTTTTTGTGTCTTCCTTTTGGGACAAAATAACCAGTCAGTGACTCGAGGTCATTGTCGTGGCATGGAGGATATCATTTTCATTTAGCAGTCGTTCCCGTCTCTACATACGCCTGAAAACCTCTCCCATTTCCATATTTTGGTTCACTTTTATAACCAATTGACAACTCGAGGTTGTCAAGTTGGCGTGGGGGACATTCGTCTTTCTTCCTTTATTTCTTCCTCAGAGAATCTCTTCAACATATCCCTTCGATACTTTGGGTCATATAGACAACCAATTGGTGATTCGAGATTGCCAATGTGGCGTGGAGGATATCCTATCTTTCTCGAAGTTTTATGTTCTCTGAAAATCTTCTTCACCATCCTCGCTCTATTCGCTTAAGGGTCGCTTCATAACCAATTGGTGATTCGAGATTGCCAATGTAGCGTGAAGGATGTTCGCCATTCCATTTCATTCACACCTCAACTCCCGGCAATCCTTTCTCTTTCATTGGTTCAGTCTTATAACCAATTGACAACTCGAGGTTGCCAAGTTGTCGTGGAGGATATCCTACCTCCTCAAAGATTTCTGCTCTCTGAAAATCCTCCGGTACCCCTCTCTCTATACGCCTAAGGGCCGCTTCATAACCAATTGACAACTCGAGGTTGCCAAGTTGGCGTGGGGGATATCCTATCTTTTCGAAGGTTTTTGTTCTCTGGAAATCTTCTTCGCCATCTCTCCCTATTCGCTTAAAGGGTCGCTTCATAACCAATTGGCAATTCGAGATTGTCAATGTGGCGTGGGGGATATATTTTTCTGATACCCGCTTTACCTCACTTCCTCCTTCCGGTCGCTCTTCATACAAATATCCCCCAACAACTTTTTTTGGGAATTTGCTAAAGAACATCCTCTTTAACATGAACGCTTTCTAGGCAATCGAAATACATTTTGGGTCCCAATAACCAGTCAACAGCTCGAGGTTGTTTGACGTGGCGTGGAGGGTCTTGCACACTTTCTCATCAGGGGCTATTCCTTACCCCTTTATGAAAAATTTAGTTAACTCGGCCTCAGGGTAAATTAACCAGTCAACAGCTCCAGACCGTTTTATGCTATGTTGCGGAATTTACAATTTCTGATCCCTCCCTTGATCCTCTTGGTTGTCGGTCATCGAAGTGCAGCAAATCCTCAAAACCGATTTCAAGGGCTTAAAATAACCAGTTGACGGCTCGAGGCTGTCAGCGTGGCGTGGTGGATCCGATCTATTCCCTTTTGTCATTACTTACTATTCAGAGTCATGACCTCAAACTAATTTTCAAGGGTTTCATACAACCAGCAAGTGACTCGAGGTCACCAGCGTGGCGTGGTGGAATCTGTTAACTTGCATTCCTCTCCTATTTCCGCACTAACTGGGTTTACAAATAACCAATCATCAACTCGAGGTTGATGATGTGGCGTGATGGTTTCTTCATACTCTTTCTGAGTCCTCCATACGTTTTTTCTTTCACCTCAACCAATTCTCATCACCTCATTTCGTGGGCTAATATAACCAGTCAACAACTCGAGGTTGTTTGATGTGGCGTGGAGGATATCTCTTGATTTCTCCGTCATTGCAAACCTGCTCTATGGCCACTTTTACTTCGATTCGATGTCCTCAAAGGTTGAAATCATCAGTCAACAGCTTGGAGCTGTTTGACTTGGTGTGATGGATACTCTTCTCCTTTTTTTCCCCAATCAGCTTCTTATTGCGTTCATTAAATATTGCATTCTGCTAACATATTACAGCGTGATCATCAGCTCCATGACTCTAACTCATACAACCAGCCAACAGCTCGGGGCTGTTGGTGTGGCGTGGTGGATATAAATATCTTCTCGATGTTCAACCTTCATTCAACTTCTCGGGTTATAAATAACCAGCCAGTCAAGGTCAAGCCGTCTGGTGTGGCGTGATGGAATTCATCATACTCGCAATTCCTTCTGTCCAATTCCTCTCCATTTCCTCTCCAACCTCCTTTGCTCAGGGCACAATAACCAATTATCAGCTCGAGGCTGCTAATGTGGCGTGTTGGATTTCATCCTCTCTAATCACTTTAATCGCCATAGCTTTACTACGCCCCTATAATCCGCAGGTCTATATACCAAGTCAATAACTCAAGGCCATTGATGCGGAGTAATGGGTCTTCTCTCTGTTTCTTCGCCTCTTTGTTTCTTCGCCTCTGACCTCCACTGATTCCATGAGTATTTCTGATCATTTCCGGGTACAATAATCAATTAGCAGCTCGAGGCTGTTAATGTGACGTGGTGGACATCCTCTACATTTATGCCTTCGTTTTTTGTCTTGGCTTCCGCTTGCTTGCAGCAGCCCCAAACTGTTTCCATTCGCTTTTTTACTTACTTCTTACATTCTTTGCTAATATCGTGCGTCTCTACGCCACATTATAAACATCTTAGGTTTCCGATAGACTTCCTTACTTCCACCACCCTCAATCCATTCGGCTGTATCTATATAGGCTCATATAACCAGCCATTTCTTCGAGAGAAATGGTGTGGCGTGGTGGATGTCCTTCCCACCCACGATTGAAACCCCTGAACCCCTTTTTGGTTTTGACCTTTTCCTTTCAGTTTGCGACATACTAAAGCTAATTAGCACCTCGAGGCTATCGATGTAGTGTGGTGAATCTAACTGACTTCTCAAATGCTCCATCTTATTCTCCTTTCTTATATTTCCCCTACTCATCACACTTTTGGGCTTAAAATAACCAGTCCCTTCCTTGAGGGAAGTGACGTGGCGTGGTGGATATCTCCTTCAATCATCTCTATCTCATCATGCTTGTTGATGATCTGTTCAATCGTTTTCTATCTTTACACTCTGTCACAACTCTCTGGGTTTTAATAACCAATCTTCAACTCGAGGTTGTAGATGTGGCGTGGCGGACTTCCTTCTCTTCCAGGTCATTTCTCTTCTCTTTACGCCATGTCAAATAATCAGCCACCCCTCAGGGAAGTGACGTGTCGTGACGTGACGCGATGGATATATCCTTCTCCATACCTCTGAATTACCGCCGCATGGACATTTTGAGCCTTTTTGCATGATACTTCTTCACGGAACCCGGGCTTTTATAACCAATCTGCAGCTCGAGGCTGTTGATGTGGCTTGGGGGATAACAATTTTGCAACACGGTTCTATAACATCGACTTACTCTTCTTGTCGGGCTTGAACTGTTTATATTTACGTCAGGGCTCAATATAACCAGTCATTTCCTCGAGGGGAATGACGTGGCGTGGTGGAATTCAATTTCTTCCTTTTGAAATTAACCGTGGACATATTCCTCTCTCCGATTCTCGTCGACAACAACCTCGAAAGATCTACCTCCATTCAACTTAGGGCATAATAACCAGTTGGAAGCTCGAGGCTTTCAAAGTGGCGTGGGGGATAACACCTTTCTCTCCTCTTCTCTCTATCGGAGCTAGTTAGTTATTAATCAGCTCTGTGCGATTCTGCAATATTTTCCCCTTTCCTTGTCTTCTACAAGCATAATTTCAGTCACATTCCTCTTTCCTATTAATTTCCACAACACATCACTTCCTAGTATCTTCAATCAGGGCCATATTTTTTTCATGTTGATGTCAAATTGAATGTTCAGATGATATCCACTACAAACATTATGGAGAATTTACGTTTGTTCTTGGCAGAGACATTTATGTACCATGACTTTCTATTCCTTATCTGTGTTGCCTTATTGGCACTTGGTAATACCCAGGCTTCGGCCTGTTTGCTTTCTTTAAAACATGCGGCGGGATCGGGCCTGTATGAAATTTCAAATTCAAGTACATTCAAGCAACGAGAAATTATTGTCTTCTTCATCCTCGTGGTCAAAAGTAATTTTCGACGTCATCCCGCTGCCAGTCAATGCTCCAGGAATTTTATATATATATATAACCGATGAATATTCCACTCAAGACACTGTTATAAGGTTTTAAGTTTGGACACAATCAAGAAGAGTTCGGAAAACACAATAATCGGGGTTTATTTCATATATATATATATATATTTATATTTCAAGCTTTGTTTCAGATCTATTTTTACACCTTTGTGTTAAATTGCTTCTATCTGCCGTATCTCTGCATCCTTGCAGCTACTAACAGAAATGCAGTACATTTCATCTCCACGTCAGTATTGTGAAAGCAATTGTTTCACTGCGACGCAAGCATGGCACCACAAAAATATTATCAATTAGTGCACGACGTCTCCAGATCATTCCCTAAGAAACAATTTGGAAGCAAAATAAGTTAATACATTACAAACAGGTTTCACAGGTCCGGCAAAGAACTGCGTGGAGACGTTGTTCATTGCCTGAAGTCAAGTATTGATGACAGGAAAACTTAACTTCGACAACATTTACAAGATTGCAACCACTGACCCAGAGAACAGCAGCATGATTTCGAAATGCTTGCTCTTGTATCATAGTTAGTGATAGCTATATCCTATCAACTTATTTCTTTTTTTTAGAGGGCCAAGACATATTAGAACTAACTACGAACACGAACAGATTGAGAAGAACTATGGAAAGTAGACACAAAATTGTAACTTGAAAATTACATTTTCAAGGCAGCCAATGAATTGTCCGACAAATTCCGGGCCAGAAACATTCCGCCATTATAATTGACATTTTTTTGTTTTGGCCATTGGTATAAATGCATCTTTCCGCTCAAAGCGTACCTTGTTTGACCACAATAATTTCTTCCCCAGATCATATAATTAGTGGATAGTCGTACACTGACCAGGGAGTCATCTTCAATAATATAAATGTAATCAGCGGGCATTTCGGAATCATAATCAGGGTCGCCTACGGAACATAAGAAGAGGGGGAAACCTGTGTTACCACATGATACCGGCCCACTAAGATTTGACTATTATGGTGATTGAACGTCAAGCGGACTAGTCGGCTGGTTTTCTTGTTTGGGTGTTTCAGTGAACACACAAATGGAGGCAGCCAAGTGCTGCTCGCAAAAATTAGCCAACTCCAGATGAATTGTATCAGTGGAAGGAAAGTTCTTGCTGATCGTACGACTGGCATAGAAGTGTTGCGTACGGAGGTGTGGAACAAGAGCCCTTACACATAGTGGAAATCTAAATGGAAATATCAATATCAGAGCCCAAATAATTCAAACCTTCATTGGTGTCAATTATCGGACTTGACGCTAGTCAATCTTGAGGCACCACATCTGTAGCCGTAAACTCATCCCAAATGTTTTAAGAGGTTTGTCAATGAGAACTACTATGTAACGGACTTACTATGTATATTTCTAGCGTTTGAAAGGACTTGTGTTCTACACGTCATGGCGTCTGTCAAGAGTTATACGTTCAAGTGTTTTAAGTCAATACAAGAAGTTGAGGTTCAGATAAGGTTGTGCTGCCAAGACAAAGTCGAAATTCATTGGTCAACTTCGGTTCGCTAGCTGATTCCAATGTTCCATGGGCAGTTTCTTTGAACTCCACAGTTTCAATATCAGCATACGTGCCCAAAAGAAATGTGTGGAACTTAACTTACATGCATATGGCTTGTGCCTCAACCCCCACACTCTCCACTCTGCAGTGTCAAAAAAAAAAAAAAAATCCAAGACGGTGTAAGCTGGCCAAATACAACTCATAACCAGATTCTGAATATCACTTGGCTTAGGCCTCTAGCCGAGTCCGAATCAGCACTATCACTCTACATTTGCGAACGAATTCAAGGGGTAGCTCCGACAGAGTATGAGAAGGTAAGAATAAGAATGAACTCTTAGTTGACGAGGACACAAAAACGACAAAAGTGAAGCTGGACTTTTAATGGTGGTAAAAACCTGTTATTTCTCTTGATATTCTAGCGAGGCCGCTGACAGCTGGAGGTCAGTCCATCACATCAGAAGGAGTTATTACCCAACCCAAGAACAACAAGGAAGCCATGCAGTGAACTACTCAATACTGTTTCCGGAAACTTGGGCTCGGGTATTTTGACCTTTTATTCCGTTCAGCAGTCGGCTATTCGGCATACTACAATATCGAACATCAATGACGTACCTATTGAAGACCCAATGAAGCATGCGCCAATTGCTCATGTGAGTTAAACCTTTTCAATTGTTGAATGAGCTTTGTAGCTAAGGCCAAAGCCAACTTCTAATCTTCCATTAGCCAAAGAACCCAGAAATTTCTATCTTCACAACATAACTCTGCATTGGGGGGAGCACAAAGCCTAGGAACCGCACCCGCCAACACGAATCACCGGTCCTACAGAGGATGTCATTGAAGGAAAAAAAAAAAAACAAAAAAAAGCAAAAATATCCAGGCAGGAAAGGCCATCTATTTCGGGGTTGAAAGCGGCACCCTTTCCCACTTTCCCGAACGCCGAACTGAACTTGAGATGCCAACTGGCCATCAGTAGCGCATACCCCTGATTCCCTTGGCTATATCCCTCATGTTGTCACATCTTTTAACCCTGTTAAAAACGAATCAGCTATCTGACTTGGTTCAATCGATAAATGTGCATGACGTGTTCGAGGCTCATTTCATTTATGGTGGCCAACACGGGACATACCCGAAATATTCATCTTGAATTGCTCTATTCTAATGATCATTGCCAAAACCCCTTCTCTTATTCTTCTTGTTTTCCTCATCGTAATCAGAGTAACCAAAGCTATCTTGTCGCTTCGCAATCGCAAGGTCGTCATAATCATCGTAACCAAATTGTCTCTTTGTTTTGGAGGAATCTTCATAGTAGCGGGGATATCCAAAGCTATGTCCTGTTCTCTTGTTCTTCCGACGACTTTCTAATGAAGTTGATAGGCTTCTATCGCGGGATTCTTCTGCTGCTGCTGGGGCGATGTCAAGAGGGTTTGGAACCTTTACCGCGGCGGTAGATTCCCGCTCTGTTCTTGCGATAAGACCTCCATCACTGTTGATTGGAGCCGAGAGAACTGTGACTGCAATTCCACAGAGGATGGCGGTAGGGTAGACAAACCGCATTTTGGATGTAGCAATTTGAGTCGATTTTTGGCTGAGATGTATGTGTTCTTTATTTGATTATGTTCTGATTACTTGTGATGGAGATTTGATGTCAAATATGAGGAACAAGGTGCGATATTGTTCAGAGAATAGTTCTAGGGTTTTGGATTTCCCCTACATTTATACTCCCAGCTTTTTGGATTATCCACACTCATTCTTCCGACATTTGTGCTCCGTCCCTCGTCCCCCCCCCGCAAATGGTAAAGAAACAAGCCCAGGCTAACCTTGTTAGTGCCCCATCCATCAATGGCTAAGGGTTCTGGTGCGACATCATTAATCACTCAGGGTATCGGCATTTTTGACCATACTTTCACCTTTTGGGCTTGCGAGGCTCACCAGTGGCTGGATGTCCCATGCCTCGTACACCACAGTTACATGACTTGAAACAACTGTAACTGATGCATGGTGTTCCATGAGGTCAACCTTATTGAGTGGAATAGTTGATGGTATCATATCCCGAAGTCCCTGCCCAAGATATTGTGCTCCGATCCTATTGAGAGAGGGTATATCGCTTTGCATTGTATTGCTCTGACGCAATTACTTCGTTATTGGAACTGTATCTTTCTTTATATGCTCGATACTTGAATTTGCTAGCATCGGCTGATTAACCATGCCATGACGAATGTCAACCCACCAAGAATTACAATAGGAGTCAGTTTGAAGACCTCCCGCAAATGCAACTGTTTCTTTGACTAGTTCAGCCATGGGGTAATATGGTCTTGCTCATAAAATCCATCCTCCTCACCTTGAGCAGCGCTTGCCACCGGTCAATAAATCTCGGTTGCCAGCATGTTTATATTTTGTTTTGGCCCTTCTGGATTTCAACGTCTCAATAAAGAATCAGATGACTGCGACGAGGAAGCAGAACTGAAGCTCATTACGAAGAGAAAGCGTTTTCGCGAACAATTAACAACTCAAAAGGCAAAATACATTCTCTCCGCAGCCGCTGGCTTTATATTCGGAATTTCCAGCGTTATCATTTACTTTCTGTGCGTCGCCTCGTTTTCACGACTGTTTGGAAAAAATGTGGCGTTGAAACAAACCTCATACTGGTGTGGGTATATATATGCTTCTGGCAATCTTCAGTCGAATATCTCGGCTAACTATGCATGGGTGTAGCTAAGGTGCTTGACGAGATCGAAATCCCAACATACACTGTCAGAATAAACGGGACTCTTTTCCCTCCTCCCGACCCCGCTTTCTCACGACAGGAGCCGAGTGAAGCAAATGACATCGCCTGGGAAGTGTTCGAGAATATCCGCACCCACGTCGTCACGCGTGATGCTATTGTCAAATTAGGCAAAGACCCTGATACCGTCGCACGATTCGATGACGAGTACTGGGGACTTGGCCAAAATGCGTATATGGCACAATTGGACATCTTCCACGTGGGTCACCAGTATATGGAGTACATGGAGCGTGTTCACCATCTGTTGCTAATATCATCACTAGCAAATACACTGCCTTAACAGGTTGCGAAAAGCAGCCTTTGCAGCATACCCTGGCTACACGCCACTCGAGACGGAGAACCCCTATTCGAAGATTTGGTGGATTCATATAGGCCATTGTGTTGATATGCTGCTCCAGAATATCAAATGCTATGGAAACGTAGACATGATAACAGTCGCTTGGGTAGGACATGGAAAGCTCTGGCCGGATTTCTCGATCAACCGCAAATGCCGTGACTTTGACGCCATAATGGACTGGAACCTGGAGCATGCCGTTGATGTCGAGAAATTTAGTCGAATGCCGGTCCCTAAAGACGCTTATATATGGCCGAAACCATGGGAGAATTCTGAAGCTGAGCTTGGTCATCCTATTGAGGAGAATGTCTGGAAAGGGGGAAGACAATGTACCTAAATCTTCTTTTCAGCTAAAACGGCTGGTGAAACCTGTGAAATGAGGGGGCGAAATTAAACCCTGGAACAAATAAGCAATCCCACACTTCCCCTTTATATTCTCTTATTTGATATCTTAATATCTATCAACAATCTATTCACAATGCCAGTTTTGAGTTCAATTCTAACCAAGCTGTGTTAAAGAATAGACTAGACCACAATTGCAATCCTTCTCGCCTTCATGCTCATTGCAACCCACTCGCCTCATGAAGTGAAGATCGCAGGCCATGCTCCTACCCGTATTCTTAGTGGTTGCCCCCTATTTGCTCCGCCCTGGGATGCTCCTGCCAAGCCCTCCTCCAACCCTTCGTTCCTTCGATCTGGGTGCATTTAAATGGATCTGTTGTATGTTCTACTTCTTTTTGTATCTGTAAAAAATGACGACTTTCCCCGTGGCACCACTCCATCAAAAAAAAAAAAAAAAAAAAAAAAAGCAAAGAAAAGAAACCCTATCGCTCTCTTCGATGATCCAATAGGAAGTAGGAACAAGAAAGGTGTATCGTTTTGGAAATCTTCCAAATCAGAGAGGCTCCCATTCCACTATTCAAACACAATTCGCGCAAGTCTGGCACTTTACAATGTATTATCCCACAATTTTTATGTGTTATGTTTTTAATAACCCTCTCTTGTTTTTCAAATAACTATGAAAAGAAAGAAAACGGCAATTTAACTTGGTATTGCCGAGGATTTTAGAGATGGCATGGGGGATAAGAAAAGTCTATGAGCAAAAAGGTATGAGGGAATGTCGTATTAAGGAGGAAATGATACGGATACAGCACATTCCTTCCTCCATTCAGTAATGGCAGTTTTCTCCCCCTTTCGTCAGGACTTTCAAGGGGTGGGCTTCGGTGGTGTAAACCCATTTGTTCTTCCCTTCACCAACTACTTGCCAATTTTCTTCTGTTTAAGACAGTTAGCAGGAAAAATAGGTGGATAATACGGCGCTGGTGACGGGAAGGAACGGGAAACTAATCGGCTAAATAGGTGAGTGGAAATGTGTTCTTGCATCAGAGTAGGCTTACCCGGAGCAAACGTCAAGTAAGCATATTTCAACACCTCAGCGAAAAGGAAGCTCTCTTGGAAATCCAGCTTCCTGCCACCAGTCGGATCATTTACGTTGCTAATCGAGCTGAAGCCGGAGCCCGTACGACAACTCTTGCGAATGGCATCGAAGGCTTCCCATACCCATTCCTGGTACTGCTCTTGAAATTAGCTATCTATGAATATGAAGATCTTGGAGAGAGAACAATATCAACATGCATCTTTCTCTTACCATGCGGTCCCCAGTCATCCTGTATGCATAATAATAACTTTCAATGACCTCAGGTCTCAGATTATATTGGCTGCTGGTGATGTAGAACCCATTCTTCTCGAAAAATTTCTTTTGGTCTTTTGGCACGTTCGTTAGATCCCAACTGAATCCCTCTGGACCAATTCCCGTAGCGGTTGAATGATACAAGTGATAACAACCCTTGACAAGTTCTAAACCAAAGTCGATAAAATCTTGCCGGCAAAGAACTTGCCCACCAAGAAGGAAATTTCCGCCGTTGAAGCAAGTTAGATGCTGGGAATTGAAGTCAAGTTTGTCGTTTTCAAATCCAGCTAGATAAGTATATTCGTTTTTGTTCGAAGATATCGTAGATTTCAAATGTTTAATTGACGATTCGATCGCAAGAACCCATCTTAAATGCTCAAGTATCAGTAGGAAAAGCATAAAATTTGGATAGGGAAGGCATAAGAAGTCTCACCTGTCTCGGTAAACTTCAAAACGACTCTCATCATATACAAACATTTTGATTAAGTATTCGTAGAAGGAGTCGGCACCTCCACCCCAGCTGACATCCGCATTCACGAAATGTCCAGTGGTTATATTAATATTTGATCCAATAAGCCCCGGAAAGGGTTCGCTTTCCTGTGGCTTTGGGGCAAGAAGATATGATTCGCCTTTTGAGGCAAGTTTGCCATACTCCGGGTCACCAGTAAGATCGGATAAATGCATCCCTACGTCGAGTAAGCAGGGTTGTGTCGGAAAAATTGCGGGGTGAGCTCACATTCTAGGACCAGAGTTCCAGCTTGCGCGATTGAATTTGAAGTCATGCCATCCTATTCAGTGTTAGATATAGTTCCCCTTTATCTTTCTCTAAGTAGAATTATATGACGCATTCATGATCACACTCCCTTGTATCTCCTTCAATACGGCGGAGATGCATAGTTCTTACCATCGACTTCTTGCTAATGTGCAAATTATTCGATGGGATACCGGTTGGAGTGTCGAAAGCGTATTTCATGATATCAGCCAATGTTTTAGATTGCACGAGGAGCGAGTTGATGTGGTCCGGCTAGGATTTTTGTCAACAGAGTAAAATAGACTATAAGACCTGGGTCAATACTTACATTTTGGCCCATGCCATTTTCTCTCAGCAAATCGTAGCCCGAAAGCATTCCTCCCAAATAGCGTATTGTAGTCTCGAAAAGGCTAACTTCCGTATCCGTTTTCGAATAATCAAGTTTCGAGATATGCTCCAGAATTGACTTGACAATTTCAGGGCTATCCATTATAATCGCGGTTGACAGAGCATCGACCGCTGAAGCACCCCAGCCATTTCTACTGAGACATTAATTTCTGAAGTATATATAATTATATATGGGGAGTCGACATACCGTGAGTTGCTTGCAGTGTTAGAGACTGGGCGCAGTTCATCCTGAGGAAACGCATATTCCACGTAGCCACTCCAAGCAAATTCAAAGGCATCTTTAATCTCCTGTGCCCTTTTGGCGTTCTTCTTTGAATTGGAATTCTCTTTGCTGGCTACAGGAGACGAAACCACGTATCCGACCAGAGCGAATGCCGTTAAGACGACCCTAACAAAAGCGTGCCACATCTTGAAGAAAATTCTGAACTTAAAGATGCAACAATAATAAACTCATCTATCCAAAATATTCAAGAGTTGTTTATCGATAATTGAAGGCATGAAAGAATGAACGAAAAACCAGAAGAGAAATCTGCCGAAAAACAGACGAATTCCAAACAATAAGGCAAGAACTAGCTAGAAAGCGCGGTTAAGCACCTTCCCTGGCAGGAGCTGCTACGAGATATAAAATTAACCCGTAGATGCCAACAGGAGACAGGAAAAGCACAAATGGTACAAATGTACCACGCGTGTGGGTATCGGCTGCAGCAACCTGGCGATATGCTTCCAGGAACCCGTTTCCATATCTAGGTTCTTCTGGTCATGCTGGCCAAAACAGTTCTCCACGACGAGCACGCGATAACTGGCGTCACTCGTGCAAGGATATCGGCAAAGGCCCGAATAAAGCGTCCGGGACAACTCCTATAGCATCTCTCATCATTAACGGCAACTGATCATCAACTGATGGTCCAGGAAGATACTAGTAGCCATGGCCACTGACCACTGACGCAGATCATTATTCCGCTGTTGGAAGTGCCCTATAGCCCAACTGTAGCATGTACCATACACGTACTCCATAGCTACATCGGGGATGGAGGAAGTGCATGGGACAACTTGAGATTGCTTGAGATTGCAGCGATTTTCAGGGGAAGAATAATATCACGTGGCTCTGCAGACCCTAAGTTACCCAGTCACAATCTGAGAATTTTCAGCCATTCCCGTTCGGGAACTTCTCCTCCTCGACAAACCACACAGAGGAGAGCCATTGATGTTCAAAGAGAGACAAATTTTCGGAAATGCCGACTCAAGTACTCCGAATCGGGTGCATCGTTTGCTCTCATGCGACCACCATTCAAGTGATTGTTTGACTCGATTATCTATGCTCAGGAATGATATGCAACTCGAAACCTTTGCAACAGTACGGTCTTCCAGTCAACTCAGACAACTTGAAGTTACTTGAGCCAGGACGGGAATATCTCCCCCCTCAATGAAGATCTGGCTTCTAAGGAGTTATCACGGGAATAAATTGATGTAACATCAAGCCTGAAAGGTGCAGTTTTCAAGTGCATTCGGAACACCCAAACCACACAAAGCAGATCAGGAAGCCGGGAAGGCAAAACAACATACCAGCTTTTTATCAAAAGCTGTTAAAAGTGTAGACAAGATGCTTCGCGTTCCACCATGCAGGGGGTCAGGAGCATGGTACCACGCGGACAATGTTCGCTCGACTGGAGACTGATGATCATCTTCAAGTCATACATATTCATCACCAAATGGTCCAATCATGTGGATATACGCGGTAGAGAGCTAACTATCTGGGCTTCGGGGATATCCTTTCTATCAATCATCTGCCCAAGGAAGCATCCAACTGCCATGAGGCTGGACTTCCTCCGATCATCCAGCACAAGGGCTTGGCGGGCCGAACAAGCACATAGAAAATTGGATAGGCAGCCTAAGGTAGCAGGCAGTAACGAGTTGCCTTTGGTGATTTACCTCTAACTAAAGATTAGGGGTCATATTGGCGCTACTAGAATTGTCCAGGTCCAGAATTAAGATTTCCGCTGAAATTCCTAGCAACTTTTTGTTCCAAACCTCCGTCAAGCAAGAGTAAATTCAATATCCGGCAGCGTTAACTGCCATTCAGCTACTTCTCTTTCTCTGCGAAATTCAAATCTGCTATTACCATCTACCGCTCCTCCCATACACTTTGAAAATTTTTCCGTGTGATAACCGGAGGGCCTGTTACATACAGTTGAGATAAAATACGATACTACGCTCTGTGACGCTCCAATGCAGTTTCCACAACTATTCTACCACTAGGAAACCTACTCCTACAACATCACAACTCAGTTGGGAAATGGGAAATATGTCGACTAAGGGTATTAGAAAGTTTGGCGTGGTGTCGATATACTGCATAGACCCAATACACATGGCAAACCGACCCGCCCGGTGTCCGAACGCTCTATCCGCGAGAGTTGTCGAATAGCTCACCACATCTCTACAAATACATATATCCTAGAAAAGGGTACGCGGAACTTACGCAATTGTCTATTCTAAACCATACAAACTGGGGTGCGGGAACGGATAGCTTTGGCTGTACACACCTCATATGTGTTAGGACAAAGTTGTATGAATATGCCTATGTAGGTAAGAAACGGCAATTTTCAGTAAAACGAGGAAACTGGCTTTATTAAGTCCTTGCAGCCTCAGCCTCTCGGGCGTTCTTCGCAATAAGTTCCTCATACTCCTTGACATTATTTACACCCAATGGCATTCCGTTTGTCTGCAAGCCCTGTTCATTCATATAAACCTCACGGACCTCCATAGCCTTCTTCCACGACTCGCGAGCCTCCATACGATGTTGCCATGCCTGTACATTGGGATACGGGGCCAGAGGGTCTTCTCCTGCAGGGGTTTCGAGTAGCATGTTGAGGCGGTTATTCCAAGGCAGGAAAGCCAAGTCAGCATAGGTGCACTTGTCACCGACAAGCCACTGCTTGCCGTCAAGGGCAGTATTTAGGACGCCCAGAACGCGGCGAACATGTTCCTGATAACGCTCAATGGCGGAGGGGATTTTCTCATGATGCAGGACGGTGAACCTGCAGGCCGAGAATGAGATGCCATCAGATGAATATTCACGGTAGAACAGGGGAAAGTGTATGGAAGCATACCATCCGGCCTGCCCATAGTATGGGCCCTGGCCACTGACTTGGAAATGAAGCCACTGATTCAGCAGATGCCTCTCCTTGAAGGTGCTGTAAGTCAGTTTCTTCTCTTTATCATATACCTCCTCTAGGTAGTGCACAATAGCACCGGACTCCCAAAGCGTTAAATCGGTATTTGGATCCTCGATAGCTATTTGCCCATTCAGCTTCCAGCAAGCAAAGCAGGAGCGAAAAAGGGTTTACACCAGGTTACTTACCTGGAACTCGACCGTTAGGATTAATGTAGATAAAGGGCGGCTTCTTGACATCATCGAACTTGAACGAATTAATAATATAGGGGACCCCTAGCTCATGAAGAATCGTGACGACCTTCGAATAAGAAATCGTCAGCCCTGAAATATCATGTTCTCGTTTATTGAGGAGCTGGATACTGTCAGTACCTTCCACGGGTTTGGGCCGGGTGCTTTTCAATAATTAATCAATCAGTCTATGAGCTACTCATAGTAAGATATATACCAGATCAGGGTAACATAAAGGCTGACTCACGAGTCAACCACACTGTAATAGGCTTGATCGTCATTACCGTTTTCAGGGGGCCCGTCAGTCAAGTAGCCTTCCAAGAATGCCCAACCTGAGGACTTCAGTTGGTTTGATGTACGATGAATCGGCCAGGTAAACTACATTCGCCCTCGACAGACAAAATTTTCAAAAGAGGGGTTGGACATGTCCCTCTTAAATAACTAGATCTACTGCATACGCAGTGCCGAATGCATCATCTTTAAGGCGAAAAGTCTAGGACAATCTCAGGGTTAGCCAAATCTAAAATGGAAATAATCCCCGCTGGCGTATCAGTCATGCTGATAGGATTAAAATAAGGATATGGGCCAAGTTTCGCCAGCTATGTACTAACTGGTTAGTTAGCATAGATGTCCAGGACATGATGAAACCCCGCCGAACAACCATGTTCTGTGCGGCTTCTCGGGCACGATTCCACAAAACAACCCCTGGTGCTCGGTATTACATTCAAATAATATCCCAGTCGCTGCTTCTACCAGCAAGTCTTCTTTAGAGGGATCCCGCAACACCAAGTTGAGAAATATTTTTAGCACACATGCATGGCCTTTCTATTAGTGTTGATTTTTTCGCGGGTCGGGTGGAAAAAGTGGTGGGTGGTTGCCCGAATGAACGGGTTCCCGGGTTACTTAATTAAACCCGCGAACCCGACCCGGGTTTTTAGGGGCTCTTATGGGCGCCTATAGCGGGTGACATGTCTAAATTACTTAACTAAATTTAGTTAATCCTCTAGAAGCTTGGACATGGGCCTTCTAAGCGCGGTCGTGCTTTTTTCGCGGGTCGGGTCGGGTTCCAGGGGTCCCATCGCTGCAGGTTTAGCTGCCACCTTTCAAGCCGCATCAAGGGGCCATAAACTGAGAAGTAGTCCAGGCAATTTTTTATCCTTTTCAATCAAGAAACCTCAAACTTACAAAGCTTGCGGGGAATCTAAAATATAAAAGCTTAGTTGCGCTGAGGCAATCAGAGACAAGACATTAGTATCAATTCACTTAATTGGTCAGCAAATTTTTATCGGCTAACTATTGAGCCAATTCAAGTTCTTTCTGGCCTAAGGAGTATCAAGGTCATAGTAGTCAACAACTTTTACTCCTTTGAGTGGCAGTAAAAATATCAAGAGGAGCCGGTTTTCAAAAAACACCGTGTTGCGCAGCCAGTTCTATGTTGTTTTAATTGAGGTGTTAGTCAAAGATCATATTCTTTTGTTGGAGGTTATTTGCTTTCGACTCTCCGAAAACCGGCGGGGTTTGTCGAACTTGCAGCCCCTCCAACAAAAAAAATATTTATTTGCATGACAAAATCCCACCTCCAAAACCCCGACTCACTGCAACAGCCTCCCTGTCAAGCCCTAATCTCTACCCTCGCAACTTCGTCAATCGTGTGTCCCAGGTGAGGCAGACAGACAGGAAAAATTAAAAAACGTCATGGGGATCCCGTTCCTCGTCTCCCTCGATCCCCACACTCTCTCACTCCCCGCTTCTGCCGCAGGCCTCTCTCTGACGCAGATCTCCTATTTCGGCCGGGTCTTCCTGAAATCGTGCAATACGGAACAAGCCATCGACTTTATTAGGCGATCTTCCTCGCTCCTGGATGTCTACATTGACACATCGGCTATCGAAAATGTAGGAGATGTCGTTGAGATCCTGGACTCAGGCGCATCCAAGGCCTTGGTTACACCAGCCCAATTGACCACCTTGTCAAGGGAGCAGACAGTTCCCTCATCGAGATTAATTATTTCTCTCTCCTGTGTGACGGAGGCTACAGAGTTACAAAATTGGATTGCGGAGAACGATGAGCGGAAGGAAATCAGTGTTCACTGCGTAGATTCTCTAGCTGTCGGTGCCATTGTATCGGAACTAGGAGAGAAAGGCATTGTTAAGGAGGTTTACCGCTCGTACGATGGTGTAGCGGCCACTATACAGGCGACTTTGGCGTCGAGAGAGGCGGAAAATGTTGTCACTATTGTTCCTTCGATCGCCCTATCCCTTGACAAAGATGACGTTTCGTCTACAGCAAGGCTATTAGTTGCACGAGCTACCCCAGACGCTTCCACAGGCCTTTATGCTACGGTAGTGACGGATGAGAGAGGGATTGCGTTGGGCCAGGTTTATAGCAGCGAAAGAAGTGTTTCTGAGGCGTTGAAAACGGGCACCGGTGTTTACCAGAGCCGGAAACGGGGCCTCTGGTACAAAGGCCAATCGAGCGGGGATACGCAGGAATTAGTCAGAATTGATTTTGACTGTGATAGCGACTGCTTGCTTTTCGTCGTAAAACAGAAAGGGAAAGGTATTTTGATCATTATAATTTTCTTTTGGTACTACTTTGTCTTACTGACATCCTTTCTTATCCAGGATTCTGTCATTTGGGAACTGCCACTTGCTTCGGCCAGTACAGGGGGCTGTCACGCCTTCAGAAGACCCTACAAGCTCGCAAGAAGGATGCGCCTCCCGGATCTTACACTGCTAGACTCTTCAAGGATCCGAAACTCGTCCAGGCAAAAATTATGGAGGAGGCTGAGGAGCTGTGCAATGCTACTTCACCGGAGGATATAGCATTTGAAGCAGCCGATCTACTGTATTTTGCATTGACCAAGTGCGTCGCTGCCGGTGTAACTCTAGAAGATGTCGAGAGGAATATTGATCTCAAAACCTTAAAGGTGAAACGGCGACAAGGGGATGCCAAACAGGGCTGGGCCGAAAAGGTTGGCCTTGCATCGGCAAAGGAGGAACAAAAGCGACCCGTTGAGCCTGCTACAGGGGCTGATCAGGAAATCCAAGATCACACTAGCAGGATTAAAATGCGGCGCATTGTGACTGCAACTGCCTCCCGGGATACCATAAAGGAAGCATTGCAACGCCCATCGCAAAAATCAAATGATGCGATTGTGGCTCTTGTTAAACCTATAATTGAGGACATTCAGAAGAACGGGGACGCAGCCGTCTTGAAATATACGCACAAATTTGAAAAGGCTACCTCTCTCACCACTCCCGTCATCAAGGCGCCGTTCCCAAACGAGCTGATGCAGATTACTCCTGAGACTACCAAGGCCATCGATGTGAGTTTCGAGAACATCCGCAAGTTCCACGCTGCACAAATGGACGACAAGCCACTACATGTCGAGACAATGCCCGGTGTCATTTGTTCGCGATTCTCTCGCCCCATCGAGAGAGTTGGCCTCTATGTTCCAGGTGGGACTGCGGTTCTCCCATCAACAGCAATGATGCTTGGCGTTCCCGCCATGGTAGCGGGATGCAAGAAGATAGTCCTTGCCTCCCCTCCACGATCTGACGGCAGCATATCGCCGGAGATCGTATACATCGCGCACAAAGTAGGGGCAGAGAGCATTGTGCTCGCAGGTGGCGCGCAGGCTATTGCGGCCATGGCATACGGCACCGAGAGCATCAGCAAGGTCGACAAAATACTCGGTCCTGGGAACCAATTCGTAACCGCGGCAAAGATGTTGGTTTCAAATGATACTTCAGCCGGCGTCAGCATTGACATGCCAGCAGGCCCCAGTGAAGTCCTTGTCGTCGCTGATAAGGACGCTAACCCGGCCTTTGTCGCTTCCGACCTACTCAGCCAGGCAGAGCACGGTGTCGACTCTCAAGTTGTCTTAATTGCTGTTGATCTCAATGATAAACATCTGAAAGCCATCGAGGACGAGTTGCACGCGCAGGCCATGGCTCTCCCACGTGTTGATATCGTACGTGGTGCGATTGATCACTCTGTCACCTTTGCCGTCAAGGATATAGATGAAGCTATTGCGTTGAGCAATCGCTATGCGCCTGAACATCTTATCTTGCAACTAAAAAATGCAGCGGAGGTCCTTCCCCTCGTCCAAAATGCCGGAAGTGTTTTCATTGGCGAGTGGACACCGGAGAGCGTTGGCGATTATTCGGCTGGCGTCAACCACTCTCTTCGTAAGTTCTTGTTATTTATAATTATTTGCGTTTATCACCACGACACACATCGTCTCCCATCCCCTTTCCACACACTTCTCCCTCGTTACCAAAGCTCAAACTAACTATCCTTTTTTCTTTCCCTTTTCTGCGTTTCTAGCAACCTACGGCTATGCCAAACAGTATTCTGGTGTCAACCTCGCCTCGTTTGTCAAACACATTACCAGCTCCAACCTCACTGCTGACGGACTACGCAATGTGGGCGAGGCGGTTATGCAGCTGGCATCAGTTGAGGGGTTGGATGCCCATCGCCGCGCTGTCAGCATTCGCATTGACCACATGAATCGTAAGAAATGAGGAACGCAAACACGTAACTCAGTGTCCGTGTATACGTTATATGTCTCTGTGCGCTATTTCTTTCCGGGTTGTATTCTCTCCCTTTCCCTTTCTCTTCTTTTCCTTCCATGTTTTACATTTACATTTTCTTTCTCATTTTCTCTCGGGTCAGGGCTAGACTGGTGCGCAAGACAAAATGATATTAAAATGAGGACAAGCAAAGTAACGATGGGAATTGGCAAACGGACAAGAAAATGAGCTGATGATGATGAATAGATTTTTTTTCTTTCTTTTTTTTTTCAGGGGGAAAAATAGAGGGAAATGGAGGAGATCGTATTAAGTGAATGCCAGTGAACCAGGTAAACTACGAAGTCAATAGATCATTTGCAACGCTGATTTCTACATTGCCAACAGATGTTATTATCATTGAGCCATTTCTTGTAATATCAAAACCTCAGGCCCGCAGTTTGCTAGTTGTTAAGGCTCTGAAAATCCATGGGGATCTCTAGCTTGCCGGATATGGGATGAACCTGCAAACTTAACCAGCACAAATTTACTAGTTGATACTCTTGGGGATAATACGAACAAGTAGTAGAGATTAGTTGACTATATACAGAGAGCATTCTCATGCATTATGCTGAAGTATGTACTGCTCCACAGACGGTACATGCTTGCTCGAACATGATTTGGCGACTGTCTATTTCATCCAGTGGCCAATGATCACGAGGGTGTTGAATGACGTCAGCTCCAAAATGCCGAGGTAGTTACAACCATAACGGCGAACTCCCCTCTCAATCTGAGGAACAACCAACTGAAGTTCTAAATTCATCCATCTACACCGTTGAAATTATCCCGTACTATTTCCTCCCAATCGAATGATTCACCAGGTCTCGATCAGGCGGGTCGCGGGCTAGGGAAATCAATTTGGCCAGCAAATCCTTAACCGTGGATATATCACTATCAATCTCCTCACTCTTCAAAGGAGACCCAAAAAATTCAAGTATAATAATAGGAAATGAAACTCCAAGACCGCACATTCATCATATCAGGCGGGTGCGTGAAAAACCAGCCCCGCCGCAATTCGTACTCACTCCTACCTGCTCAAACAAGTCTATATCTCCACCACTCTAAATAAAAGGCGGGACAGTAAAAGATATCTGAGTCTAACATTGTGAAGCTTACAGGTCCTCCGGCCTCGGCCTGGCAACCGCTGCGGCTCTCCTGAGCCAAGGTGCCAACGTCTCGCTCCTGGACCTCAACCCACCCCCCTCCGGCATCTCCCTTCTACTCACAAACCCATCCCGCACACTCTACACACGCACAGATGTCACCAGCACCGCAAGCCTCCAACATGCCATTGATTCCACCGTCTCCTGGATCTCCAGTTATGCCAACGCTCCCCTGGGAGGCGTCATATGCTGCGCGGGCATCGGTTACGGCGAGCGCGCTCTGCCTCGACAAGATCCCGGCAGTGGAAAAGTAAAGACAATGTCCATCGAAGGCTTCGATCGGGTTATTGCCATCAACCTGCGTGGCACGGTGGATCTGATAAGACTAGCGCTGCCGCATCTGGCAGCTGTAGAGGGTGAGGGCGACGATGGGGAGCGGGGTGTCATTGTAGTTGTGTCTAGCGTAGCCGCATATGAGGGGCAGATTGGGCAGTTGGCATATTCGGCGAGTAAGGGGGCAGTGGCTGGGATCGTGCTGCCGTTGGCAAGGGAGGTGGGGAGGACGGCGGGGATCAGGGTTGTTGGTGTTGCGCCGGGTGTGTTCCAGACGGGAATGACGGTCAGGCCGAGGAATAGTCCGCCTGGCGAATCTAGTGGTGAGAAGAAGAGACTGGGGGTTGCAGAGAGGAGCGGAGCAAATAGCGGAATGGTTGAGTATCCTATGCGGATGGGGAGGCCGGAGGAGTTTGCAGAGTTTGTGTTGGGGTGCATCAGGAATGGGATGGTAAATGGGAGTGTATATAGGCTGGATGGAGCTGTTAGGATGCCCAGTAGGCTGTGAGTAGGGTGGAGGATGCCAGGGCAATTTGATATCTGTAACTATAGTCGTCTGTCTTTCTCGCCGTGCGATTCGGTTGTCTGTCATTTAATGGTATCCACTATTAATCTATTTGCACCTCCTGTAACCCAATACGTACTTTTTATCTCCCATCCAAAGACATTATCACGCTCAGTTGGACACACAAAAGGGAAATAAAATCGTAAAACAAAAAAAGAGTCCAGGAGCCACACCTCATTTTTTTCGTTCCCTAATCTTCCATTTAATCCCATACTTATTAACCCCGCCCACCGAATTTTCCATTTTCGCCCGTTGCCGATCCAGCTCCTGCGCTGCTGCAACAAGCTCTTTATGCTGTAACCGTAGAGCCTCAACCTTCTTCCTTCGTGCCTCCGCGGCTCTCTTCTTCAATCTCCTCGCCGCCAACATCTCCTTTCTAGCCCGCTCCTCAGCTTCAATCTGCTTCTTCGATCTCTGGACCCTTTTCTGTTTTTCCCTAAACGAAGTCTCCCCCTCTTCCAACCCCTCCTCCCCCTCCTCCTCATCACTGACTTCCGCCATCTTCTCCACTTTCTCAATTTGTAGCCGTCTCTGCTCCTCCAGTGAATTTGCAAATACAATCTTCCTTCCACTGCCATCCTGAAGTACGCCACTCATGCCATCCTGCAATCTGACCTCCTGTTCCGCCCCTTCCAGCTGCCTTCTCACTTTTTCCCCAACAACACGCAGATATCCTGCATCCTGCGTCTTGAGCAGCTTAATCGCCTCATGGCTGAGATTTGAAGCGGCTTCCGAACCCCGTGCACCATGGCGACCTTGTCTATTAGATTTTTCGGACATCATACCAAAAGCGAACTCGTCCGGGTTACGGTCCCGCGCCTTCTCGCGGAGCCGTTGCAGCTTGGCCTTCTTGACATTGTAATCACGGGCGCGGAGAGTATAGTCCTATATTGGTGAAGGCATCTCATTAGTTGCTTTAGATAAAGCAAGAAAGGGTAAATAAAGCTTTATTTCCTTCTAATTTGCCGTGTAGAGTGATATTTTCACAAAGCTACACACTGCTGAGTGAAAAATCAAATTCGTACCTTGTGTTTCTCGAGAATACCCCATTTCTCGCGACTACTTGGCTGAGCCCGCTCACGGTGCGGCCGCCGTTGAACGGCATTCCGCATGGAAGACATGCTTGTGGTGGTGATGTAAATATATTGTGCGTGCGCTGAGGACGGAGGTTGTTATGCTCCAAAGATTGGTGAACTAAATGGGCAAAAATGCTATTACTGAAGCACGAGTAATACGTTCGTCATATCGAGATGTCGAGATAAAGTGACGATGTGCGAATATGCTCCTTAGAAATAAATAATTGTCGAAAGAGTGGTATATTTGAGATGTTGGTTTGAGAATGGTTGATTATTTTTTGTGAGCTTTCCCATTTTTAGTCTTGGAACAGAACAAGCTTCGACGTTTTCAGGCTCGCAAATTCCCAACACCATACATGCGGAAAAAAGCCCGTAACGCCGTCCAGCTCCCAATTGCTATATTTCTAAGCGAGAACCAAATGCATTGACTACATCCAGATTCTCGAAGTATCCGCTCATTAGCCCTCCCTAACCCTGTTCCCAATCTCCTATAATGGCGGCAATTTCCCCCGACACCAGAACAACTCCGCCAGCCCCCGCCTCTACAGCATCGCCTGCAAATATCAACCTGCGGAACCCTCTACCGTTATCTGCGGCACAAGAAGCACAAGTGAGGGATTTATATTACAAACGGGTAAGAGGGCATTGCGCGGCGGAAATCAAAGGTGGGTGTTTTGCTACATGCAGCGTCCTAGAATCGAATCAGACATGTTAAATCTTGAAATTGCTGCTGCGTGCAATTACAAAGTGAGATATATCAAATAGATATATGTATCCGTTCATCCTTACTATATCCTCTCACTTGGATACACAATTTTCTAACCCAACCCCCCTCCCCCACTTTGTTCACCCTTCTTAAACCATATACAATCTAGCATCCGTGCTAACCAAGCCCATACACTCCCAGAATTCGCTGCCTGCGCTATAAACCGGACCGTAACCGCAACGTGGGTGTGTCGCAAGCAACGCCTGGCCATGAATGCCTGCATGGTTGAGCACGCGAAGCCCGAAGAGGAAGATCGCGCGCGTGAAGAGTGGTTCACCAGCCGTGAAGAGCGGAGGAAGAATCGGGAGCTAGAGGAAAAAAAGACAGAGGAGAGGCGGCGAGAGGTTATACAAATGATGAGGGATGATGAAGAGAGGCGGCGGAGAGAGGAGGCGGAGAGCGCCAAGGGGAAGAAAGGGTGGTTTGGGTAGGAGCTTAAACATGTACCCTTTTATATGGATTTGTTTCAGGGTTATTTTTTTCCACTTTCGGGCCACGCCGCTTATCTTGATTACGGGTGCATTACTGGGTGTTGGTTGGAGTTTTTCATTTGATTCGATTGCTCTACCTTTTGGCTTTTCATTCTATTAGGAATGTTGGGAGGTGAGGGAGGAGACTCCCCTTTCTCAATTTTCCTTCGTTTCTTCCTCTCTACCTCTTGAAAGCCTCTTTGTATAAATATAAACCGTATAAATGGCGTTTAGATCTTCGCTAAACAGTGTTTATTTCGCTATATTGCTCGAACTCTTTTTGTTTCTTAACCGTCCCGAGGCGCCCATCCGAATGTAAAAAGAAATAAAAGCCAAACGCCCGTCCCAAATTATGATGGTGAAATGAGAACATGAAAGGAGAAAAAAAGAGTATCATAGCAAGCCCCAAACGGACCACTTCTCAATGTTTCGGTTAAGTGAGGGATATCAAACATCTGTCATGGTCTTATCCTCATCCCGCACTTCCCCATCCAAGCCCTCATCACCAAATATATCCTCCATCGCTCCATCGCCATCATCTTCATCTTCCCCTCCGTCTCCTCTCTCGTTCGTGATTGACACCTGGCCCGTCCCCCCAGCCTGCTGCTGCCCACTATTATTATTCCCATCAGCATCAATTTCCATCTCTCCCTCGCCCGTTTCTTCTTCCCCCTCACTCTCCCACTCTTCCTTCAGTCCCCACCCAACCCCTGTCAAACAAAATCGCTCAGGCGGCAACCTCATCCCACCCATCATAACGCCACCAGCCGACGCCGCCGCCGCCGCACTGGCTGCCACCCCACCATCAACCCCCCGCATAACACCAGGCAGCATCATCCGATTCCTCTCCGCTGCAACATCCATAAGAAACTCCTTCGGCAGACCCGGCTGGAACTGATAATGCAGACGCGACGCAATACTCATCCGCAGCGCGCCAAGGCTGACTGAGCTGAGATCCAAATTCGCAGCCTGCTGGCCTCCCCCTTGTGCCTTGCCATCCCCACCGCCTTTGCTAGTAGATGTACCAGCACCCGCAGACTCCCCCGGATACCCCTCCGTGGCAAGGTAGACGGCATCCTGCAGCGTGCTAGATGTGTATCGGTAAGCAAAGTCGAGAAGCTGGAGAGGGACACGTTCTTGGTAGGCGGTTACGCCGAGGGAGGCGAGGAGCATGTGGATGAGGCGCGCATCGCGCGGGCGGCGGGATTTGCCTGTGTCTTGTAGTGAGGTGGCGGGGAGGATGGTTGCGTTGGCTGGGCCGGGGTTGGCGGAGGTGTTGTTGGTGGCTGTTGTGGTGGCCGGGTTGTTTGCTTGAGAGGGATTGTTGCTGGTGGATGAGGGCGCATCGGCGGGAGGTGTGAGAGGTTGTGTAGATGGGGCGGATGCGCCTGGATTTGACCGTGGTGAGGTCATTGTGTGATGGGATTGAGGGTTGAGGCGCAATCGCGCAACTCGTATGATAAAGGTCTTTGTCGTCCCCCGATGGGGACAGCGCGGACAGTCAAGGGGCAAAGGTCGGGTTTTGAGGGCGTTGCATAAGTTCTTGGTTGAAAGTAATGGCGCCTATAGTGCAAAGTAGTTCTTCAATTGCAACAATCATGCAGAAGCCAATCCGTCGGATGAAGAAAATTGATTCTATTGATTCTATGGTTGAAGAAGCTCTGGCGAATATTGGTGAGCTTCAGGGCCGATTAGGTAATGCTTGCATAACCATTTGGCTTGGCATTCATCCCATGTTCAAAGAGTTATCAGGAGAGCGAAATGAGATGATACCTGAAATCATTTAACAAAGAATATTCCGGTCTATTCAAAGGCCAAATTTGGACCTGTATCTAGAGGTTGTTACATGTAGGTATAAAACGCCCGAACAGCAGAAAATCAAAGGATGCAAACAAGTGAAAAAGGAGAATAAGGAGCTACTCCCGCTAAATCATGAAAAACCACCCCGATGAACTCCCTAAGTTCTAACCGAATATAATCACGAACAAAAAGGAAACGCGAAACCCGAGGTGTATGTGGATCCAGGTGGCGCTTGTTAGCTTCTCCGTTTCCGACAATATCCAATCACGCAGGTAACGCTTCGGAGTGCCTGCTCCCACCATTAATCGATAAAGTCGCGAGCCTAACACCCCCTCCCGAGTCCGGATCCTCGTCCTCGTCCTCATCCCCATCCGAATCTGAATCCTGTTCCAAATGATCCTTATTGTCAACGTCGAAATCTCCCTCTTCTTCATCTTCCAAATCCGACCCCTCAGCTTGATCTTCAGACGCATATTCCTCTAACATCGAATTGGCTAAATTTCGCCTGTCTGCTCTGGGATGTCGATGATCCATCGAAATATAACTATCACGCATGTATTCGCCATCATACCCATCCTCGCTACCCTCATCCTCATGCTCGTCCTCACCGTCACTATCATCACTCGTATCCGTCGCAGAGAAATTGTCCAGGTCTCTGGGCTGATCCCGCCAATACGTGAAATCCGTGAAATCTTCCCCGCCTTCTTGAACAAGCATTCTGACTGGTGGGAAAAAGTGGTCGACAAGTTCACGCATGGTTACGTAACTACTCTTATACTTATTCAAACTCAGCAGATCCAGCGAAACCTCTGCATTTGAGTTGATGGTAAATATCCTCGATGAAGGGATGTTCACTGACCGATAACTGAGTGCGTCAGTGAGTCGGTTGCCGAAACCAGCATAGAAAGGGTTTTTCCGTCCACGGAACAGGCTCAGGATATCGCGTAGACAGGCCATTTTGAATACCTCTGGCTTCCTCAAGTATATCTCACGGCGTAGAGCGGCTATTGTTCTGTCCGGACTCATTATGACAGGCCCTTTAGGCAGCTTGTAGCCTTCCTGGACAATGCCGTTGAGGTATGTTCGGGTTGTATCCGCTTGGCCAGTGGATCTACTCGTGAGGTACATCAAATTATATCCGTTGCTAACTATATCATTGTACAGCTTGGCGACCCCGAGGTGAGTCCAATCACGGCCGATCATGTTAAGCACATGCCCAAGGGCATCAGACCTTAATTATTGTGTAAGCAGCTCAAGTCGAAGAAGCGGTAGAAGAAAGAAAATGCAAATGATTTGAGATCAATATAAAAATACCAGGTGTACCATACTTCGTAATTGTCCCATCAATGTCAGAGATCACAATAGGCACTTTGTAATTCCACAAATACATTGCCGCAGGGCATGTAGCTTTATTGACACTGAAAGTCATTTCATTGGCTCCAGGCTTCAGATTCAATGCTTTCAGCTGTTCACTTGTTAGTCTAAGGGTCTTGGCATAATTGCGACTCGGTTCGACGGTCTCTCCATCGCTAGGCGTTTGAAAGTCAGCAGGAAATTGTTGGAGAACGGACTGGGATCGATGATGTCTTTGAGTCGCTTGTGTTTCATTACCGCTCTGTTCGCTTTCGCTGTGATAGCCAGGGTCGGAAACCGCATCGTCCATGGTCCTCGATGGGTGCAATGCTGCTCTATGGCTTGCTGCCTCTTTAGACTCCTCGCTACTATAGATCCATAAGTTCCCATGCTCGTCAGCACCAATTAACGCTCCGATGTCATAATTGCCCTCAAGTTCCTCCGCAAGCAGTTTTCGAGCAATCACTTCGGCGCGAAGCGCATCCTCGTCACTGCTCTTATAACCCGTCATGTCCAACATTAAGTCCCCACTCTCCGTCACATGTGATGGAATATTAGAGATAGATAACTTCCTAGAAAGCGCCATGGCTCGTGAGAGGGCTTCTTCGGGCGTTATATGGGGAGGGCTTCGTGATCGCTCGGACAAAGGACTCCTCCGCTGTGGGGGAGAGGAAGGTACCAAAACGTTCTTGGGGCCGAATTCCACTGGTGGCCCAAGACTCCTGGAGGTCGGTTCAGTTGATAAATCCTCCGACCGAGACCGATCCAGCGTAACGGCCGGTGCCAGCCAGGGTGCAGCATGCGCCGGACGAGAAGAACCATCCTCCGATGACCCCGAAAGTAATGTCGTAGTTCCTGCAATGCAAACCGTTTAGTATAAACAGATAAACATAGTGGTTGAATAGCAAAACAAACCCAAATCACTCTTTGCTCTCCCGAGCCCTGAGATATTTACGGGCGGAGAGTGTTGGGCACCATCATCTGCTCCCGTGTTATTTTGTTTATCAAAAGTAAGGTCCAGATAGTCAGGTTCCTGGAGAGGTGTTCCGCCATCAGTTAGACCACGCTTGGGGCTTGAGACCGGGGAGACTAAAGGCGATGTCTGTAAAGACTCAGGAATATTGTCTGAAGTTTCGAAAACGAAAAATGCTTCCCCGCCTTCCCCAAGTTTCATCGCATAGTCTTGCTTGACCCCGTTTACCCGAAATTCTACCTTTTTCTCGTAAGGGCGAAGTAGCGAAAATTTACCGAATCGAACGTGGAATGGGGAACACGCGAGGGTACCTAAGAGTGGAGACGAAAAGTAAAATTTTAGAAAAAGCCAAAAAAAAAAAGAAGAAAAGAAAAGAAAAATTCAATTCTCAGGCTGCATTGGATAATGAGTTCTCACCATCTTCCTGTTCGATAACGATCACATCGATGGCTCCGCTGAGAGTAGCTGGATTGATGGAGTTCCATGTCTTGGAAACGGAACCGCTGATACTGCGCACGTACTGCATCCCCCGATTTCTAGATGGTAAACCGAAATTACAATTTCCAGCTCAGAAACAGCTCCAACGCATTCACTCAAAATCAAGCTTAGTGATTGATAGGGAGTGTATTCCTGAGGAAAGGTTAAAGGCGTGCAGTGCAACAGGCGCTCTTCTCAAGACTGATGCGGGATGGCCATGTGACGCAACTTAAACGAGAGCAAGCTGAGGGTAGTAGTGGCCGTGAAGAATAGTATTAAAAATAATATGTATATAAAGGGACAGGATTCCCAGAACGAGTATGGGGTGACTATCAGACTGTATGGACAGAGAAGAAAACGAGAAGATGAAAGAGTGAGGATGTTGAGGATGTTGAAGCTGGCCCGCCGCGGCGCTGCTTCTCCGGCTCCGGTTCCGATCAGGTTGCCGCAGCTTAGTCATGTAGTTTTGTTGGGGCAACAGATAAATTATCAGGAATTGCCTCGGGTTGGAACAGCCGAATGCCCATACTACTTCCATGTAGCTCAGTTCAGCCCTTCCACCGTTAAGTCCACATGCTGGTCAGACCTGCATTCCAGCCACCGTGAATAGTCGCGCCTGTTGGTTTCAGCACTCGCTTTAGTTACGGAAAATTATGCTATCCTGGTATTGTCTCGCCCTACGTGTCTCAGAATTTCATGAAGCGTTCAACCGGGGAATTAAGACACCCTACTAGTACTAGTATTCATGGACAGTCGCCCTGTTTTGAAGGCTGAGCAAGTGAGTATGATGACTGTACTCATACACTATCCGTATAAAAACAGGGCTGAATGTAGCTGAAAATAAGGGTAATTCGTAACTCCGTGATTGACATAGCTTCGTGGGTTAAAAAATAAACTTCTCATACGTTTCCAATGTTCAGGGAGAGAGAAGGCATTCGTATATATTAACAGCTCTAAATAACCACAGCAATATGAACGGAATGATCAAGGATGATGATGATCGTGAAGCTGCTCAATGCCCATATTAGGCTTAGTGAGAACTACTCCATCGATTAGAATTTCACAACTATTCTCAAGAGTTAATTTTACTACATATCTTAAGTATTAGTGCTTTCAAAGTATAGAAATGAGCACTTAGTTTGTATAATAGTATAGTGAATTTATTTTTAAAATATTCTTAAGAGAAGTAGCTAAATATTTTGATAATAGCACCCCAGTTGGAGTTGATGACACGCAAGAATAAAAGTGGGGCCGATTGGTCCCTCGGAAATTTATTGATCCTGTTCCGGGTTTCTTGCATTCTGAATTTCTGAGGAAGCTCGAGGTAAGAGTTAAGTCCGATAGCAATCGCCAGCTCAAGTTGCAGACGAACGTCACGGTCCCCCTGACGGGCCATGGGTATTGGTAATGTATAAGCCATTACTTCTTATATCAGATATCCACCCCCACGTCGTCCCGGTCTTGAGAGTACGAGGTGCGATGGCTCTCCTCGTGGCAGCGGCGATTCTATGGGCCTTGATATGGTGAGTTCGAGTGCTATTCACTTAGACACATATAATTCAACGGAGTTATAATAATGTTCGACTGTAGGCTTCTATATCGGGCATATCAGGTCTGCCAAACGCCAAACGATATTCTGGTTGAGAAACTGGGCTTGGATATCCCCCCCGCTCCCGATGTTACTCTGGAAGAAATTGGCTCTACTATGATTCGCATTGCCTGGAAACATCCAGACTTACACCATTCTATTCACAAGCACCTCATTCTAGTTAATGGCGTCAAAGGTCTGCCGTCTGTTCCTATCTACTTCCCCAGGTGACATACATTGCAAGTATATTAATTTAGAAGCTACAATAGTTGGTGAGACAAAACGTTCAGGAACAGGCGTTATCATATCCAATCTCTCCGCGGGCCACATATACCATATTTGCGTCTCCGCAGTTAGCGCTGCCAATTTCCACACATCAAGCTCCCTCCTCCACGTCCGTACGAAAACTCTATCTATATCCGATACCCAGGAAGATGATGTGGACGGCGGACCGCCGCTTGTTCGAGCTTACATCTCCGGACCCCCCACTCCTTCAGTTTCGCCATCTACGCCGCTAATGTGTCGAGAGCACAGTGGCGGACAAGCTCAGGGAAAGCGGGTCTCGGGAAACAGAAAATCTTTCCCTCCCTCAAGTACAGGGCCGGAGAATATAACACACACAGGTGCAGAAGGCAGTCAAAGAGCAAGTAGCATTGATGAGTCCAACGAAAACCTTTCACGGCTAGCAGAGCGCCTCAAGGACTTGCAACAAGAAAATGTAACTTTGGAAAGCCAAGTTTGCATGGAGGAGAAAGAACATGAGCAAATGTTACGGGAGTTGGAAGAACAACGCAACGAACTAAGACAACGAGTCAAAGAGAAAGATGAAGCTAGCGGAGACCTTAGAAGGCATGTCAATAAATTGGAAAGTATCAATCGCACAGTGCAAAGCGAGAAGAGCAAAAGAGAGAGACTGTTGCAGCAAAAGGGAGCAGAGCGCCAAAGACGCAAGGAAGATATCACCCGATGGAATGAACAACTGGTGACGATACATGGCAAAATATCTCGCGCCAAGGAAGAAAAGAAACAAATCGAGGCTGAGGCATCGAAACGGGTCAACGAATATCGCAACAAAATCATGCGTGAACAGGCTGAAATGAAGACTTTGGATGAGGACATCAGAGTGAAAGGAAGCCGTATCAAGGACATGGAAGAAGAAAGACTTCGGCTAGAGGTTGACGACGTGGATGATGGAAAGGAGCTTGATCGATTGGAGAAGGAGAAAGATCACGCGTGGGAGATCAAATTGGGGGCTCTGCGGACGCAATACGCCTCGCTCATCAATGCCCATTCGCAGGTTCGTTTTTGTGTGGCCTTCATTTAGCAAATAGTTCTGCCAGCTAACTTTACAGGCCCAACGACACTACCAGGAGGCCCAAGAGCGTCTTAGATGGCTTACCTCACAGCGATCGAATGCCACTCCATTTCCGCAGCTTCCTTCGATGGACCTGGACCTAACACGCAGAGCTAGCTTCAACCGCCGCACTCGTCATCGCGGATCCCTTGTGAGCAACGTTTCGTCTCCAGTGGGCTACCCCCTGGTGGATACCTCGTTCGCCAATGCAGCGCCGAACTACAAAACGCCTGGAAGTGGCTCGCCAACTATTCCCCCCGCACCTGCATTTTTCAACATTAATAATGGGATGACTATACCGGACCCTTCCGACCAGTCCGTAATTAACCGTGCGGATACAGATATATTAGCAGGTAATCCTTCTATGAGTCCACGGGCAGATTCTCTACTACCTTCAGACCTCCTTGGCGACGAGGAACAACCGTCAGCCTCTCACCCTCCTACAAGTAGCGCTCAATTTCCTCGGTCAGGCGTGTTCGACAATCTCCTTCCCAACTCCCCTTCACCTATATCTTCTGGGAGCCGCCCTGCGAGCCTATTTACAAGTCCACGTGAGAGCTTAAACAACCTACAGGAGAGTGGGCACAATTCTGTAGCCATGCCGCCCCCGCAGGTGCCCTCTGATAGTGTTCAAAGTGCTTCTCGTCGCATCTCGGAACTTTTTAACTTTCATCGGCAACGGGGTAAATCCATGGTGGATGGGCCGCCGTTGCTTGGGACTCTCAAACCAGGCCAAAGTCAATCCTTCCCACGAAAATTCGATGACGAGCTTGATCCAATTGGTACCAGACGGCGTCGTCTTAGCTACGCGGGGAACTGGGCAAATCCTGTCACAAATCTATTCCCCAGAAGTGTTGCCACCAATGTCACGAGTGATAGTTCGTCGGACCGTCTCCCTGCCAGTCGCAGAGCTATGTTTCCTAACTTTTTCAGTTCCGGGAGGTTAAATACTGCATCTTCAAGCGCCTTGGAGAAATCAGCAATTGATCGTGTTGGCTCAGGTACTGGCTATAACCAATTCAGCCCCCGACACGACCCTATAGATCCCTCTATCCTCGGGACCGTTCGCCGTGGTTCATCGTCTCCGAGGCCGGCGTCCATTTACTCGTTTGAAAATCATCAGCTTCCACTCCCAGCCGCGGACAGCCAGCCATTCGGATGGCCAGCTATTGACAAAATGGGGCATAGAGGTAGTCCTCTTGGGCTCGACTGGGCATCCCCCGCACCCTGGTCCCGCAGCCAGTCACGGCGCCCGTCAGTTCAGTTTGGATCGTCAAGCAATCTACAACTAGGCTTGGCATCCGGTGATGTAGATTTTCTTGAAACCCCATATGAGTTACAGCGCCCAGTGCAAGCTCCCATTGGAACCCGGCCACCTTCTTCTCAGCGCCCAATAACTCCGAAACTCAACCCGACAGCACCTTCATTCAAGACTCTTTTTGGCAAGAAATCCGAAAAAGGCAAGAATAAGGAAACAGAAGCTCCAAAGCCTCGGGATAACGAGCCAAATCTTGAAAACAGCTCGCCACCAGAATCCCGCCGGTCGAAAGATTCCCGTTCCATCCACACCTCAGCTGCAGAGTCATACGAGTTCCTGGAACGAACATCATCAGGAACACCTTCGGAAATAGTAAACCAAAAAGAATCATTTATCCAAAAAATCACGCGCAAAAGCAGCTCCAGCAAATTCAATATCTCCTGGAAAGATCGAGCTGGGTTGTTCTCGAAGAAAAGCAGTGGGGAACCGGCTTCCACTCTGGCTCAAGGGGACAATATCGACGAAGATGCCGCGGCGACAGAATCTCTTCTTGGCAGGAGCGTTGATAGCTTAGCTTCCAGCGTGCCGTCGACAGACAAGCTGACCAAGAGCAGCAGTCTGGGATTCGGCTTTATGCGGAAATCCAAAAAGGACAAGGCAGCTGGTGAGTATAGTGAGAAGGCTAGTGAGACTGGTGATGAAGATGTTTTCGGGGATGCTTAATTGAGCATGATTATCTCGCTTCTGTGTATCTCTGTTGGGTATTAACCGTTGACTTTTTCCCGAAGTTCCTATTCTTCCGATGGCGTCCAACTCGTCTGAGTTTTTTTTTTTTTTTTTTTTTTTCTTCTTTTTTTTAAGCACGGTAGTTTAGACTATTATTATCATTATTCTAGAACAAAAATTAAATGAAGAAGAGAACTGTTGGTAGTATATGTAACTCCTGTGTTAAAATTGTAAATGTATTAATATGGCGATATGGCGAATTTGTTTTGGCCCCATATTCACCAAATCCTCACTTAAAATAACCCAGCTACATCAAATCCCACTAAACTCCTCGTCCACACCATTTCAACGCAGGCACTTACTCAGAATATCCCGTGTACAATCAATCTGATGGCGAATTCAAAGTAAATTAAAAAGCCTCTCCCTGCTCTTCCTTCTCAAAGTAAACCATGCTGACAACCATCCGCCTTTTCCCGCCCCGCAAAGATACGAATATGTCAAGACATTTGAGCAGGATGACAGCCTGCTGCCAAATACCTGGATTGTCGTTCGGGTTGATGGACGAGGCTTTCATAGGTACATTAGCCACGTTCTATTCTTTCTCTTATTAAATAATGACGGGGTTTATTCCTTTTTCTCCCCTCCGCGCTCACGTCTAGAGTCACTTCATGGGTTAAGACATATATATATGCCACCCCTCGAGTCTGTATATATTTCAACCCAAATCTTGAAGATCATGCTTTTCCTATCTGAACTAAGTGGGAAAGGAATATATGTACCCATTTATTAATATCACTTCTATCTCTCCTTATTTTTCTGCTTTACCATTCTTGGTCTCACTTATTCCTCATCACAACCGACTCACTCATGCCTCCCCTAGGTTCTCTGACCGATACAAGTTTCAAAAACCAAACGATGAGCGCGCGCTCAATCTTATGAACACCGCAGCATGCGCCGTTATGAGAGATCTCCCTGACTTGATTATCGCATATGGCGTCAGCGATGAATATAGGTGTGGCCCTCCTTCCACTGAACGGAGGCAGCTGGCAGTAGATACGAATGCCTGAAGCTGATAAATCAACTTCTCGCAAAGTTTTGTTTTTCACCGGAGCTGTCAGCTATTCGAGCGAAGATGTAGGTATGTTGCATTTTTAGAGCTGCTCTCTCCCTCTCTCTCCGTATCCGCCCGGGTTGTGAAATATCTTTTCACTGGACAATGAAAGAGGAAATTTAACCGTCCATTTCCTTCACATTTGACAGCAAGCTCGTAACTACAATTGTATCAACATTTACTGCGCATTACATTTTCAACTGGTCATCGTTCTTTCCGTCCATGCAACTAGAACCTGGATTTCTGCCGTCATTTGATGGAAGGGCCGTTCAATATCCAAGCGTGAAGAACTTGAGGGATTATATGAGTTGGAGACAGGCTGATTGTATGTCTTCCATTCACGGCTCTCTCAGTTATTTGCTCATTTTCCTTTGTTTAATTACCAAACTGCTTTGTTTCATGTTTGTGGAAGGTAGGGAGTTAACAAAACTCGAACACTTTCTTGAAGGTCACATCAACAACCTCTACAATACCACGTTTTGGAATATGATTCTTCAAGGCGAGATGAGTAATACAGAGGCAGAGAAGGCATTGCAGGTTTGTACAATCCATAGAACGAAAATGCCACGACTTTATATCCAACTCCCGCCGTACGAGAAGATTTGCTTACAGAACCGAAAACTAGGGCACGGTATCCGGTGATAAGAACGAGATTCTATTTTCAAGGTTCGGGATAAATTATAATAACGAACCAGAAATGTTTAAGAAGGGCAGTGTAATATTCAGAAACGTAAGTGTAAGCTGTTTTCTATACCCCACCTCATCGCAAGCAATGATCGGAGTAAGCATGCCTCACACAGCTAGAAATCAGTACGAAATCCAACCTCAAATAGAGAAAATGTCCGGTGGGTCCAAAGAGGTAGAATATGAAGTCGGAGAAGAAGGGCCACCGGCAGAAATGACAAAATCTCAAATAGCTAGGATGAGGAAAATACAGAAAAAGGCTACGATTGCGGTGATGCATGTGGATATCATCAAAGACGATTTTTGGGACAAGCGGCCGTGGATTCTATCGAATAAGCCTGGCAACCTCCCCGGGGAAGGGTGAAATTTGCATTTTCTGCATTCCTGTACAGTAGGTGGATGCAATTATGGATAAAATTGACAAAATATATACCCCCAAAAAATAGAAAATAGGAGTATCACCGGCTTTAATGCTTGAATAGGAAATACCAATGGAATTGCGCCAAAAAAAAAAAAAACCCCCAGATGAAATCACATCATATCTATCAAGAGACTTTTCACAATCACTGCATAGAAATTTCGCAGCTATAATATGTGAGGATACGCCTAATTTGCCTGGCCTCCAGTGTTCGACTTCAGATGTCGCAATGGTGAAGAAATCATTTTCCCGTAGTTTCAAACATATTAGCGGGATATGTCGTTGGGGGGTATAAAAATTGAGTATAGCAGGCATAAGAATCTTTACTCCTTATCGCGATTTTTCTCTCCGCTTGGGTTTCCTCTCCTTATGTTTCAGCGCTTGCGCTTGCTTCTGCTCCTTCTCCAGCTTTCTCTGTTTCTTTCGTTTCTTTTGATCGGATACCTCATGCTCTTTAGCCGGCTCGGTCTCCTCTTTCTTTTCGGCTGGTGATAGTGAATCAGAATCGGCATTGTCCAACTGTTTCCGCTTCTTGCATTCCTCCTTGTCCACACGAGCATCTGCAGAATCTTCCTCTAAATTTGCAGTCTCTTTCTCCTTCCTCTCTTTCTCCCTCCTCTTCCTCCGCTTTTCCTCTTTAGTTTCTACCGCCAACCTTTCGTCTTCTACCTCCCCTCCCTCCCTACAATCCCTCTGTTCCAGCCTGCATTTCTTCCGTCTCTTCTCCTTCAATACTTTCTTACCCCTCTCCTCATTGGCGTCTTTCTCGTCACATTGCTTTCTTTTCCGTTTGCTTCCCCCTTTCCTAGAATCGGTAGGAACCCCAACACACCCTTTAACTGTCCCAGACTCCTTGGCCTCAATCCTATCAATCGTTCCCTCTAGCGACTCCCCCTTGACAAAAAATCGATATAACTCGCTCGATCCACTCGCGGCTGAGCCAGATCGATCAGACTGAGGCGTCGCACTCCCATCATCACCAACACACTTCAACGCCGCCTCGAATCCGCGAAGCCACCACTGGTTCGTGTGGTCGTGCGTCGTCTTTCTCCCGAGTCCATGGTTGTTCTTCTTCCGCGCGATGAGGATGGGTTTGGTAAGGCCGAGGCCGCCGTGTGGGCCAGGACGGCGGTTGGCATTTAGAGGGTTGCCCGGACCCGACCAACCTTGACTGAGGAGATACGCGTGGGTGTCCATAAAAATGTCGTTTATAGATAGATATATTCCCCGCTAATGTTATGTTGTAGTGTAGTGGGATGAGAAAGAGAAGTGCGATGGTAGGCCACAGTTTCTCGGCTCGGTCATGAGAAAATATAGAGATGCCAAGAAGGGATTAGATATAAAATCTCCCCCAATTCAGAAATTTGTCAATGCATGGCTAGTTTCAGGCTTCCAATGGATATGGGAACCGCTTGTCCATTTAGATAAATTTTATTTCGCACAGATGGCTTAGTAATCACCAACAAGACATAATCATGACTAGTGTCAACTCAGGATAACAAAATGCATGGTAAATGTAAAATGAAACTCCAAATTTTAATTCTTATTTTCTTTACGAAAAGTAGCTAATCTGTGTACACAGAGCAGGAAATGGAAAAGAAAGAGGAAAGAAGTAAAATCAGAACTGCTATACAAGCGACACCAACACAAAATACAGAAAGCATCTCCAACGCCGGCTTATTATGTGCGTGGGTGCCAATATCTACTGATTATTTTTAGTCTTTTTATCCTTCTCGGTTTTTTTTTTCTTTCCCTTCTCCTTATATTGTTGGATCAAACGCTGCAGGAAATATTTTGTGCCCAGAAAACATTACAATTTTAAGGGGGCGAAAAGGGGCAGGCAGAAAAAAGAAAAGGTAGTACTCACCCGGGCTAAAGGAAGGCTGTGAAAAGGACACACCACAAGAAGAACGCCAAACAATTGGAAGATATAACAGACCAACTAATAGAAAGCCTAGCCATGCGGGATGGGGTTTTTGCTTCAGTATGCAACTGCTAATGACATGAAATAGTAGTACAGCGATGCAATAAGAAAAAAGCCATCGCAAAAATAAAATGGAAAAGGGGATTCTCCTTTAGAGCAAATGTATAAATGTCGAGCCTACTGGCGTGGAGATCTAAGATAAAATTAGCACTTGGCCGCTGCGCCTGTACACGCAAAATAACTTACATAGGGTTGAAAGTGGGGGAGGTCGGGCTGTAACCAGGGGATGTTGGACCTCCCGGAGAAGTTGGCGAGCCAGAGAAGTTGGGAGAGGTGGGTGAGTAGGTCTCTGGACTGGTTGGAGACCAACCAGGGGAAGTAGGAGTATATTTAGGAGAGGTAGGGGAAGTTGGAGAAAGGTGTCTGCCAGTCGAAACTCCGAGCGCAGGACTTGTAGGGCTATAACTAGGAGAAGTAGGGCTAAAAGCAGGCGAAGCAGGGCTAAAACTGGGAGACGTTGGGCTGTAACTAGGTGACGTGGGAGAGAAACCAGGAGACGTAGGCGAATACGATGGCGAAGTCGGTGATTGTTGATAGCTCGGAGAGGTTGGCGAATACGCAGGCGAAGTTGGCGCGAAAGCTGGACTGGCTGGCGAAAACCCAGGAGAGGACATGAATCGAGGACTCGTAATGCTCATACCAGGAGAGGTTGGAGAGTACCCAGAGGATGGAGAGTAGCGAGGAGAGGTCGGGCTGGTATTGAAAGGACTGCTAGGCGAATAGCCTCCGCCGGGGCTTCTCGCGCCATGAGGGCTGAAACCACCACTAAATCCGGAAGGCTGATATTCAGTGAACCCTGCAGGGGTCTCAGATCCAGCTTGTCTGATAGGTGAGAAATTGGAGTCAGGGTCTGGTGTGCCAATGTACATGTTGTCCTGCAATGGGGAGCTGCTATCATAAGGTGTGGCAGCTCCATCACTGAGTAATCCTTTGCCATCTGCCGCCATTAGACCAGCGTTGCTCGAAACGACTCCCATAAGCATATCCTGATCAAGGTAGACATCAAACTCCCCAGTTCCAGCTGGTGCCATCTGTCCCAAGATCAGGTTCTCAGATACCCCACGGCAGTCATCTAACTCTGCAAATGCAGCGGCATCAAGTAGAATCTCCACTGTTTCCTCAAAAGAACATCGCATCAAAGCACCAGTATCAGCACGGTTGATACCATGTCTGGTTACTGCCATAAGGAAGCCTCGTGAAGTCATAACATCGACAAGGAGGGCCAAATGACGATGATTGACGTACGATCCATCAAAAGCAAGCACCTGGGTTAACTCTCGCAAAAGTGCAGTACGAGTAGCTTCGATACCGAATACTTCCAGAATCTCAATGAACTGGTTAGAATACGTGCGAGTTGTATCCACGCCAGGGATGGTCAAGACTTCGCCGAGTGCCGATCCACTGGTTTCAAGAACCCACTCCTTACATAGAGGGTCATCAGCGCTTTGATGCAGAGATCCATCCTCTAAGACGCGAACTCTCGATTTCTCATTGATGAAAGCACGTTCAATGCCAGCCACCCCTCGTAAAGTAAGGGTATCAAGCAAATGACTTTCCAGCTTCTTTAGTGTCACGTCATATTCGGTGTCATCATCATCGTCATCCTGCTTAGAGTCTTGAATTTGTCGAATACGAATGACCTGCTCATCAGCGTTGTTATCGCTAAATATAACCGCAATATCTTGCGGATAAGCGTCTTTGATTTTCATTGCAACATCTTGAACCGTAAGACTTTTGTCCAGGAGCTTCGGCCGGCTAAGAATGATTCTAAGTAACCATTTAGATTGACGGCTCGAATCATCTGCGACATCTTCAGGGATAATGAAGTATGATTCAACCATGTCACGGTCCGCTTCAATCACGGTAGATTGGATATCGGGATCATAGTAGATCTCTGTTGTTTCTGTAACCGACCTCAAACTGGTATGCTCAACAACACTACGGAGCTGTTTGACAGATTCCTTGTCCATGGCGCGACTAGGGTCTTGATAGACAGTCATAGAAGGGGTTTTGATATTAGTGGCAACATTGAGAATTTCCTTCAAACGAGGCACACCAAGGGTGACGTTCTTGGACGAGACACCAGCAAAATGGAAAGTATTCAGGGTCATCTGTGTTGCTGGCTCTCCAATTGATTGTGCAGCCAAAACACCAACCATTTCACCAGGGTTCGCCATCGCCTTGGAGAATCGACTTTCGATAGCACCCAATACGTGCTGGAATGCGAGTCTGTTAAGTGAATATTCCACAACGAGTCTACGGAATGCAAGGCGGGAACGGAGCTGTGCCTTGAAGAGCAACGTGGCACTTTCTTGTGCTTCGCGGGAGATCACATCGTCACCACGAACAACGACAAGGCGTTCCAACAGCGCTCTGACTTGAGGTATGACCTCTGCAGGATGCAAGTCGCTAATGGCGCCTTCTCTAATTCTAAATATAGTCTTTGCCGACTCGAGAATACGCTGAACATTAATTGGCAGTTGCATCATTTCTTCGTCCTCTTTGGCAACGCTACGCATGAAAGCACGGTCCTTCAGGAGCTGCTCCCATTCTTCGTCAAGATACTTCTGTACCTCGATATCGCCAGCAATTTCCGTAGCTTGCTCCAATACATTGGGAGATAGAGTTCTGTCAGGATCCATCAAATCGACTCGATATCTATCACGGAATCTTTCGTCCGAGCATTTGATAATATCAACGCGTTGATTTTCAATATGTGCGCCATCCAAACCGTCTTCTCCGTAAAGGAATTGTACAACATCCCCCAGCGAGTTACGCACGGTACCATCGTATTTAACCATGACCTCTTCAAGAGCCTTGACAAGCTTCCGCTGGATATAACCAGTTTCAGCTGTCTTGACGGCAGTGTCAATAAGACCTTCACGACCAGCCATAGCATGGAAGAAGAATTCAGTCGGGGTTAAACCACGGAGATACGAATTTTCGACGAAGCCACGAGACTCTGGCGAATAATCATCCTTTGTGAAATGTGGCAAGGTACGATATTTAAAACCGAATGGAATACGTTTGCCTTCGACAGATTGCTGGCCGACAACCGCAGTCATTTGAGAAATGTTGATGATCGAGCCCTTTGAACCAGAACGGGCCATCTGGACAGCGTTGTTCAAGTCCTTGAAGCTTTTTTCGGTCTCCGTTCCGGCTTCATCACGGGCATTGTTAAGGGCGCGAGATACTTTGCTCTCAAAGGTCTCACGGACATTCATACCAGGCAAAGGCTCTAGGGTATTGTCGGTTGCACTAGCTGTGATCTCATCGACTTCCTCCTTTCTCACACGAACTGCTTCCTCAATCTTTTCGATTGTAGCTAGGTCTGGAATTGTATCACCAATTCCAATACTGAAGCCGTGGTGGAGTAGCCAATAGTTGACTACGGTTTGGGCGCCATTGAAGAAGTTCATCGCCGTCTCAGGCCCATACTCATTGAAGATAGTATGAATGACACCCCCACCTGTGGCTCCAACTGTCTTCTTGGAAAACATTCCCATACATAAGTTCGCCACTTGCACTAACAGTCCACCATCAGCTAGAGGGGAGAATTTCTCAGAAAGAGCGAGCCTTGTCTCGATCAACCCGGAGGAGGTTGAGACCAGGAGGAAGGACCATACTGATCATTTGTTTTCCAGTCCATCTAGGCCGGGGTTTCAAAATTGCGGGCTGGGGTATTACACCGTCCCAATCAGGGACCCAGAGTAGAATATTCATGACCTGCTCTTTCGTTAAGAAAACATCACGACGGCAGATTTTGTAGATTCCACAAAGAGTATCCTGGACAATACCCATCAACGGACCGTTTCGTTGAGGGGATACAATCTGCAATGGTACCATGCAAAGTTGACTAAGTTCAGCGCGAGCCTCTTCGCTTTGGGGAACATGCAAGTTCATTTCATCACCATCGAAATCAGCGTTGTAAGGTGTAGTGACGGACAGATTTAGTCGGAAAGTCGAGTACGGCATCACACGAATACGGTGGCC